CCGTTTAGCATCCAGTCCTGCTGCCATCGTGTCTGTCTGTAAGACAAGAACACGGCGCTGTAAGGCCGTGTTTATGTGAAGTCACCCAAGGCGCTTTACATGTGGTTTACCCCGAAGCCGGTTTCAAGTGGCTCCATCTGAACGCTCCAAATCACATTGAAAGCGCCTCGATCCCAAACCACTTGTAGAGGTGGTTTCGAATCGGTTTTCCCGCATCGCGATTTTCGTCTGAACGCAATGTGATTTCAATGTAACTTCGCCTGGTCATGGATTTCGGGGTGATACTTCTTTATTTATATGCAATACCAACTTTACGTGGCAGCAACTTAAAGAGCAGTAATGGTCAAATAATGTGTCCGTTCTAGGGCGAGCTTCACTGCCTCTGGCGGGACCACGTCGACATTCGGCCGAGATACGCTGGGAGGGGGGCATCAGCAAGCAGGTCGTTGACCTCTGACATTAATAACACGCTACCTTGCGTGTTTTCATCAAACAACAATAAATGTAGCTCAAGCGAATTGTGATCGGACACGGTTTCAAAGGATTGTGTGGCACGTGGACCAGATGTGAGGAATGTGAGTTACCCGAATCGCGGTTTGGGTGACTTCACTTAAACACGGCCTAGTACTGTCACATGTTCTAACACGCTCTCGGTCTTGACTGATGATATGATAATAACCTTATTACCGTTCTGATCGGATTACCTGACATAGTTGTCGGGACTACCCTTTCTAGTACATGATTTATGATGCGCCTTGAAACTCGATGTGACTTTGTTTAAAAAAACATCGAGCGCGGCGTGTTTTTTTAAAATCTGACGTCTTTATAAACCATGAGATTTGATGGAAAATTCACCTCAAGACTTGAAAAAGGCAAGGCAGTAATGTCATACAGCTGTATCCTGGAGGGAACGTGCCTTCATTAAAAGGCGGGCAGATCAACAGATGATTCGCAATTACAGAGGTTTGATGTTTCATTATAACGTCGCAAATCACCGCTTTCAGAAGCGCCGAGTGTAGACAGGGATCATTTGCCATCCTGTCTGTCTGCACATCAAAGACAATCCATTAGAGACCAAGGCAAACCATAGAGTTTTGTGTCCTTTTGTGTAAAAGGCTTTTAACAGGCTGTGCCAAGACTATTGCCGAGCTAGGGTTGAATATCTGGAGGACTACGTCTAGTGAAGCACTTCAATGACGTTACTGTGCTTTTTGTGATGTCTTAGCCCCAATCCCTGAGACACATGTACCATCCACGTGGCACCCAGATATTCAGATATCCGTGAATAATGACATGTTATACGTTACGCTGTTTGATCGCAAATAGTCACATATGTTTTCAATTATTTCATTGAATATAGAAAGGTAAAGTCATGCAGTTTTAATGCACTGGGTCCCCGCCATTCCTGTCTTTCTTCATTTTTCTTCATCCATATGTTCAATAAAAAAATTCAAATTCAAATAAATGAACGGTCGCTAATCAGTTAATTCTGGATAACGCTGAAAATTATGTGCTGTAATTGATAACAATGATGATTGATTAATAATGTAATGTTAACTGCATTTTAGTGCTTGTAATACTGGCTTTAGAAGGATATATGAAAATGAGAATTTTTTTTTGTCACACCCATGCGTTCATCTCATGTTTTATCTATTCATTGATAACGTTAATGTTTTAAATCATTTTACATCTTTGTCCATGAATGTTATAATTTTAAAAACTGCAGCCAAGAAAAATGATATGATGATGAAACAGTTTCCATTCCTCCTCCTGTCTGCTCAGCTGTGACGTCTTGTCTCATCAAGCTCCATTTCTGCGTAAGGCCACAGCAAGTTATTTTTATGGATGACATCAGCGCGCGCATTGATTTTCGCCCGATTTTGAAAAAAAATGTTTCTGACATCCTGTAAAAATGGGTAAAGATTTCTGTCATCATGCCGCGAACGTGGATGACAGATAAATATGGATAGGAGACAACTTATTTTTGAAAGTTGTTTCAGTGACAAATGGATGTTGCAATATTTGGCAGTATAACAGCACAATATAGGCATCTCGTATAACGAGGTTTATGATGTAAAAATTAAAAAAATGTAGGAATCTTGTTGGGGGGGGGGCGCCTTGTTTTTTTCGCCATATCGCATTAAATTTGGAGTCTGCGGAGGATGTCATCCATAAAATTTATCTGCTGTGGCCTAATGTCCAATTAGCAATCTGCGCCACGTTTGAATAGTTAGTAGCTTGCCCTCCTTAATTCTTGGCTTTATTGCTGTGGCCGTATGCACAACTAACAAGTCTCATTAAACAACAGAAAGGTTTACAACTGCCCACGTACCGAGACATTTGCCCTACGTGGTACATTTCAACATGGATACTCGTAAATGTTCCCGTGCTTGGTACACACAATCGTTAACCTTTTCATTGTACATCAATCCAGGTTCTTTTCATCTTGTTCAATGCGAACAACTGAGGTATAAATAATTGCATGTAGAGCAGGTTAACGCTAATTCAAAGAGTTGGGGTTCTGTGGCATAACGACAGAGTGCTCGACTCGGAACCAAGAGGTCCCGGGTTCGAGTCCTGACATGTCACCGATCTTGTGCCCTTGGGAAAGGCACTTTACACGACTTTCCTTACTTAACTCAATTGAAAATTAGTATTGTTCTGTCCTGTATTCGTCCTCTGCGCTGGTGGCGGCATAAAATAAGTTGGTATAACTTGAGTGTGTCGTCACCATGTCTAGTCATGAAATGTTGGATTAAAAAAAGGCCAAACGACCGAAAGCCTTGTACATGTCGTAACAGGATTCAAAGTTTGGTTTCAACCCTATATAGCTAGAGCTTTGCATTTTGAAACTCCACCCACATGACCAACAAAGACTATGTGCCTTTCTCAAAATACATAGCTGGGATTGTTTGCAGACATTATGATATTTGATATTTACGGTTTATGATTGTTATTATCCATATACTTTTCATGTGCTTTTAGAGTTCTTTCAAATGAAAGCAACGTTTTTGTCTAAACTCCATCTCTTATCCATTATCTTCTAGTATCATTATCCTTTTGAATTCCCTGCTTTTGTTTTAAAATTGTTCCTTTGAGAGTGTGTAATCCTTTTGAAGCCTCGGTAGACTTATAACAAAGTGCGTGCGTTACCACTGGAAAATTTCGAATATTCTGGGACAACGTAGATGAAATGCGGTTAACGTTGAAGACCTCACTGTACAACGTTTTTTCTATTCCAACATTTATTACAAGGGCACAAGATCGGTGGCATGGCAGGATTCGAACTCGAGACCTCTTGGTTCCGAGCCGAACGCTTTGTCGTTACGCCACACGACCCCACAGGACCCCACTACACCAACATTGACTTCAACTCTGTCTGAAAAGGCAGTCAGATTGCGTAACCTGCCCCCAGGAACTCCATGTAGGCTGAACTTTACACTGGAACGCACCCAACACTTCCGCGGTGCGCGGTGCGAAGTCTTTGCGGCGACCCAACAAACTTCCCGGTCACGACCTTCCCGACCTACCGTCTGATGTAGACTAGCCTCCTGTGCAGGCCTTCGGGCGGGTGGAAGTTTTGATACTGTGTTTTGTAGAATTTTCAACGCGTTTTTTTTAACCCTACAACCAGCCGCCCAGAGAAGGTTTGTACCCGCCACGGAATCTGCTTGCATTCGGCACCTAGAAAGCGTGATTAAAAATCACTTTAGACAAATTGGTACCGTGGCGGGTACAAACCTTCTCAGGGCGTTAAAAATTCTACGTATCAAAGTATCAAAACTCCCACCCGCCCGGAGGCCTGCACAGGAGGCTACGCTACGTAGAGGTTGGGCAGGGAACTAGCTGGGTCAGGTTCCACTGGCTGTATTCATAAATCATATTCATAAATCAAGTAACGTTAACTTCGTGTCTACAGACTAGGCTAAAAGTCTATGTCTGCACGTTATGTCTGCAACAAATATCCAGGGCAAAGGCAGGCAGGTCATGAAATGTGAATAATTTCAAATCTTCATTTGCCAGCCTAGGGATTTAGCGCCTATATTTCCGTACCCTTTCGGCAGCCTCGCTTAATATATACTCCTTCCCACTTGGTCACCTAGCCTGTCCGTGATTTGTTGGTGTCCAGAAAAATTATACAGTTGTACAATTTACGGTAAGGGCAGTCCAGAGTCTTGTTTTAAGAGTAATATGATGCATTTGAGTAACTGCTTTTTGGCGTATGATGCATTGTCTGTAAAAAAAATGTAGCAATAACCTTCAGACCTTAATGTCTACATTACTCTGGATGAAAGCACAATGTTGTAAATCATGTACTTTCAGTGCACTGCCCTTGAAGTCAGGTAGAATTATACATAATAGGCTTTGTTAGGAAGTTTGTGCAATTCTATTGGTGTATGAGGCGCGTATAAGGGGACATATATAGCAAGAAATGTCAGACATCATCCTCTTTTCCAATCTCATTCTTTTAAACGCTTAGGGAAACTGACTTTTCATCACGGCCGACACTTACTGAAATCTTGTTGAGAGGAATTGTCGGCCTGCTGCATGTAAAACCATGCGTCAGAATGACGTGTTAAGTCAATTTAGTTACTTTGCCCGGGCATTACGGACCATTTCCTATGATGAAGTTGATGTACTTTGAAAGAGAATTGGCTGAGGTGCCTACATCAATGTTACCACGGGCTAAAGATGGGGGTTTCATGATCGTTGATGACGTGGTCATATACTGTGGTTGTTGTTAAAACAACATAGAAAATGCAGCCATCCTCTCATTGGTCGACCACTACTTGCCGTGCTACCATTGGTCAAACTGATAATTATGATGGACAGTCTGATCTATTCCCTTAGCTTTACAACTAAGGCAAAACATGATTGGCAGAAAATAAGTTTTGCCTATCCTCGCTGGGGATATTTGTAGATAACGTACTCAGCTTTAACTGAGGAAAATCGAGGATTGCTATAGTAACGAAGGGTCAAGAATACGTCATTGTCAAAACAGTCATACACGCAGTCAATCGCATTATGTATAAAATACATGTTGTTTTCTTTTCCTGACACATTAATAACACAGCAATTGTAATTCTGTTGTTTACCACATGGTGATATTGTTTTACTTATCTTATTCTATGCCCTGCATTATAGATACAATGGATGCCATTGCTTCTTCGCTTCGCTTGATTTCGCCATCTTGCCCCAGTGAGTCAAACTTTCGCCTTGTGCGTAGAAAAACGGACCGACCACCAGGCGACCTATGACCGCATCCGAACGCAAAAATGTCCTCTGCATGACAGTAATCACCAAGCTGGTGTCGTCTAGGTAGGAATATGGCACCACGAAGGAAAGAGACTGGTTGAAAACAGGTTTTGACGTATTCTCCACCACCTCTGTTCGTTTGCTCTTGACCTTGTCACTCCCACACATCAGGGTCACCTTCGCGTAGGTATCTGTCAGAAAATCAAAATGGCGGCAAGTAAATCAAAGCTCTCTCTCTCTGACTTTCAAAGGTAATGACAGTTATTACCGTTATGAACGGATGCAATGTATGATTAGCATCTTTCAAATGATGGAGTGACAGAGGATGGGCTACGTAATAATCATAGACAGTCCTAAAATACAAATTCAGGGCGACATACAAATAACAGTGTTTCAAATACCTTTTGTCCGCCATCGCTTTTGAAAAGTCAAAGAAATAATTGTGGGGTTTTGAACCTGTGTGATAACATAACGTTGCACAGTTTGTAGAAGACAGACTTGGTCAAACAATAACTGAATAGATTTCCAAACATAAACTAACAATCACTCTATGGACAGATACAGCCACGACACATTTTATGATTACAACCGCCATAACTGCCGTACCTATTGAAGTCACTGATTTGTCGAGTATTTTGAGGTGTTTGCACCGGTTGACGACCACAGACAGTCGGTCCAAGTAGGGCAGGTAGGCGAGGGACAGCTGTACTTCTCCGAGGTTACCGGTTATCTAAAAATCAAACAACGTAAAACACTTTACCACCGGCACTTGCCTGCAGAATCCATTTCCTCCAATATGATATCTGGATCAATATATTAAAACTGACAAACTATTTCCTTGTTTAGTATTTCGATCTGCGGGCTATCAAATTATAACGTGATTGGGAAATGATATATGGTTAAAATGTTCATTTTAAATGACGTGTTTCTTATTCGATATGAGGAACTGATCCTAACGGCCCGGGAACTGCCCCATTATTGGACCATTACTTTGAACCACCTGGACGGTTGGGTATGAAGTGTTTTGGGCGCTATAAATCGGTCATTTACCTTACTTCTTTTCGTGATCGGCGCTTTGACCGTGTTTCGTCCGGACAGGTCCTGATCAGCCAATGGGAAGAGAGCATGGCCGATGACGTTATATCTATGAGTCCTGTTATAGTCATATACAGAGATGCGCAGTACACACGTCAGCAGGTCCCGCGCATGCTCCATAACCTTCTCCAATGGGAACGCGAATTCATCCTCGAAGCAGGGATTACACGTATTTCGGATGACCTTTGACCTGAAGCAATGTTTTTCGTCCGGTAACAGACAGATGACGGCCATGGGGTCATAAAGTTTATTGTCTCCCTTTCTCGGCAGGTCACTGATTCTCTGCAAACGTAAAACAAGCCTGGAACAAAGTATTGAAAAGCGTGGTCAACCAATTCAACTCAATATTGTCAAAATTGTGTACAGAAAAATCATAGTCTAATGCAAGTACTGGAAGCCTATAATTGTACCTTTCTGTGATGGCGTCATAGTGTATTTTGGACCAGACTGTGCCTAACGTTTCTTCCTTGACGTCATCAGTGCTCCCCCGTCTGGCGTGAGCTATTTTCAGCTGTGAAACCTTCCGGTCCGTGTCAGCAGTCTCGTACAACGACGGGTCTAAAGAACCTTGGGAGAATGACAGCGGGACGGAAAAGATTAAACATTTGAGTATAGTATGTATCTCACAGCAATACACAAAAGACTCCATCCCTAAGGCGTCGCCAAAAAAGGAACTCTACTAACTCTATAAATCAAGGACAGAGTAGGGAACTACATTGTAATGTATAAAGCATTAAAAAGGTAACATTTGCAAAGCAAATGCATAATGTTTACCTTCGCGTATGGTCTGCTCTGTTAATTCTTACTCAAACAAATCCATATACACGTATATGGTCAGACAGGACACCTAACACCTATTCCTATTCCTAACCCTACATCTGCTTGGATGATGATGACGACAACGTACCAAGCGGCTGAACCGTCACGGGCTTGTGACGCACTTCGGGCAACATCGGGTTTACTCGGAAAGGTTCGTACGTCACGTTTTCAAGGGACAGGCCGGACCCGTTACTGTCTATGGAAATGGCGTCGTCATGATATTCCGTTTCTGAGAAACGACATGATATATTGGTGAATGTGATTTCAGAAGAAATGCTGCTGTAGACTAAAGCCTACTCTACTACTCTACTACTACTCTACTACTACTACTACTACTACTCTACTCAGCCTACACAGACTGAATTACAAAATCACACACCTTCGATCAGCTCATTCGTTCAAAGATTAGACACATTGGATTAGCTCATTAAACATCTTAGATAAGCTCATTCAAAGATTAGCTATTTCAAGGATTAGACATTCTTAGATTAGGCATTAGCTCATTCGTTCAAACATCAAATGCCGACTGATAATGTCTGCAATTGTATCGTTTCGTTTCGTAGCACGGTACTACCACTGCAGCGCCACCAAGCGGCGGGAGCTAGAACGACTCTTTCGACCTGCTATGTCATAAAATTTGTTGTGCCAAGGAAGTTTAAATTCATACATTGTATCTAATACAATTGTTAATAATAATAGTAACATATTTTGTATTGCCATTTTTGTTTTCTTTTGTAGACTTGTAGACTATTTCTCATAAAATCATAAATGACTGTTCGTTGCTCAAGACTATGTATTGTGCTACTAAATGATTTACTACATTTTTTTCAATTCTACAACGCCTCAATATTTGTTTCTAAACTTACTGGGTTGTACTGACGTGACACGATTTCCTCCAGGTACCCAGAATTCAATGGAAGAGTTTCTCCGGACGTGGCGCCCCCTGGCGTCTCGCGGCGTAGTTGCAGGAGTGCTCTCCACACTGCGCATCTCCAGATCGTCGAACCCGTCAGCCGGTTTGTATTCAGGACAGCAACAACAGCACAGTCTGCGAAGCGCCATGGCTGATCTGTCAAAGTAGAGGAGTAAAGCTTTGGTTATTTATCCCATTTAATTAGTCTGAAAACTGTCGTCTTAAAAAAAACGTGCTAAGGCCACACCGCCTTAATTTTATTTATGGATGACATCCGCGCGCGCATTCATTTTCGCCTGATCTAAAAAAAAAAAAGAAAAAGATCACGTCTTCCGAGGCTCTGGTCTGGCTTTAGGCCTGACCTGGCTTTAGTCCATGGTGGTAAGCGACAACAAAGCCGGTGGTAACTCAGGAGGATGGCACCCAGGCTACAGAAGCCCCACTACTCAAGAACTCATACGTACAGTGTCGATTCATAAACTCCGCAAGAAGCCAGCATGTGCGGGCTTGTCGTATACGTCGCTATGTAATGCGCCAAATTCACAATACATGTACCAGCTTTGTATTACTGTGGTTTAGTAACATTTTTATTTTTGGCCGGATTTTTTTTTTCGCCCGCGCGCATGCACTAGTTTGAGGGTCTTCGGAGGATGTCATCCATAAAATTAAATCCTTGTGGCCTAACTAATTTTCTATGGAAAATTTTATTCACTATACCACCAAGAGTTACAACACTCTAAACAGTCTATATGGTAAATTTATGGGACCCTGCTATCCAATTAATTTACCAGAAAGACATTCCGAATTTCTCTATGTGGTGAATTAATCGGATAGCACCCCTAACATCCCATTAATTTACCAGGGCGAAATTCACATTTCTCTATATGGTGGATCGATGGGAACTTACACTTATCCCCATAATACCGATTAGCGTATTTTTTTGCGTCAAAAACTTTTCATGCTAAATGAATTAAATGGGATAAATTATCAGATGAGTGAGGAGTGCAGTACAGTGTGTTTTGGCGGGAAACTAAGCAAATTGACTGACAGGCAGCCTGTATCTGGAGCGTGCTACCGGTAAACACTTCAGACGTACGTGTTGTAGGTCATGTAAGATAAAACTTCTTACCTTGACCTATGGACCGTAAAAACTGCAGCTCGTTATATATTCGTTTCAAATACGTATAACAATGTAAAAGGTACATATATCGTTAGGAATTTGACACTGTGGTGATTAAGAACGCAACAAAACAAAACAAAACAAAACAAAACAAGGTAATGTGTTTCATGGGGTTAGAGGTTAAATTTGTTTTTTCGTTACGACTATTTACTGATATATTTGTCTTGTTGTCCCTTTGTCCTGGATGGCATTTTAAGGGCATTCGTACCGGTCTCTGAAAAGGCAGAGTAGTCTACAACTTTAGAATAGAAGTTAACTGTACAGCAGTGCATACAATATTTTTTCTCTCTTAACCGTTTTGGTACAGATACTGTTTAGCCATTTATATGGAATGATGAATTATCTGCTGCCAAAAATATGACTTGGGGTGAAAAATACACATTTTATACACAACGTACTGCGTATAGCCTTATTGCGTAGTTTACTCGTTGTAAAGAAGAGTCAGTAGAGTATATGTATAATCATGTTTGTCTACCGGGTTAGCATTAAAAGGACATTAGACTCAGTTTGCCACTCCTGTGGAGTTGTTAGTTTACAAACATGGCGAACTCAGTGAACAGGTGTTTGTTTTACACAGCGTATGTTCAGGGGTGCCTGAGTATACAGTACAATCTTATGGAAAACAGTGCAATTTTACGGAATACAGTGCAATTTTACTAGTATAAAGTGCAATTTTACGCAATACAGTGCAATCGTATTAGTATACAGTGTATTGTACTGTATTCCATATAATTGCACTGTATTCCGTAATATTGCACTGTATACTCTGGCACCCCTGATGTTCCCTCCATTAAGACAAGGTGTGGCAAGTGTCAGGTACATGACCTTTAAAATGTGACACATGGCATTCTTCCTTGGATATACTGTACCCCCCCCCCCCCCTATTTTTATAGCCAAGCTACAGTGTCCGTGTATTTTGGCACAGTACATTTGCCTATCTTAATTCTGTATGTGCAGTAAACAAGCGGTGAAAGCGCTGAAAATAGCTTTGTCGCTACACAAACTTCCGATAGACTAAGTAAGGGTCTCACCGTTTGGTCATGTTTGCTATTTTTTTAAAGAATGGCGGCAATATAGGGTGTAATATCAGTTAAATACAAGTGGAGAAAAAATTCTAAACGCCCCATCGTGATTTAAAAAAAGCAGACTGAATACTTACTTTTTTCTATAAAGGCGAATCGTATATACACATTTCTATTTTACACATTCTTGCGGTGTATCCACAAAGTTATCGCCCCTGACAAAATTCAAGGACTGTTCTGATAGCATGTCCCGTTACCGCGGTTCAACATGGAAACCCAAACAGACAGTAAAACCTTTAATAAGCTCCGGGTAATAACTCATCTGTACAAGTTGGTTCCGGTTTGTATTGTCATGGATGGTACCCGTATTGTCGTCAAACGATAGGTTTTTACAATTAAGGTAAGGGTTTTCCCCAACAAGTTGCTAATAGGTAGCCCTGATGTGCAAACATTGTACATGTAGACCTGGAAACACACACCCATTGAGACATGTGCAAAGGACGATAAAAAATATCCCCACGGCTTGACCCATTGACCCCATCTGTACACCTGTTATGACGTACAACAATGGTGGCTGGCAGACTTGTAGGTGATGTTTGATAAAACATGCTTTATTGTATTGATTGTTAACGTATCGAGAAAAGAAGCACGGCGAAACTGAACAGAATGAAGTTGAAGATACATACCTGTTGTGGTTTTCTCCTTGACGTGTCCGCTTGGTTGCCGTCAGAGCTTGCGGATGTCACGGTTAAGAAAGTTTGGAGAAAGTTTCCGTTTTAAAGTGGTATTTCCTAGATTTGGGCAACGCGCCCTTCCGGTCCCTTTGTATTGTAAAGGCTGTCACGGTACACGGATGTGGTGTTACACGGCAAGGCCACGCTGGTGGCTGGTGATACCGACGTTCAGACGTGTTGCCCTTACCCTATAGGCAGGTAGGAATCAGAAAACCACGCTCAGTTCTAGTCCTGCACGTGTAACACTCGTCCTCTGGCTACAGCAGCAGACGCTGGGTCTTTCCCGCGGTTTGTAAATGACTGAGCAATCGGTCACGTTGCTTACCTGTAGTCCCTGTACTCACACATTTCCTAGCGCCCAGTCTGTGTTTGTATTGTAGGATGTTAACCAGTCTCGCGCCAGTTCGCAACAAAACGTGGCCAGCACTTGTGCAGTCTCAGTGCTCGAGTGTGAGCTAGACGGGTTAGGATTAGGTGAGATTCCCGACCGTGTCGCCACCGGACGTGCGCGGCGCCCACCTGTGCCCAGCCCGCCGGTAACGCCCCTCGCTCCCGCCACGGTGACGTGCGCCCTGAACAATCAATCCCTATGATGACGACGATCCGGTGATAGGAGTGTTGACACAACACCTTAGTTCTGTTTGCCTGTGTGGGCGCCTGACTACGTGCTCGTACTCAGAAATGCCGGTGCTTAAACCTGCTACAAAGATATCTTCCAGCGTACACTTTACCCGTAACGTAGCAACCGTTGCCATAGCATACATGATAGAAATGTGTTTGCTGTTTTCATGAAAGTTTGGGAAAAGCTGACAGGCTTTCCTTACCATGGCAGCAGGCATTTAGTAGGTTCACGGACGTCTTTCTTCGACGTCATATGACGTCACACGTTTCCAGCCTTTGTTCCATTGAAGGATAAACTTGTCAGATTAATCCAATTATAGTAAAATACGTCTTACTCGCCCATGCAAGACGTAATCAGCTGCTATAACAACCAAAAGCAACAAGTAATGACCTTGCTTTTATTGCTAAATTTCACTTTATTGTACGCATACCCATATTATACACGGGGGTAGAGTGTTGAACAAGGCAAAATAATAAAGGGCATAGAGCCATGCTTTTGGAAACGTGTAAACGATACATGTTGTCAACAGTGAGGGGGAACTTCCAAAGATCACTACAGCTAACCCGCTACCATGGCTGCAATGACATGCACGTGTTGGAGTTTCTTAGGAACAGAGTCAACGTAAGATATCATGGCTACCTTGTCTCTGAATGGTCTTGTTATGTAGAAAGTATGTAACAAATTGCACATAGTAACGGAATAGACGACAGGAAATTTGATGGTCGCCACGCACATACTGCGGCGAAGTAGGGTCATTATAGCTATGATCCACTGATATGCAAATTGGGACACCAATATGGCGGCGGACACAGTGATGACGCCTGTGCAAACGCTCTGTAGTTGTGTCTGTAGTTAAGTACTTTATAAATAGCAGCAAAAGGTAATCAAACTATCAAACAACATATGATCACACGGTATCGATGATTCAAACTTTTATTCAAATTTCAAACAGAACCAGAACAGATAAACATTTTTTTTAAATAACCAACATAATGGTGCATCTATCAGTATAAACCTGAGGGTGGTGTGCAACTATAACACTATGTTACCAAGATTGGGTGAACTTCACAACAAAACAGGGGGAACTTTGGTCCCAGGATACTTAAAAATAATTGCACAACCAAAAATGTACAATGGTAAAAACTGCACAATATGTTGAACTGGAAACACAACTCGAGAAACGCCTCCCTTTCTGGTTTAAATCACATCGTGCAAACAACCACCACTCTCATTTAAACTGACTGATGCACTAACTGTTGCTAACAATGCAAACGAACACACTGGCCATGTGATTGTCTTTCTTGTCCTTCAAACAAAACCATCTCACTTTAAGATACATGTACATGTACTACCATGGGATACATGTACCACATATACATGTAGCAAATAAACTGGCAAGTCCTATTGCATAGATGTTCTTCGGGCTGTACCAAATCTATTTCTTGGTTTCAGGAAAGATACACTTAGTTGGTACGTACACTTGTGGCACCTTGTCCTGATCTTCATAGTATCCTGAGATGCACATGCAGTTCTTTGAAACAGGAATATCAAATATACTGGCTCACTTAATGTCCTATTGATAAACTTTTGCTGGAACAAGAAACCTGAACTAAAAAGCATCCTACTCAACATCAAACTGAACTCAAACAACCTTACAATATTTGACTTATCTGCAACAGTGCAAGTCTTATTTGTATCTTACAGAAAAAAAGGAATGTACTTTATGATAGGAAACAGGAATAATAAAGATCTTATGTACAAAAATAGATATAAATCACAATACATGATCTGTTAAAACATCATAAGCTCTTCTGTCAAGATTGCTTTCACAAATTTTGCACTTAAACATGATTGATTGTTCCTTAAACTGTTCCTTAAACTAAACTTCTTGAGAGCAGCATTTCAACCTTCTCCCTGCTGTTTAACCTTGTAACAAATACAAATTTGTTGCCAAACGGCTACCTTGGCAGGCTAAAGGTTTTAAAAAAAGGTTGATTGTCATTGCTTATAACAATTCCCTGCAATGTTCCCAAGTGTTTTAAGATCAAATGCAAAGTTCACGATTCTAGAGGTAACTTGTATTGTTTTCTCAAGGGAATTATAGATTCTGTTCACCACAAACAAGAAGGCACTCGTCTAGGAACTATCTTTGTGCTACATTACTCAACACAAGGTTAACAAACGTCTTAACATGCAACAATGTGGTACAAATTGTGAGAAGATGTAGACTTCACTGAAGGTATCAAACAAAGAGTTTGGAATGTCGTAACTTCAGGGTACATTTTGTACTTCCAAAAAGCAAAACACTGCTGAAATAAATAATAGTTTACCAAGCTGACTGAGCTCTGCCCCTCCCCTGTACTGCACCTGCCATGAAACCTCTTCCTCGGAACCCACCCCGTCCTCTCTGTGGACACCCACCACGGACAGGGTACCCGCTCAGACCTGCACGTCCCCTGGCAGGGTGGGGGAAGGGCTGTCCTCTACCCCCGCCCCTGGGGCAGCCGCAGGCCATGCCTCTCCCTTGGGTGGGGTAACTTGGTGGAGTGCGGCACTGTTCACCGTAGTCCTGTTGGAAGTCACTTCTGTTGTTGTTGACTTCTGTACCCGTGTTTTTCTGGTTGTATTGTCCTGCAGACATAAAACCACCCGTGTGTGGGGGAGGGCCACGGTGAGGTCTAGGTGAGACGTTCATCAGTGGCCTTGGTGGGGTCTGGCTGTCTGTTGTCCTCTTGTTGTTGACTTCTGTAGCTGTGTCTTTGTAGTTGTATTGTCCTGCAGACATAAACCCCCCTGTGTGTGTGGGAGGGCCATGGTGAGGTCTAGGTGTAACGTTGTTCAACAGCGGCCTTGGTGGGGTCTGGATGCAGCCATGTCTGGGTGACGACAGTGGGGGGCGGCAGGGAGACATAGGAGGGTGTTGATGGAGTCGTTGAGGGGAGGTTTGCTGTTGAGAGTAGTGGGGTGGGGGTCTGTGAGGAGGGGAGGGGTGGGGAGGTCGGGTTTGGGAGTGCTGCTGGAATCGGGGGTAAGGCATGCGTGGCACTGGATGCACATGTGGTGGTCTACGGTTTTGGACCTGGCGTGGGCCAACACTGCTGTGATGCTTTTGTGGTCTAGGGAATACAGGAGCCTTAATCTTAGAGTCCCATCCTGGCTTGACTGCACTTTTGACCTGTGGAGAACTGTAGTTGTCACTTCTGCCCTGTTCCTGCCAGGGTAACTTCTGTCTCCATTCAGGCTTCTGTACTGGGTAACTACGAGAGTGTAGACCAACCTGTTCTCTCATGGGCACTTTCCCCTGCATACAGTTACTGTTGTTGTCTACTGCACTGCCATACCACCCTGCCGGTGAGACAAGACTGCTGTCATTTCCAACTCTACTCTTCTCCGGCTGCCTCTCTGTGTTGACAAACCAGTGGGGATTGCTTTCCTTCTCTTTGTACAGTTCTCGGTCTGATCCTGTGGGTGAGATGGGGCCGATTCCCTCTTCTTTTGTTGGGGGAAGAAAATCACAGTCAACCTGAGGTGCAGCCATCTGTAATACTTCTGGGCTGTTCTCACCACTTCCTGATGTCGTGTCGCAGGGGGAAAAATCGGCACCACGATCCTTGCCTGGACCTACAGCTCTGTCACTTAACTCATTCTCCAACAGGTTCCTTCGCACGGCCCCAACACTTCCTACAGCATCACTCTGTCCCTGTGAAGGGTCTCTGTTGTTGGACCCTGTGACATCATGAAACTCCTTTGCATTTGACCTTAACCTTGGATCCACAGGGACACGGTCCTGACCACCAGACGTGGCCGTGATGTTAACACTATGAGGTTTGTTGCCCTGATGTTGGTTTGCCATCTTGACTGGTGTTTGTTCTGGCTGTGCGCTGCAGTCCAAACACTTCTCTCTGTGGCTGACCAGCACCGGGGCCTTCCTCAGGGTCTCCTCACCTACTCCTAAGGGTCAACACCAAAGAACAGTGTTTGTTAAATTTTCAGCTGTATCACATAAAGATTTCCATTTCAGATTGAGATTGCTGTAGGTCCATTTTTGGCAACACCTCGTTGTTGGAGCCAAATAGGTAGCACTACAATTGAATTCAAAACATTCTGAAAAATCTGGGAATATTCTTTTACAGTATTTCTGCAGTATGGTTCTTGCAGGAAGCGGAAAGACCTTTCTGCTTTGGACACAGAAAGGGAAATTTTGTACATACACTTGTATTTAAATATGTTTGTTTTGTAATTATATTATTTCTCATCAATTCTCTACTCACTTTGTGGGTGCAAATATGTACTATGACAGTGACTATGTACTTGACAGTGCTACATTAAAGGTTGCCCATGCACCAACCAGATTGCTCTTGACCATGCACTAGTTGTCTTTAATACTTAAAAGGTTGTTAGTGACCATTGAGACAGCAAATAGTCAAGGATGCAAATGTCTCAATGGTCTTGACAAGAGTGGGGGCCACCTTACCAGAAGTCCTTGTGTTGAAAACCTTCAAGTCCTTTCCCAAGAGAAGCAGTGGAAGAAGAAGAACACAAAATTTACACCTCAAGCCATTTTCCACACTATTCCATAGATGTACATGCAACGGGCAAGCAGACACACACGCACAGACCAAAAAAACAACATAATTCCTGTTGGCACATCTGATTTTCATCAACAACTGTTCACAAAATCCTCTAAACAGTGTAACCAATATGCAACTTTAGGGATTTCATTATACAGGAAATACCATCCTATAATGGCACTAACCAGTAGCATATGTAGCTTGGCTGACACCACCTGCTGGAATATCACTGCACTGCAGGGTTAGGTTCCCGGGAGTGGGAGAAATGGGTTGAGGGGCACTCCATGCTTGTTTCACCGGCATTGGGTCTGTAAAAAAACACGAGTCTTGTTCAAAGTGAACTGGCATACAGAGGTAGACACATCACGCATCAGGCAACTGGCATTATTCCCAAGAATGCGATTTTACTCCATCCTTCATCATACACAATAGGAACCATAAATTCGACACTTACGGTCACACCATTAAATCAAAACCCGGGGCTATTCAGTATCATAACTGTGTAGCTCATCATTGCCAGTGTTTAACCTGTTCCTGATGTACTGTACTTGCTTGCAAAATGATCTAGATTTCTGAAGGAGAAAAAGTCCCCAGCTACATGTTCAAAATGACCTCCCATGACTTGTGCGTTATCAATACTGGTTACTAATTTCATGACCTTGATGTTGCAAAGTTTCCTCTACTAGGATATCTTTCTAACTTTTGTATGTTGCTACTTTTGGAGTGTAATGAACAGTTTTGCATACTAGTACCCAGCTGAATTTGAATTGGTAGTGAGGGGGGTACTCAAAAGTGTTTAAGTTATGGTTCCTGACATCAAATTTGCATGGTTAGTAAAAACAACACGCCATGTACCACCACCTGTGAGACATAAGCTGTAAAACATTAAATGCATTTAGTCAGCAGCATAATGGAAGCAAAAGAGAATGTTAGTAAATGTTTGTTGAGTTTTACAGCTGTGGGGAAACTGTTACCAGCCAGTTAAAAAGGTGAGGTTTGTTATGCTGCTTAATTCTAATCCAATTAGTGTAACATGTTAATGTTATGTTAATGATGAAGTTCTGCCATGGTTGTGTCTCATTGCTTATTGCCAAGCATGCCCTTTGAGAGGGCTTGGTCATGCCAATAATTATGGAGCCAAATTAAACCCAGCTACCAACTACCTAAAACACTCAGCTGTGTGAGGAGTGCGGAGTCAGCAAGATTGCCTACCTAGCGTGAGAGTCAGTGAGGAGTGGAACAAAGAGTTATAGTTTGAGTGGTGTGCAGATCATTGGATGAACATGCCATCTACAAGACCTTGTAGTTGTACACTGTAGCAGTGATGACGTTTGCATCGGGTGCAATCTCGTCTCATCTCTGGCAGCATGACCACTGTCATCTCCCTCGAGAAATGGCACTAGTGTTTTTACAGTATCAGCTTGATGTTCCAGTTGCTGTGTACATTCCCAAGCAGTGCTCTTGCTTGTGAAGTTAGTATGTGGGCAATGTTGATGGTGAAAGAGTGGCGAGTCCTTGGTCTCTGTGGCTATTTGGGCATCAACAATCTTTGGACAGTTTGGATTTGTTGAAAAGTCTCTGAGAAACTAGCTGTATGGAATTTCTTTCCTTCTATCTGACATCATGCCCATCATGGAATAAGTTGCTTCATCAAATGAAACCTGCGACTAGATGGGCCCTACTAAAAGATGTTTATAAAACTTTCCTTCACATTTTGTCTAGAGAGAAATGTCCTCTTCTGCCAACCCTTTGCACATAACTAGAAGAAAAGACCGTCAGAATCTTATGTCTGTTTGGCTCAGTAGTCTATGTTGTTCCTCAATCAATACTCGGAGTGTTGTTTCTTTCACTGTCAAAATCATTCTTTGTAATCTTGCCATTTGCCTATTAACCATATTCTGTATTTAACACAAACACATAACATCAGATTAAACTTGAAGCCTGTAGGGCCAGTTTAATGTTTATCACTTGTACTTTTGCAAAATGTTCATGATTCAAATTGAGGCATGTTTATAGGAGCTTTTTCATGAGCTTGTGTGCACGAGTATAATTTACTTGACCTATAGGTATTTGCTCTGTCCATGGTGGATATGCTCATACCAGGTTACAGCAAGCTCTAACTCCTCCCACTGTGCAGGTGATGCCATCTTCCTGGCAACCTCCACTTTTGTCAGATATTCCTCTACTTCTTCATGGTCTGTGGAGATCAGGGTGGCAATGACATGCTTGACATAGTCGGCTGGAGTCAACGGTCTGTTGTACAGACTTTTTGATTTAACCAGATCTTGCACAGTTGCATCAACTTGGCCTTTCTTTTTCGTCTCATTTTCTGGTACCTCCAGTCTATGGTCGTAACTTGCTTCACTGTCTGTATCACTTGTGTCTATTATTTCACCATCTTCAATGCTACTATTGTCACTACTTATTTGCTCAACTTTCAGGATGCGAAGCCACGCCCGAGAGGAGTTGTACTTTTCTGATTTGGAGCGGTATTTGTGCAACTTGCTGTATTTTTGTGAGTTGTTATTTTCCTTGTGATCACAGTAAGAGTCTGAAAGGGTAAAAAAGGAAGCTCAAAAAAGCAGGCAAGCTGGAGAGTTGAGACAGAAACACAAGTACACAGTAAATAAACAGTCCCCCAAACCCTTCTTCCAAGTCACAAAGAAACATACCCTCTTAGATTTTCATACCAAGACAACCCATTTGTTAGGGCATGACGATAAAGGTTAGACTTAGAGATCCAGGTAACGCAAAGATTTTCTAAAGAAATGTGATGTTCTGACAAACATAGTTACTTAAACTAAACTTTGATGGTTTATCGACTGTCTTTGCAAACAAGTATGTTAACTACTTGTACCTTTTCTGATTAATTAAAACCAAAATTCTACATTCTTACCTTCTTTTTTTATGTTGCTGTCACCCCTCCGTCTGGAGGATTGCTGCCCCCCCTCCTTCCCTGTTGATATCTGTTCAAAACTTCCTCTTCTTGTCATGCTTGCTGAAATATCAGCTCTATCCATGTCCCTTCTCACACAATCTCTACTTTGTTCAGCCATCCTTTCCTTGTATCTTCTATATATATGACTGTCGATTTCTGGCGATCTTCTGGCCCTTTCCAACACCCTATCCACCCATTCCTTGTTCTTTTCCAACAGGGCGTCTTTGTCCTCTTTGCTTCCCAGTACCTTCTCTGGCGGTCTTGTTGCCTGCTCCAGTATCTTGTCTACCCAATCTTTGTTCTGTTCTAAAAGAGCGTCTTTGGCCTCTCTGTCAAGTACAACTGGCTTTGCCCTACTTTCGGACTCAACTTCTTCAAAGTTCAATTCTACTTTTGCTTGACTTTGTTGTTTCAAATTTTCTTCACTTTTTGATTCTATTTGAACCGGTTGCTTCAAATTTTCTTCACTTTTTGATTCTGTTGGAACCGGGTGCTTCAAATTTTCTTCACTTTTTGATTCTGTTGGAACCAGTTTCTTCAAACTTTCTTCACTGTAACATTCCTCTTTGACTACTTGCTTCAAATTTTCTTCACTTTTGGATCCTGTTTCATCTTTGATTTCTGGATGGATAATATTTTCACCTTCCGTCTCTGCTATGACTCCTTCCTCCAAAACATCTTTAATTTTTGGCTGTATATCTGGTTCTATTCTCTGCTCAAAAATTTCTTCACTGTTGACTTCTGTTTCAACTTCTTGGTTAAACTTTTCTTTCCTTTCGCATTCTGTTCCAACTTCTTGGTTAAAAACATCTTCGCTTTTGGATTCTGTTTCAACCTGCTTCAATTTTTCAATTTTGCATTCTCGTTCTTCTCCAATTTCTTGTTGAAAAGCGTTCTCACTTTTTGACCTTTCAATTTGCTCAAAACTTTGTTTCCATTTTGCTTCTGCTTCAGATTCAACGTCTTGCTTCAAAAGTTGCTTGCAGTTTCCTTCTACTTTTAGTGGAACCTCTTGGCAAGAATCTTCTTCGCTTTCTGATGTTATCTCCGGTGTCATTTCCAACTCGTCAGGCAAATCTACATCCTGACACATAGTTTCTTCACTCGAGTCTGTCGCATACTCAACTAAGCTGCTAAGACTTTTCAACACTCTGGACCCATGCATGTTATTCTCTGTATCCCCCTCCACTGTATCCATAGGAACATCACAATTGTCTGCAGATGGCTCGACCAGGTTTACTGCTTCGTTTGGCTGAGGTACAGGTTGGTCTGAGAGAGGTGCTGTGTATTAAAAAGCTTATTTTTTGTCAACTGCTTATGATTAGACATAAGTGTCAGTTAGTATGCTTTACAAGCATTGATTACTGTTAATGTTGTGTTGATAGTTAATATTTTCTTGTTAGTTTATCAGTACATTTTTATACTAGTCAGACTGTTGGCTTAGACATCACTACCTTCATCATGGTTTTTTGTTCTACATACAAATTTGCAAACACAAAGAAATGTTAGTATCATTGACTGGGACAGACATTAAGTTCCAGATTGTACTGAAAATAACTGTCAACAAACAACAAACCTAATTCTTCTTCACAATTATCAACATAAACCTTCCACCCAGGGCTCACCAGAGTATGCCATCCATACAATAATGTTTTGTATGGCTTCAAGTGTAACAAAACATGGTGGGCCACTTACCATGTTGTGTTTGTGGGCTCCTTTCCACAGCTACAACTACCTCCACTTCCACAGCATTGTCCTGGAGAGTGCCAGGTCCACTGTCCTCCAAGCTTCTCGCCATTGTCTCAGCTATTGACAGTTTCTTCTTCGGAGCTTCACTTGCTGCATTGTTGTTCTGCATGTCGACCATGTGGACATCAGAGTGACACCTCGGGTCATTCGGGAACACATTCAGGGCAGATTCCATGTGCTCATCATCGCATCTCGCTCCCATCAGTTGCTTTGGTGTCATCTCTTCTTTGTCCATATTAACTGGCAATCCCATAGATTTATTGTGGGTGACAAAGTCCTTGACAACCTTGACAATGGCATCGCCCTTTCTCTGAAGCAATATTTCCACAGGATTTTCACCACATCCTGTATCTGTTGTAAAAATTTTAGGCGCTTCCTTCTTCACCTTTAAACTTGCCTTTGTCATGTTCCATGCAGATGATGCCAAGATTTCCTGTTTTGCTGCCCTCAACTTTTCCAGGCTTGCAATGAGGTCCTTTCTCCTTATGTTCTTGAACATGTAGTTGGGATTGTAGCCTGAGGTAAGGTTCAACTCCTTCCTGAGTTGTAGTATCTCGTAGACTATGGCACCCCGTGTCATCGTAGAGATGTGTTTATCAGTGGGCTTCTCATCTTCTTCCTCATCAGATCCAGGCTGACACACAAACTCTTCTTTCAACCAATCTTCGCTCAGTCCTTTGTTGATGGCAAGTCTCTTGGCTTCTTGTTGAAGACTCTCAATGTCCAGGCGAAACAGATGCCTGTGCACTCTGTCTGCGTAGTCAAACTTTACCATTTTTCCTGTGGTTAGAAAGAGAACCCTCTCCACAAGATCTATCTTTTCTTTTGACATCAGCTTCTTTTCCTCACTGCATTGGTTTGGATCTCTGCTATCTTTCTCAGTACACTTCTTCTCTGGGCTAGCAGCTTTTCTTGATTTTCCTTGACCCTCTGTATCATGCTTCTTCTCCTGTCTGTCGTGGGAGGCATTGCCTTTTCCACCTTCCTGTTGGTCATTACTTTCACTGGACCGATTGCTTCGAGACCCTAATCTCCTCTTGGACCTCCTCTCTGGACTGCAACTTGAAGAATTCTCATCTCTGCTCGACCTCTGGTCAGAACTTCTACAGGTCCTCTTTGTCCTGTTCCTCCTGATGCGTGACCGGCGACACCGGTCCAGCTGACTGTACGCCTTCCTGGGTCGCTCACTGCTGTCACTGCTGCTGCTGCTCGAGCTTCTCTTCCTACGCTCAGGCCTCTTCCTTCTGTAAGGACTGGTGATGTTCATGCGGGACCCAGGGAAGACATTCCGTCCAATGGCAGGGACAGAAATACCCGACCTCCTCGCTCTTGGGATGGCTTTGCCGTCTGACCTTGCACCCTGAGGTGAATCCTTGGACTTACTTCTAGATCGGTCTCTTTGCCTACTTCTAGACCGGCTTCTTCTTCTCCTAGGTGACTTCCTAGATGTACTTCTTTTCCTCGTAATAGGATTCCTGCGATTCCTACTTTTTGTTCTATTCCTCCCCCTGGGCAGGCTCCTTGACCTGCTGCGAGTCTGGTTGACTGTACGACTTTTGGACTTGCTCCTGGATCTACTGAATGTGCTCGAGGAGGAGCTGTTTCTGTGGGTCCTCTGCTCCCTGGATTTGACATCTTTCACTTGTGCAGCTGTCTGTTGAGAATCTAGCTGCTTCTTGGTTGTTTCTTGTACATCATTCCTTTTCACATCTTCTGCACCCACCTTCTGTGCAGCTTTTAAGTAATCTGGCATCAGTAATTTACCGCCACTGCATGCCTCTTTCGAATGACCTTCACTTGTAGTAGCTTTGTGTCTATGACTATGGTTTACTTCTGATTCCACACCATTGTTTCCCATTATCTGCTGATGCTGTCCTTGGTCCTGAATCTGCTCCGCTTGGCTGTTGTTGTCCTTCTGTTCCTTTGCAACACCCTTTCTTGGAGGACTAATATTAGTTGCTCCTTTTGGAACAACATGTCTGTACTGCATGAGTTCCTCATTGTCATCTAGCCATGGGTTGCGGATCAAGTTTGCTCTGTAGAAAGAGTCTCCCTGGTTGTAGCGATGGTGGGTTGGCACTATGAGCGTACCTGCTTCTTCAGTATCTGTCTTCTTTCTACCTGGACCATCAAATGCTGCCTTCTTCGTGTTGTCATTCTCCCCTTTCTCTTCTTTGCTGTGTTTATGTGTGTTAGTTTCACTTTTTTCCATTTCAGTTGCACCACTTTCACTATTCTGTCGTTGGGTCTCTTCACATTTGTCCCTCTTTTCTTTCTGTTCTTGATCCTCCCCTTCATGCACAGCAGTATCACTGTCAAGGTCCATCATAACATTGTCATAGTTGTCTCCGGTAGTCTGTTTTGTGGGAGACCATTCTGCCATTTGGGGGCTTACAACTGCATCGCTGCGAGTGTCATCAGTTTTCATCTTTTTGATCACTTTTGTTTCTGTACTGCAATCTTTATTGTTCTCCTTGAGGACATTTTGATTCTTGACTGTTATCTTTAAGGCAGAACCAAATGGAATCCCCGACCTTCTGGGCCTCTGAGTAGTTGCCAAGTCAACTGTTTCCAAGTCAGTGTCCAGATGGAGACTGGCAGTTGCACTATGAGAAGGTCCCTTGTTCTTCAAGTGAGCAAAAACGCCACGTACCGGCCTCTTCTTGGGAAGAAATGCCTGAGTTGGGGGTGTCACACTGGTCTTCTTCACTTCATTACTACTTTTTACACTTTCACCAAGGGTCTGTGTTACTGCACTGTCTTCATCGTTCTTTGGGGTCACTGCATTGGAAGGTTTCTTTACAAGTGGGATCTCTGGTTGTTCTGCTGCTTTGTCCTCCTGTACACTTTGTGAGGTAATATCAAGTTGTTTACCAGATGAAATGTGGCTTGTAGTAGATTCTGTCTCAACAAAGTCTCTCTCTGGAATGGTCATACTGATAGAGTCTGGCGACTGTGGAGTCTCCATGGGAGGGGTTCTGTTCTCGATAGAGGACGTGTTGGACTCACTTGACGGTTGCCTCCTCCGAGCAAGTCGTGGGTCCACCGGGATGGCGTTGTCTACAGCGCTCAACACCTGCGATGGTGCCTCTGCAGAGCGACGACTTCCTACGCTGGCATCATCCGCAAAGTTGCTCTGTTCCAAGACCCCGTTCCGTTGTCTCCCCCTCCCTTCCGTGTTAGGCACCACACCAGAACTGATATCTCGGAATGGTTGTTGCATAGATGTATCTTTAACCCTTGACCCTGCTTGTGACCCGTCAGTTATTGTACTGTCCTTGCCCTGCTTGTCCTCACTCTTTGGTTCGGTCTTCTTCAGGGTGTTTTGATCCATTTGCTTCAGGGCTGGCTTCTCCAAGTTAAAGACCTGAAAGTCATTATCAAGTAACTCATAAGGCTACTACTAGTATATGATCAGCTTCATAAACCTTGATAGTGCAGAGCAAGATGAAGACCTAGCTCCGGAATTTTTTGCTTGCTCTCAAAGGAATCATATCATCCAATGTTTTCTACTGTTTCTGCAAGAAGTCTTTGAAGAATTTGCCACTACTCACCGATAACTCATTAAAAAGAAATTGGCTGTTTACGTGCCTCAAAATTTAAACAAGGAAAGTGGTCTGTATCATACCGAGGTGAAAACATTGGTGTTGAAGCTGTTCACCAGAGAGGGCAGTTGGTCACCAACATCATAGTCATCGTGGACAAAGTCATTGTCCACATAGTCAGTGGTGAAGGGCTGTTTCTCTGTCAGAGGCATCCCTGTCTTCTCCTTGCTGGAAAGAAACATTATATTTTGATGCAAGGCCAAACAGACATTGTTTTATATGATAAGCCTCCTGAAGAAGACTCTGATAAAAGTCTGCATAACAGTCAAGTATTAGCAACATATCTCAAATAAAGAACTACATTTAAAGTCTTATCATATTGAGACTAGCACTTTCCACAGTTTTACAGTTTCTTTTCAATTTTTTCAATGCCTGATTTTTTTTATATGTCTAAATCTCTGTTCAGCACAGCTGAGCCTGTCATTTTCTCTGGATAAAAATCTGGCTCACCTGTTTTTCTTGTTTTTCTGTTTGGAATGTGTAGAACTTGAAGGTGGGAGGACTTTGTAGGACAGAATGGCAAACATCTTTCCATGGTCACTACATGCACCAAGTCCTGTTGAAAAGATGCACAAAAACATACATCCAGTCAAACATATCTTGCCATGTGGATACAAATTCTGAACAGAAAGAAAATCACAAAGGACAACTTATATGTTATCAATAACATTTAACCACTCAAAACTAATGAGCAGCACCAAGGAAGAGGTACATACAACATTTAGACACTAAGCTACAGTAACTATTATAGGTAGATGGTAAACAATTAGAACTAACCTAAGTCTTCAGTGAACTTGCAAGAAGGTATCAAGAAGAGTTTCACTGGAGCTGGTGCTCCAGACACAAGTAAGGTTGACACAGTTGCCTGGAGGAAAATAGCGTTGCAATAAACTACATGTAGTCTACATAAAAATAGAGACAGAATGTATGTCCTTTTTAGTATGTGTATGTGTATGTGTGAATGTTAATCAAGAATAAAAGACTATGTCACAAAACTATAAACAAGAAATCAGAGAATTCAGAATTTTGGGAACTATGGAGGGAATTGTATGATATAATTCAATCGGGTATTACACCACTACCTAAATTCCTTCACATATTGCCACTTACTCCCACCCGGCATGTAATGTGTGTGTGTGACATATCAATCAACTGTCATGTCAAAATCCCCTCCCACCCACCATGCAACCAAAGCTACTTGGAGCAAACACACAAACCCACAACTCAGCCACCCAAACCAGTACTTCCAAACCCAGAAGTAATTATAGAAGATCACAGTTACTAGCTTGCATACAAAAGCTTTGACTTACAGAGTTACTCTGCCTGAGAAAGGCACAGAATCTTGCCATGGTGTCCCTGCTCTCCTGTACAGGTCTCACCACCAGCACGTTGTACCTCCAGCTTTCATGTCTCACTGTTGGATCATAGTAACGTCACATTTAACACACATTCAGCAACTTATTCACATACTGCAGATTCTCAGACTGGGAATAGGACAAGCAACAAGTCTCTTAAAACTTATCACTTTCATGATATACTAGCAATAATGCTCTGAGATGACAAAAACTCATCTGAAGAAATAAGTTTTTCATCTGTTTTACAACTTTCTGCATAGAAGATAGGCACTCACATCTCTTGTCCCAGGCCGACCCTACATTCTTCAGGCACTCAGGTGGGAGGACGTCCCTCAGACTGGACAAAGACATCTTGGAGCTCACTCTCACCACCTTCGTCCCTCTGGAAAGAATGTCATTAAACTATTCAAGCCTTGAAACACAAGACATTGTTTGTCTATGACATTCCTTGAATAATCTGTCAAATATTCGGTCACACATCAGTTGAAAGGGAGAGTTAGTAATACACTGTTCATAATAACATACAAAAGTAACATTATGTAGATGTGCATACTACTACATTTTGTACTATGGAAAAACAAGTATTAACTGCATTTCCCTACATGTCTTGCCAAGTTTGTAAACTGGTACATTCCGTAACACGCCACTTTAGTACTTGGAGTTGGCAATTCTAATCTGGCTAGGGATCTTACTGGTTTGAGCATTTGCATACTATAGTGGCTCTCAGAAGAACTGCAATACCTTTAGTTCTGTATTAATAAACGAGCCGGACAGCTTTACTCTGTTTTGTACACAGTCTTTCTTTAGTGTGGAATCATAAATATACCGGGATATTCAATATGCACGACACACAGCGCCCCTTCAATCAGGTAGACAGTCAAACATCCTGTCTGACTACAATTTCTTTGAAGCAAGTTCTCTTGAAGTCTGCAGTAGCCAAAACAACGGCTGTATTTTGAAAACAACTCCCCTGACTTTTACCTGACAGGTACCTTTGAAAACAACATTGCGTGACGGTCAAGGTGGAAAGTTGTGTTGGGAACAATAGGAATGTGAAAAGTATATAAGTCTTCTTTTGAGCTCACTGACTATTTGTCTGGATGTTTACATTTTCAGACAGAAGACTTGCAGTTCAGTTCATGTAAATGCACGTAATCATTGCAAAAACAACGTAGTCTTGTTGCAGATGAATTCGGTGTAACTGAAGTAAAAGCAAATGAATGTATTATAAGGAGTCTTTCTTTTATTCATGTTATATAGCAGTATGATGTCATTTTTATTTGGTTGTGTAGTATGTGCAATGTTGTTGTTATGTGTAACTGCTGTGGAATCCGGGAAGATTAGTTGCTCTTGCTGTTGCTTTTGCAACTGATGGATATCTAAATAAAGCATTAACTTTATTAAGTATCAAGTATCATTGAGCTTGAATCTTGAAAACTACATTTCAAACTTGCTTAAGAATATTTTCAATTTGATTTGGCCTGGTTCTGATACTTACAAGCTTGGCACTTTGCAGCCTTGACCAGCCAGGAAGTCCACTCGGCCAAGCTCTTTGTCCTTGTTGGTCAGTGTGCCTGACCAGGCTATGGAGTACGTGACCATCTTCTCTCCAAACGGTATCAGTCTTCGGCCTGATGCAGGCTGCTATACAAGGGGTCAGAGAAGGTCATTCTGTGCAAGCCGGATGTCTGCCTTGCTAAAAATAACACTAAGGAAATGACCATGACAATACCAGGAACACAGAACGTGTTCCTTTACTGTGTTACCTAAACAAAGATTCCATTTGAACAATTAATGCATAGTGATGTTTTCCTTCAACTAACTTACACGTCACAGTAAAGTACGAAATTACCATGTCCTGGTAAACACGAGTTTCTATACAGCATGAGCATATTCAAAGTGGGCTTCAGGATATGCTAACAGCTTTCCATCCTTACCTGCTGTTTTGTGACGGGTGTTACTGGCTTGCTGATCTTGGCAACTTTTGCTGGCTTAGTGCTAGTGACCTTCTGACTTGCCTTGTTCTTATAAAAGATGATTGCATAGGGGCAGCAGTGTCTGGGTCTTGTCAGAGGTTTGTGGTCAACCTTATTGAGTTCATACAGGTAGATCTGTGAAAAACACCAATGTCACGGAACTTTTAACACTACCACATGAAGAAAGTGGTTATATCATAATGAAGAGAGAGGAACAAATCTGTAGAGCTTTAACTTGAACCATGCAAGACAATGTTGGCATTTGAAAAAAAAAAATTAACGGCTCTCGGTGCCAAATGTGCTGATGTTGACACATTGGTGCACCAAATCAGTAGTGTGTTTTTGGTACACAGAGAGATTAGCCTAAGAGGCTCGGTGGGCGTCACTCCACCGTACAAGTGGGGAAGTCATGTAAAGTGCCTTTGCCAAGAGCACAATGTCTGGCCACGGTGAGTATCGAATTCGGGACCTATTGGTTCCAAGTCCAATAACAATGTTGGCATCAGCCAAAGAAAAAAAATAAGCATAATGAGAACATAAAAAGATTGCTTTTTTAGTTCAATCTCATTGAATATCTTTCAAGATCAAAAACTACTGTCTCTACATTGTGTATAGTAATCATACTGTTCAATGTTTACATTGGTGACTTGAATATCAGACTCTGTAATGCTGAAGTAGGTTGTTATATACAATATAGGTGGTCTCCTTGTGAACCACCTTTTTTATGCTGATGATGTGCTAAATACGTCCAAGCCTGAAAGCTTCGCAAAAACTTTGTGAATATTTGTGAAGAATTTGGCTTTCTTAATGATGTAGTATTTGATGTAAACAAATCGTGTTGTATGTATTTTCCAAGTGCTGGTATGCCACTTCAGCAACCTTTTCCCCATTAAATTGTATGGAGAATCTCAGAAATTTGTCACTTCATATGTTTACCTTAGTATTCATATCAATGACAAACTAAATGGCAATGACTACTCTTGCCCAGATAAGAGGTCTGTATAGTCGTGCTAACACCATAATACGTACAGTTGTTGTTCTCATGTTAAAAAGATGTTGTTTACATCTCATTGCTCCCAACATTTTGCCTCACAGTTATGGGACTCCACTAGCACTAGAGTTGTATCAAAGTGAGTTGCCTACAACAACTATTTCCATATTATAATGTCTTAACCAAGATTTTGCAGTGCCAGTAAAATGTTTGTTTACAATACCTGGTAGGACAGACACATTTGACATGGTGCAAATAATACTATTCTTTCATATCCTGTCTGTACATTTCCTCAAATAACTTTATCTAATCTGTTCTCAAATACGATGTAATATTCCATAACAAATTCTTCCGCAATATCTGGGTCTGTCTGTACTCATAGACATACCTTTAACTATTGTTATTATGTGTATCTATATCCGTATGTTTTCTTTTACATGGGCGAGTGATGCCGGAAATAAAGAATAACGAAAGAAAAAAAGAAAGTACCCGGTATGTGGCTCATATGTTCCAACCAATAAGTAAATAAAATAAGCTTTTTCCTCAACAGAAACAAAGCTATTTCTAGTATGAGGAGCATAAAGTTTAGGCCTCACCTGCATAGCTGAAGTCATGTCGTCAGCCCCAGAGAACACCACACAAGGCACATGACTGTCAAAGTTCTGGGCAGGCTTCGGTGGCAATCCCAAGTTGCTCTGTGGAACAACTGTCCTTGGCCGGCCTCTCATTATCTGTGGGTATGAACTTCATTATATAATCTACATAGCAGCCTTTTTCTACTTTTTTCCCCCTCTGAATCATACTTATCATGCAAATACTGATACCCTTCACCCTCAAGTGCTCTAAAAATTGTTCAAGCAGTTCAACTGGATTGCCCACCAACAGCAGTCCTCATTTCAACAGCAGCAGTAGCATCTCTGGACAATGCCATTTTCCTAGAATACTAATTTACATATTCGTGTTGAGTCTTGGACAATGCAAAACAACAGGGCTTACAGGGGCTGCAAGGAATGCAGGACCGGGCTACTTGAGAGCTAGAAATAGCATAATGGCATTGCCACATAGCCCCACCCACAGAAAATAAAAGTAAAAAAAAAAAACCCAAAAATGCAAATTATTGACAAACATGCAGCCAGTTTTGCATTAGTCTAACCCATAATTGCCATGTTATGATTGGTTGGACAGCCAAGATCCGTCTACTGAGGGACATCAACCTATGAAATCTGTAAACAGTAGGGTTTTCTCCACTGTGTTGTTAAGTGCATTCTACCAAACAAGAAAACATTTCTGCAAGATGCAAACATATCTACTCTTCTTCCAATGAAATGTTATGACAACTTCATATTAACAATCAAACTTTTGTTAGGTCCTATTATTTTTTTAAATGCCTTGTAATAAAACAACTGATATGGAACGACCTTGTAACACTGTACAAAAAGGAAAAACTGAACTTCAGCATGATACAACACTGCACATATTATTGTGCATACGACCATATGCTAATGCTTTGTATTTGCTTCTACACATAATTTCCCTCTATCAGAGCTTTACCAATGCCATGAATAAAAAAAAACACTGTTGATACAAACCTTGAACATTGCAACAACATGGTTCTTTGGTCCACCTTCAGTTTCTTTCTGAATACAAAGGTCTGGACATCTCCAAACTGTCACACCTTGACTGGGCTCACCTGTTGGCACAAACATGTCTCTTTATCCTCCTGTCACAATGCCCTATGAGTTAACGTGCTGTTTTGTCAGCACTTACAGAAATGTTAAGAATTAATGGCATCACTTTATAACACAGTCAACTGAAACAATGTTGACCAAAATTCTGAGCACAGAAAATAGCGCACAGTATTTATTTTAAACCATGATGAACTGAATCACTTCGAATATCATGTGTGCTATTTTATCAAGTTTTATATGTTGTAATTAAACAATTGTAATCTTATGAGCAGTACTACTGTAACAGTTCTTTGTGATTATTTCAAGTTTATGTGCAATGTTATATGTTAGAGTGAAAAACTGTGAATTGACTTGAATTCAGTGACTTCAGAAGTTGCCCACTGCCAAAGATCAATAGGCTCAATAAAGGTCAAGGTAAAGGTCAATAAAGACATCTTGAATCTAGTGCAAGTAGAAGTGTTCCATGCCACTAGTTTTGAAAAACGTTGTTGAAGAATGACTTACCCAGTGCTGAGTTGGCTGTGTCTGACAGAGCTGTAGTTAACCCAGAGTTACACACAGCAGACCTCTTTGTCTTGTCAGTAACATCCAGGAACGCAAACTCCTCAATCAACTCCTTGGGACTGCGCCCTTCTACGGAGAGTTCATGCTGCTTTTGTAGGAACTCTAGAATAGAAATGTTTTGGGAGGGCACAGAGGTCTTGTTAGCTGAGCACCAAATGTCAAAGTGCTCATATAATTAGTTCGTCTGCTTTTAATCTTGGTATTCCAAGACTCCATGCCTGTTCAGGTTAAAAAGCTGACTGCACTTATTTTATTGCATCTTTTTTAAAACTGCTACTAATCAGTCTAATTGTACTTCAAATATGTATTACAATATTTCTCATTTTGGTTTTGTTACTGTTATGGATGAAACAAGGAATAATCACAAAAAGTTTTCTAGGAGGTATCAGATCTTTGATTTCTTCGGTGTAGTTTTTTTTTGTTACTGTCCTGTATACTGTTCTGTGTACTGTTCAGACAGCGGTGACGTGTGTACCATTAACGTCATGTCTATATCATGCTAGCCCAGAAAGCTCCTCCAATAGAATTAATCAGGAAATGCCAGACAGTCATAACTTCCTTTCTGAAGAAATATTACCAAAAACTCAGTTCCCATCCATTATCTTCCATTTCCCCACCTTCCTACACATTTCATAAATGGATTAACCCATGCAAGTGCTGATAAAATCAAGCTGGACCTGTGCTTGTACCTTTCCTTTCCAGTTATGATGCACTTTCTTTGTGTAAAAGCAATTCTATTAGTTCTTTGATTGGCATGAAACATTAATGACTTATAATAAATTATTCATGACTAACGCAACGGCACATGATCTCAATTAAGATATTGCTGTTGGGTGTGATGTGTCGGCAACCCATTTGAGGGAAACATGACCATTAACAATTCAATAACTGGTACTGTTTAGGCACTTGAGTCAGTGTAGCAGCAATGGATCCTATGATTTAGTTAGCTGGACATATAACTTGATAGCACTGGGCAACTATGTTGACATCTGGCACCAGGTATCAGTCTGCTTCCCTACAAGTTTGGTAGAAACTTTTTTCTTCAACCCATCTAGTAAGAGGAACCATTATAACCTTTGTGCCCATGTATTTCAAGTGTATGTAGTGTCTAATAGTATTTAATTGTACAATTTCCATTGCATGTGTCTCTCTGCTGGTTTTCTATTTGCCACAAAGAATTGAATAAAATAATCATTATGAAGAAGAATACAACATAATGTCAACAGGTTGAATGCACTTTCCCCATCAAAATCAAGTCCACATAAACCTAAAACGATTTACGGTGAAATAACATAATATATTTATCACCTGACTGGAGGACATCATTCTCAACCAGCTGTATGTCAGTAATCTGGTATTCAAAGTTCTTCACATCCCAGCAGGTTCTCTTACAGGCAAACTGAATCTCCTGAGCCTCGTGGCTGTCTAGGGACACCGGCCGGAGCATATCGTCTGTGGAAACAACAAAACCTCTTCCGTGAATAGTGTCATCAGGTTGGTAAGTCACTGAGTAATGAGACTTCTGAGGAAGGTGACAGACGGTCACCAAAACATCGGCTAAATAAAAGACTTGGTTGTGTAAAAAGAGTCTCTTTACTCAAGAAAACCTGACACTTAGAACTGCAGCTCTTAGGGCAAAACTCTGCCAAATGGACAAGATACAATACACACAATCTTGGACACAATTGGATACATGAAGAAAATGAATGTTACCAGACAGCATACGTATCAATATTAATTGAAGGAGGACATATATATACAGAGTTCGAAATTCATTTTTGGGAATAGGTGCACTGGTGCACCCAACCTAAAAATTTAGGTGCACAGAAAATTTCTTGGGTGCACCATATAAAACAAAACCTAATTACAGATCTTACTGCTCCTCTTCTGAGCTTGAATCTGAAATGAGAGCTGACTTCAAAATCTTAAACAAGTACTACAACAAAAATTTTCTGACACCTAGATGCCAAGAATACCCAGTATTACTCTATACATTTAATATGTAAAAAAATACCTACAAAAATATTTGGGTGCACCAGTGCACCCACAGAAAAAAAATGGGTGCACAGCTCCAATTTTGGGTGCGCTAAGGTGCACATGTACCCAGTATTTCGAGCCCTGATATATATATATATATATATAGCCACATCCGGTGGGAATGCTGCATCTGACAAGTTGGCACAGTCCTTCCTGACCTTGGCCTAACATCTGATGACATGCAGCATTATTGTTTGCAATTTTAAAGCATTGAAAAACAAATGAGCCACATTGTATTTCAATCTACTCCAATCTTTTAACAGTTATCACTATTCAACAGTCAGGCTGTTCAATAGTTCTGGCTGTTCAACATTCAGCCTGTGCCATGGTCAGGCTATTCAACAGTTATGGCTGTTCAATAACATTCAGCATATTCCACAGTATGGCTTTTCCAGTTGGCTATGGCTATTCCAGTTATAGCTGTTCAACAGGTATGGCTATTCAACAGGTATGGCTGTTCAATAACAGTCAGACTGATCAACATTCAGCCTGTTCCACAGTCAGGCTGTTCAACAGATATGGCTGTTCAACAGGTATGGCTGTTCTACAGTTATGGCTGTTCAACAGGTATGGCTGTTCAGTAAGTCAGGCTGTTCCAGTCAGTTATGGCTGTTCAATATTCTTACCTGAGGGTAGTCCATACATGGAAGGCAGGCATAAACAAGTACCGTGGGACTTGTCTAATTATACATAATTATACTTGTGTATTATACACAATACAAAGGTCATGCAGTTAGAGTACAAAGGGCGGTATGGGCTGTATGACTATGAGTCATACACAGAGTATCAGTACCTCTTCTCTTGCACATACCAAAGTACAAGTACATACAGCCTTGCACAGAATTTGCTGGCAACACAAATGCTATTAGTATTACAAGAAGCAAAACAATTCAAAGTAGCCAGAGCTGCCTACCACGCTTCAAGTGTCAACCCTAGCAAAATTAATAGCTGAACTCCAGACATGCTTGGCACAATGACTTACTGGGTTTATTTAATCTACTTGAAATATTTATATAAGTATTCAAAAATACTTCAACAATACATAGCTCAGAAATCGGAATGTTTTTGCAGGTGGGCAGGACATCAATCTTACTGCTTCTTACAGAAAATAACTCGTGCCAACATACTGATAAGTATTTTACCACCTACCATTAAGCATTGTACTGTGTGGAGATATAATTGGATCCCTACTCACACACAATACTCCTATCCAAAATTGCTGTGTGTCTATTTGTATCTATGTCTGTACTGTCATTGTAGCTGAAATCAAGAAATTCAATTCTAGGCCACACCAATTTAATTTGTTGGTTCTCGGATACGCCTCTTCATTTTTTTCTGATTTGCAACAAAAAAAAATTCTGGTTCTGAATCAACTCAACTCAAAAATGCTCATATTTTGCCCCTAAAAGTTCAGGAAAGCCTTTTTCTTCCTAGATTTTACAGTTTTTCCAACTATCAATGCAGTGGTTTGATTAAAAGTTCAAAATTCATTGTTGAAATATTAACCCAGCCTTTTGTGTTGACTTCATGGGGCTATTATATAGGATGCCTTCACCTGTTTTTATTTCATTTTCTTTCTGAAAAAAAATCTAAAAACCAACAAATTAAATTGGTGTGGCCCACTGTAACATCAGCAAAACTTTAATTTGCTCTTGATATTCTCTGCAGGAAAAAATCTGCTTTGTCAGGATCCTGACTAAATCTCTCAACATCTTTTTTCACTGTAACACAGGAAACTGTGGTTTCTAGATAACCCTGCCTACAGCAATATGCAGCAACCTGCAGCTGCCTTCCAAGAATAGCTTGCAGAGCATTGTGCCAGAAAGTAGTACACATCTGTTAGACTCCAGGCAATATGGTGTGTGGCCAACATTCCATCAGTGTATGAAGGAAAAGTCTGTGCTCTGGAAAATATCCAATAGTCCGAGGAAGTGGATATAGTCTGACGGAAGTTTGCTGTCCAGTCCCGTTTTCATCCTAACCTCTTGCTAAATTTGTATGTTCAAAAGGCTAAAAACCAACGAAATAAAATCATATGGCCTAATGTTGTATTATGCTGTGGACAAGGGACACTGATCAGAGACTTTTAAATTAAAGCTTCCAAAACTTTTAATCTTCCACAATTTAAGTTTGTTCTATAGATGATGTGATCAAGTGGGCTTTCATAAAATTTGGAATCATTTAATATGGTAGAAACTTTGTCATAGATCACTATGTACAAACTAATGGCAACAGAACATGGCTATAACTAATTATCATCTGACCTTTTCCCTGCTGACGCACATGCATGTAACCTCTTGGCACCTGAGCTTTGTATTGGTCTATGGGTAAGTGGTAGTGGTAATAAGGTTAAGGCCACACCAATTTAATTTGTTGATTCTCAGATTCGTCTCTTAATTTTTCCTTATTTGCAAAAAAAAAAAAGATTCTGGTTATCAATCAACTCAAAAAGGCTCATATTTTGGCCCCAACAGTTGTAGGAAGCCCCTTCTCTTCAGAGTTGTTACAGTTTTTCCATCTATCAATGCAGTGGTAAATTGATTAAAAGTTCAAAATTCATTGTTTAAATTTTAACCTAGCCTGGTATGTTGACTTCATGACTCCTATTCTAGCATTTGGGCTATCAAAGGATGCCTAGTCCTGATTTTTTTTTTTTGCCGTCGCTTCATATTTTTTTCTGAGAATACATGATATGAGAACCAGCAAATTAAATTGGTGTGGCCTTAGCATGATGAAATCAGTGATGGTGGAATGTAACAATACTGGTTCTGAAACACCTGCATGACTACAGACAAAAGGTCACAACAGTATGTCATCAGCAGGAAGTGTGTAAAAAGCAAAAGTTGAAAACATTTCATGCATTAAACACTTGCTAAATGCTTAATAATATGCAGCCAGAAGGTCATGACTACATGTACCAGTACTAGTCTACAAATTGTACATTCTGCTAAGCACTTAGCATGTATGGGAATAATATGGTAGTTAAAAACACTGTGTCACTACACTACATACATGTACATGTGGACTAGCCCCCCGTAGTAGTGCTTGCACACCTGTGTGGCCCAAGGACTTAAGTAATGGTGATAGACACTGCCCTATACACCAAAAGGTGTTTGAATGATTTTGTGAAATTTAACTGAAATACCGGTAATTTTTACAGTATGTAACCTCACTGAGAATATTGTTGGCTTCCCTTCGCTGTCTACCTTTGAACTCTAAGCTGACAAGTTATTGGCTGAGTTCCCCTCTGTGTAAAACACTGTGCCAACAATACACTGTAACAATGCAAACATCAACTCCCACTGTACCTGCCAAAACACAGACAACCCACAGACAAAAGGCTACTTAGAAGCCTGTACACAATGCAGAGGGATTTTATCTCCTAGTCAACAGGTGGGTAATTGTGCAGCAACTGCGCCAGGCCAATTATCATCAACTTAAATGACAACGGCCTGCATTGAGAAGTCCAGACAACGCTTGGTTAGATGCAGGAGGAACGCCTATATATTATCCTTAATTCAGGAAGGATTTAAAATTGAGTCAACAGTGGCAGCTTCACTACAACTTATGCCAAGTAAAATTATAGTTTTCCCTACAAATTACACAATAGAAGAAAACAAGCTTGTCCTATGCTCAAGGAAAAGGGGCGTGCAGAGCCTCACTGATGTCAAAATGTCTGTTAGTAAATGTTTGCCTAGTTTACCTATAGTAGCCAGGCACAGGTTAGATACCCCTGCTGCAACATATTATAAGCTGAAAGAAACAAGTAATCTTCAAAAGACTGATTTGTCTGAGGGGAAGATGAGATTCATGTCCAATTTTTCACTAGACGTCACAATAACATTTGACTGTCGAAAAATAAACATGACCTGATTCTATTTTGCAGGCATTTTTTTTACAATCATTATACGTCATTGTGCATCATTTGGAATAAATGACACTAAAAAAGGTCTAAAACCTCCATGCTAGTACTAATAGTGTTCTTATGGCATGTAACATTTTTGGCTGCATAAAGACATACAATACCTTAAAACATGTCATTAAAAAACTTTGCAAGTGATACCATAGTTTACCTGTAACACCCAACTACAACTGCAGGCTTGCAAACATGTTACAGGTCATCACTTCATGTCACTCAGTCGCACAAGAGTATAGTAGTGTTGATTTCAACTTTGTGTAAAGAATGGTATGTGCCCTGCAGTCCTGCTTACTGGAGCATTTATCAATACTGTGCTGCAGAAAGATGAAACATCCTGTAGACAATGAAATTACCTCAAAAACATGGGCTCTCTAAATGAGGTACATGAAGTCAAAATAAACATTCAGTTACCTGTTGCTTCCATGCAGAGCACACCCAACTAAAGGCTTTCATGTAAACATATGCCAATCAAGTTTCTCAGGTCACCACTTCACCTCCTTTACTTTCATTGAATAATGCTCTCCAAAATGACTACTAGTATTTAGTAGGAAAACCTTGTAACTTTACCCCATGACACTTGTGCGGTAGCCTTTAGTGTAGTTTCAGATATAACACAGGCGTGATAACCTTTGGTGTAGTTGTAGAAGTGACAAGCATGATAGCCTTGGGTGTAGTTGTAGCGGTACTAGCTTATAGTTACTGTAGTGAACTTGCTGTACCTTTTAACTTCAGGAATACAAGACTCAGTGGCAGTAATACAGTACCATATTTTGTGATTTCATTCTTGTTACAGCATTTATGGCTTCCATTTTGAAAATATAGGCATCTTGTTTTTTTTTCATGCTCCCACATTAGATATAGAATCAGCAAGGAATGTCTACCATAAAATATACTTGCTGTGGCCTTACCTCAATTAAGTATTTTCCCAAGCCTCTATTCATTCTTTGGTACTTGCCGCCATTTGAGCTTACCAGACTGTAAACCAAGGTCACAAAATATCTAGTCCTTTCTAGTCTGTTGCCTGCTAAACACAACACCCGTCCTTGTTTATGTAAAACACCATGGTGCTTCACCCCTAAAGGTATATTCAGTTATCTTAGAAATGTAAATTAGATGTTACAGGATGTTGGGTTCATGGCTTGTCATGCGAACGTGTTGTGGCTCCATTTTGTTTTGTGGCACCTTGGCTTGCATCATCAAAAGCAAAAAGTGGTTAGTGCTTGTACAGGTATGTCCCACACCTAACATGAACCAGTCAATGTACTGGCTGTATAGGTGTATTATAGGTGGATGGCAAATGATTTTGTTACCTGTTGCAGTGCAGGTATGAGAAAATAAGAATCTGTGTAGGTTGAAGTGTTGGGAACTAGCTATATAAACAAGAAATTCAATGCTTAGTCATGCTTCGTAAGCACCCATAACATGCTATAAATTCAGACAATTGAGTGCACTAAGCCTTGAATATTCTATAAACTGACGTTGTTTACCGGTGTTGAAAATTCAACTGGCACGTATCAATGTAAACACTGTATGTACATGAATAAAAACATATACTCATGGACAGCCAGTTGGGTAAAACTTGTATGCATACATAGGTCATTGTTACATACAATATGGTACTGATCGACTGATTGAGAAAAAAAATATTTTCTCTAAGCATCACCAAACAGCCTAGTTACCAAATTCAACATCACTAGCCAACTTCACGAGCAAGATTGTGGCAATGAAATATTGCGTCACCACCGTATGTTTGAAAAACCCCAACGGTTTTGTGCTGGTGGGCTACACCTTTTGAAAATTACAACCGTTAATAACGAGACCTTCAGGCTTGAGTTGTCCTCAAACAAAATGTCAGAAGTCAGCAGTGTCACACAGACTTATTTATTGACTTGGCAAACATGTCTCCAACACAGTACGTATATATATATACCTTCAGCTGCATCACTCCTGATTCAAAAACCTGGCACACCCACATAAATTTCTAGTAATCGCTGTTAAGTTTTTATTCTTTACAAAACATTTGATAAGGATTGGGGTTAAATCCCATGCTACCAAATACAGGTTATATTATGATACAAAATGGCTAAGCAATCAACAGGTAGTTGGTGTACATACACTAACCTGATAAGGCTACGTGTCCTGTCCACGGTAGTTCTAAAACAGGAGTCCCAGTGCCCAGCTGCAAACACACACGCCTCTCCCCAACCAAAACAACCTCATGTGTGGCACAGCCCCGTCTACTGGGCAGACTCGCTCGCACGTGGGGATGTGGTGTGCTCTGATTGGTTGGCACCCTTCCAGCAGTATGATAGGCTTATCTAGATATTGCCACTTTACAATGCAGGGACTTCATCACCCTTTCTCTCTTGTTTACTGGTGACTACTTCATGATATTAAAAATTAAATATTCATGTGGTACATGAAAGGCTGGTCTACCAGGGGCTATTCATGGGGGATTTCATGAATGGATAATGTGCATGTAAGACATAGCAACAGGTAGGCTAACATTATTTCAGACAATCATGAATGGAAGTGAGAACAGGTCAAACCAAAATTCTTGCACATACAAAAAGTCAGACATGTATGTTAGACCACGTAATTTCTGAGGCATGTTATATTATATGGCATTTTATGTCATACCTGGGCCGCAATTACATTCCATACTGGTGTTCCGGACCGGGCTGCATTCTATATGTACGACCTGGCTTCTTTCAGTATGGCTCGAGTTCCATGGAACGATTTGAACGTGTTTCGCCCTAACCGCGTGCACCACTTTCGAAAATTCGAATACAGAATTCAGACGTTGGAATTGATGTTGTTGCATTTTTTGGGTTTAGGGACACCAAATTTTCGTTCATTTCAAATTGAAAGGCGTGTTGGGTATGACATAAATAAAATACAACACGGTGTATTCCGCGTCACCCTCGGTCCCAGCCCTCCCGCGGATTGGATCTCCCTCCAGTCTTCGGCCATCTGGCGATCCAACGCGCTGTCGGGCTGATACCTCGGGCGATACGGAATACCCCATGTACTATTCTATATGTATTTTGCTGATATACTACAACTACAAGTACTAGTATCACAAACAAATAGAAAATTTCAAAAATCATGAAAAAAATTATCAAATTCATTGTATCTTTTTACCAGCATATGTTATGAAAAGGCCAGATGTGTACATAATACTCAGATCTAGGTCACCAATCATAATTCTATTTATAGTATAATTATACTGACTGGTATAATTAGTGAGTGAGTGAGTGAGTAAGGTATTCCATACATAGCACCTTCCAACACAAAAGGGGAAACCCTTAGGCTTTAATAGGTACATTAGTCTCAAAGGATTAACATGCAAAATAAGAGCTGTTTGTGACATTTGAGTCTGCATGCCATCTGTACCGAACTACTATAAAGTATTAAAAATGGAGATATGTATCATTAATATGTAAGGTGTGATAGTGTTGACTTTTTGGTGTGAATCAAGTATATTGTTTATTATTGTTTCAAAGACCTCCATTACTGCATTAGTGACAGTATATATTAAATACATGACGTCACTACTTTTCCTAGACATATACAATAATACATACATGTAACATACACATAACATAAAAAATTATGATATACACATACACAATACATTATATTTTGTTTGGTGTTATGAAGATACATTTGCTAAAAGCCTGGCGATACCAATTGTATATATAGTATGTTGCCGGTTCTCAGCTTGAAAAAAAATGCTGAACTGAAAAAAACGTCAAAACAAAATTTGAATGTAAATTGATGAAAGTTTGCAGGGACTACATTTCACAGTAGGAGGGGAGAGGTGTTTAGCAGTACAGTGCAAGACAGAGAGGTGTGATAACTTCAAGGTAAGGTGTCACCCTGAAAATTGTCAACATGAATTAAACCACCACGAATATTTCACTTACATTACAGTACAGTCAAATCTGTACAAGTGGCCACTTCTACACAAGGTCTGTCTGGCCACTGCGATCATGTTTGGTGGTCCCTCAGATAATTAAACAAGCCACTGGGCTGCCAATACTTACTTTTGCATACCTGCACAGGAGCAGGTAACATTATAAGATTACCTGCACCAGAAGAATTTGTCCACATAGACCAGATTTTATCAGGCTACTGAGTGGTTTTCTTGTTCGGTTTTGATTGCATCCTGTTAATTAACACATACTTCAGGGTAGACTCAGTTTTCATGTTCTCCTCCTGCCCTAATGTTCTAATTTAAAGAATCCAATAACCAAGGAAGTAGAAAAATATTGGATAACACATAGAAGCTTATGTCAGGAGTGATACTAGCGTACTTGTTATTTCATGAAGCTAATTAAAATGCTGTGCCCTCATGTTGTCCACACCAAGAATGAAATTAGCACATCTGTGTTGAAACTATACATTATTAGAAGTTCACCTTTATCTGACCTCCTTTGACCCTAGGGTTAATGGGAAAATGGGTCAAATCCCTTTCTGCTGTATCATGTGTTGGATAAAGATACAAACCAGACCTTCTTGTTGATTTAGAGGTTAGATAGAGACAGTTGAAATGTCCATGATAATGCTAATTTATCACGCCTGATATGGACACCACATGACAGGGCTCGAAATTAACATTGTCCCAGAGTCAAATGACACTAAATTTTCAGCTTGGGACAATTCAAATTACGTTTCGGGACAATTTTGGGGCAATTGGAAAATTCTAAGACCATCCACGTCATTTGGGAACGCGATCCATCCATCCTGCTGCAGACTGCTGGTAGCCTATAAATATATAATACTCTGACAAACATTTAAATTTGACCAATCAGGGATTCCAAATATCAGGGACGGTGCCATGCCCATGATATTATCATGTATTTCCCTACATTTACTAATAAAGTGGACTTCAAGTTGTACAAATTCAGTTGTTGTTTTCTTATTTTTGTCATCAACTTATTTCCTGAAAAGCAGGCTGGGACAGTCCATCTTCAGTTCGGGACAATTGAAATCTATGTTCGGGACAATTCTAGGACAATAGTGAAAAAAGTTAATTTCAAGGCCTGCATGAGATTGCAGGTACTGTGTGAGGGATAGAAATTGGAGCCAGACATTCATTTTTGGGATCACCTACAAATCAAGGTAGCCTGGGTACCATCCGGATCATTGATTTTTTCAAGCGTTGCGTAGCGAAAATCCGGATGGTACCCAGGCTAAAATCAAGGTGCACTGGACATATTTGGGGCACATTTTTCATGCAAACCTTACTCAAGTTACTGAAATGCAATGAAGTTTTTTTTTCACAATTAAAGATTTCCCATGCGTATTCCATCCTGAAAAAGTGAAAGGTAGAATTAAGAACATGATATGACATTGAGCTTTCTCCAGTGTCACTGTTACCGTCAATGTATAAAATTGTGCAAAGATCATTTCATATAACATGTTACCTTTCATTTTCACCTTCCTTGCCGCTTGCCTCTTCTTCACGGGAAGGGCACATCGCCTACCTGCTTGGCTAGATGCTGCCATCCTTTTATTGGCCTGACAGCAAGTGGACAAAAGGTTAAACTTAAAGTAATCTTCAACTCAAGTGAATGATTAGGCCTAGAAAAAAAATGTTGTGTTTCAGTCCTGAAAAAATTAGGGTCGGTAGGTAACGTTAGGGATTATCTTTTTTTTTCCTTTCTTTTTTTACTACACTTCGGCTATTTCTAGTGATTGAACTTATACAATACAGTTTAACGAAGTAAAACTTGCATAAGGACACTTATACTTTCAATGCCAATGTTGGAAAACCAATTGTGCAATGTTTAATCACTCAGGTGTCAGATCATGGAGGTAGGAAAGGTCAATCAGCTAAAAAAAAAAAATTCATGTCCCTTGCAGGGGTCAACCAAACAAAGGCTGGGGTGAGCAGTTTTTTGGGGGGTCGGTTGGGAAACAGGAAACACAACATTTTTTTCCTAGGCCTTATGCTTTATATCTAAATATCTGAGTTGTCCTCTTACTAGTCTTAGTCTAAGAGCTTGTGTTGTGCAACTTATCAAAGATTCTTATCAGATCTGATGTTATTTTGTTGCAACAACTGTTTGCAAGGCAACAAAAAATAAAGGAAAAGACTAACAATAAAGCCCATACATAATAACAGCATTCATCAAATCTATGGGGAGACCCCAATTCATTTACATAACAATATTAAGTACATTCCTCAGGTAACATCCTTTCATTAGCAGATAATGCATAAACAGATTACAGCGTCGTGAAGACTTCATCTTTTGACAGTAAAAAAAGACTGTAAATTATTGCCTCGCTTCTTCGATAATAAACAGTTATTTTTTTCAGGTTTGCAACATGTCTGCTCATGTCTTGTAGCCATTTTTCTCTGAAATTCCTGAGTGTTGATGTGTTGACGTCTTTTCCCACGCCTGCATAGTTACTAGCATGCTGTTTTGAAAGGCCAGCAATCCACTGTACCAAAGCTAATTTAGCACTTATCACAAGTCTAGGAATGTACAATATTTCATCGGTTGGAAAGTGTGGATGCCCTTAACCAAAAATGTCGGCAAGTTCCCACGACGACGCTCTACACACCATGCCCCCACCACAAAAACACCGTGATAAAATGCATGCTCGCCACCGTAGACCAAAACCAAGCCCAAAACCCAGCTTCCCGTCTAATCAAACATATATCTTCTACACAAAGGAGCAAGTTGATAGCTGGAAAAACAGATAAGAGGTGGAAAATATTTACTTACGCCAGACCTAGCTGTCCCGTGTCTCCCCTTCTGCATGGCTTGACTCATTAGCATGCCCTTCGCGAAAACGATAAATTTATGCAAAAATTGACCAATCATAGAGCGGGAAGAACTTCAGTCCAATCATGGTTTCAGCAGATTCATGGTTCCAGCAGACCACGTACGTTAGCCTCTTCAGCAGGCTTAGTAGGCTGATAGTCAGGCAAAAGGTGTCAAAAACCCTGTGGTGATTAGAAAACTGAATCAGATATAACGTTGCACTCAGAATACAGCGCACACACACCGACGGACATATCACAGAATACTTCATCTCTCACCACCACATTAGGTTAGTTCCCTATCAAATGTTTGGCATACAACAGCTACTGTGCAGTACCAACAAAGTCCGGTGTGTGTCGCTCATGTACCGCGTACAGTAGAGTTTGGCACCATCTTACACACGTTACAGCAAAAAATATTTCTACATGTCACGGAGTGACGACAAATACTGTTTAATTTAAGGTTTGATATCCATATTTAATCGTATTTATTTTGACACTGAGGAAGTCATCTAGAGGACAAGGTTACTCAACTCAGATGACACTCAAGAACAGACAGTCTTGAACTTGATAGACTAAATTGGTGTGACCACTGGAATCACACGTCTACCTAGGTTCACCTCAGGTTCCGTAGTGGAAAACAACTTTACATGGTAATAGTCCCATTTTCTAGTTCAGTTGACACGAATTTTGAGACAACTTCATGTTTGAAAACAGGTAAACATGTCCTTCAAATTAAATCAAGGTTGACCAGAGTTGTCAGAGTCAGATTCTTCTTATTAAACTTCTGTGCCATTTCAATGTTTAGCATGTAACGTTAAATGATTTCCTAGTTGGCTTCAAGATTTAATCTCCATTTGTTTGAAACCATACCTTTATACTTAAACCCATGGACGTCCATGTTTGGATCTTTAATGCTCATAATATAGTTATAACATCATTATTTTTTTTTTTCATCAAATTACCAACAGAGCACATACCACACTCAAACAAACTCTCATGCAACTGATGATTACAGGTTTATTACATAAAAAAAGGGGTCCATACAGTAATAACACCTGTGCAGTAACACTAGTTCAGTTTCATATACATTGGAAATAGCTTCACATACTCATTGATTGACAAATTGTATATTTAAATCTCTGCATTTACTCCCTAGAATCTTCCAGAAGTATAATTGTAAGTAACACAATAACAATTACAGAAACAAAGAGGACATGACTTATCATCAATAAACAGTCAATTATTTCTGGTAACTCCAAGTTCAAATACACCTTCTTTTACAGTTCTTGTCAACATTGAAGACCACAGGTTACTTTCTAGAATTGTCCTGGTACAGGCACAATTCTGGACATGTACCTAAACCTCAGTTTGCAGTCCAAGTAAGAAGAACCAGTCTTCTTCATCTTTGAGAGTTTGACTCACAATTCTGTACTCCAAGATTGTAATACATACCACACTTTATGTAATTCTGAATTAATCTGGTACATAACAATGTTCATCTTTATCTCCATACAACGTCCAGTTGGCTGGAATGATGATGCCCGGGACTGACCAGCAGAGCGGTCAGCAAACTCTCATCTCTTCTCCAGCTGCTTGAACTTGGCTTCTGAAAGGCAAAAGTACAAAAGTGACTGAGTTAAATCTATATCTACTTCTACTTACACACACTTGATTCACACCTTAACATGTACGTGTACTTGTACAGTTTACAAGATGTTTTCATGAACAGTATCAGAAAACTGTGTTACCATCAAACACAATGTTCACAATGCACAAAAGTTAAACAAAGGGATGTGTTATCATATTCTTAAGACACAGACTGTCCTTTTGTCAGTGTAAACTTTAAGTAAAGTATAGACTGACAAATGAATTGCTGTACAAACCTAATCTCTTGGAGTAAGCGTCCAGTCTGTAGGCTGCCTGCTCCAGACTAGCCACACTGTCCTCTATCTGGTCTATCTGGTCCAGATATGGCTGCAGGCTGGCATCTGGAACAGTATCAACTAGTTTTACACTTGTACATGTATCTAGGTACATATGGGTTTACATACATGAGTGTAGGTACTAGTACACCCTACCTGTACCATGACTTAGTACAGGCATAGACCTGTACCATGATAACTTGATAAAAATAATGGAATAAAAGAATAAAATAAGAGGCTGATAAGGAATCCTGTAATAGACCTACATGCCACCACACATACTTTATGTAATAGTGCCCAGGAATAGTGCCCAAACAATGAATTTTCAACAAACATTGTAAGTTGAAAGACATTGTGAATGCATTTTAGATATAAATCAACCTTCCTTCAACTATCAATACCGAAACAGTTAAAAATTGGTGCGTAACACAACAATGTTCAGGGGTTTTTCTGAACAGGGAACTTAATTCGCTCCCTTATCAAGTGGTGCTTCCTCACACTTAACTTTTCTAGAAAAAACCCTGATGTTGTATGACTCACATTTCTCATTGAGGTCTATCATGGCCTTGCTGACTCCAGCTGCCACGCCCCTCATCTCAGCATACTTGGCAGCCGACACCTTGTTCATACTCTCCAGTAACTTGTAGTCATCACACACAACTGGGAAGGGAGGCAAGGAGAGGATGCATTAGTCTAAGTCATGAAATATTTATGTATGGAGGTTTAGTTTCTGATGTGCCTGTTTGTGTATTTGCTTGTGTTTACAGTTACATGTATTTCCAAATGCTAAGTAGGTCGAGAACATTGACATGGATGTTGTGTAATAGGTCAAAGGTCCCAGAGAAGATCATCTAATTTTCTGTTTTCAATTCATTATGCATGTCATTCTGTCATATGAGAGCCTGTGAGTGGTGAAATTCTTGACCAGAATCAGCAAGAATAATCAAATCTTTTTTAATCTGTGTCTACAAACTCTGCTGAAGGGGCTGTTACAGCCCTCAACATCACAAGTTACACCAGGGAGGTTAAAGAGAGACTAAACCCTCATAATAGTACTACCTGTCAGCTCTCCATTCAGGTACAGAGTCATCTTCTCAAACATGTCCCTGCACAGCCCCCTGAGCTCTTCCGGCTGTGTACCAGCCGTGCTGTCCAGGGTAGCTGCTCCTACTGAGCTGTTGGTAGCTGTACTGATGCTGTCCACGGAGGGAGGGTGATCATCCTGCTGTCCTTTTGGTGACTCTGGAAAGTTTTTAGCAATATAAATTTTTAGAGAAAAGGTGACAAAGAATTTATATTAGGAAAGGAAGTCCAAAGGGGGAGGGGCGAAATCGTTTTGAAAATCCGTCTTTTCTTCCGTGCAAACAACCAAAATGACGATTAATAACTAACACACGACCAAGTAGAGTTTTTATTGGCTTCTTTACCGTTCGTATCTGTGGTGTTCGCCGCATCTTGACTTGTTTTTGCGTCGTCTGCAGTCGCAGCCGAAATATTTCTCTCCTCATCGGCCATCATGATCATCATCATCACCACTGGACCAACGATTTCTGGGGAGGGGGGCGCCTGTTTGCTTGACTTTTCTTCACTAGACTATGAAACAGTCCACCAACAGTGTACCTATAACTTAATTTATTGTTTGAAGAGAGGAAATAGAGATATCTAGGCTTCTTTATTCACCTAGGATTCTTCAAGTCAAAAAAGTTAAAAAGGTGTCACCTCTCTGCCAAATGAAATATTCTATTGACCTTTGACAAGAACCCGGAAGTAGTGGCAGATGACTTTACAAAACTGTACATCTTTCCTAACATTTACAGAGCAATTTGTGATAATTCCGCGTCTTTTTTCCGCGTTTTGTGGCGTTAGCGAGTCTTAAGACACTCTGGTGACTGAGGTGGACATTTTGTTTTACGAAATGGCTTCTTATTTTGACGAACACGACTGTGAACCCACCACGGAAAGCAGCACACCGTTTTCACAGGCCAACAACTTGTTATTACAACTGGCAAGGTATGGGGGAGAGGTGACGTAGGATTAGATAGAGATAGACGTCTAAAGGATAAGCCCAAATTGGGCATCTTAATCATGTCAATAGTGTCAAAATTCTTATTTCTAGGAACAGTCTGTCAATAACCTACTAGTAACCTTGGCCTTCCTAAAGTGCCAATGGAGGGGGGCGAGTGAGTTACTTACGTACTTTACGAAATCCATCACACGACTTTACTACCACCAAGGCTCCCACATAGTGTGACTGCCGTTATAAATGAATGTTTTCCCTTTACAGAATGCTGCTTGAACAAGGGCCAGATTTTGAGATGGACCTCACAAGGTACTGTAAGTCCTTAAATAATAGCAATGGTTTAATGTTTGCTTCACCGTTTACAATGAGCATGCTGTCGTAATTGTGAGCATTTGCTTGCTTTTGACTAATAGTAACAGAGGGGCAACTTCTACCAGATAATCCATTAGATCATTGTCATTTCTACAGCCTAACACCCGGGGAACGTCAAGCACCACCTGCATCCAAAGCAGCTGTGGAATCATTGAAAGCTGTTCAGATCACGCCCAGTCAAGCAGGTACAGCTTTTTTTTTTTAGTTTGGCCCCATTCCCACTAGGATAAACTTGTCCGGATTGAGCCAAATTGATTCACTTTGATCCAGCTTTGATCTGGTTTGACGCCAGATCAAAGCAAATCAATTCAGCTACCTCCGAACAATTTTATCCTAGTGAGCATGGGAAAAGGGCCTACGAGAATTTGTCTACCAGTCCTCACGTCTTCACACATGCTTATTTTTGCCAAATGTGTTGGTGGTAAAATATTTGGAAAGCAACTTGATGTTTACACATGTATTTCTGTTGTGCAGCCAAGGGTGCCAGCTGTCCTGTATGTCTTGCTGAGTTTGATGAATACGAGTTTGTAAAGGTCATGCCCTGTCAACACAAGTTCCACCCATCCTGTATACTCCCCTGGCTGTCAAAGGTATTCCATCTTCAAGAAATTCTAATGTCATTCTAACATAAAGTATAATATTGGAAATAAAATAGCTGTATTACCATCTCAAACTTTCTAATCAAGTTCGTTGGATTTCGAAATGTCTAAAACTGTGTCAGTAAGGTTCATGGTTGCTAACTCAATCGTTCTTTGACTTTGTGCACAACCTCAACATATTCACCTGCCAACATTTAGGTAGTCTTTCTGCTACCTTCCTCAGTTGTAATTGGTGTCCAGCTTTCGAGGCCAATTATCCTTCCTGCAGTAGAACCACCTCGTATACTAGTAAAACCAGTCAGTATTGCTAAGGAAGGTACCAGTTGCAGCTGGATTATATACAGAAATCAATTTCTACTACCAGTAGCAGCAGGACTACAGAAATACTGGCATGTGAATACCTCTTTGACTACAGTTGAAAATGAAAACCTCTGTATTCCAGACCAACTCCTGCCCAGTGTGTAGACATGAGCTGCCCACAGATGACCCTGAGTATGAAGAGGCCAGAAAGGAAAAAGTGAGTTCACTGTTGGTGTAGCCCAACATCCATCCTGTGTAGTTCCAGATCACACCTCTGCTTGCTTCCTTGTCAAATAGTCACATGCCACCATTTAAATGTTTGGCTCTTACATCATGAACTATTTTGGCTATATTATCAATATACAGCAGTGATTGAACTTACAAATGCCTGTTTGATTACTTCTATGCAATTCACATTGCTTGAGCACAAGTGCTTGAGCCAATCAGGGCTTTTTAACTTACATTTAGTCTGTACTAGCTACTGTTCCTGAGCTTTTTGTCCATTTCTGTTAGTGTAACAATACACTTTTCAATTTTCCCTTCCACATTCTTTTGAGTAGCTGGTTCTGGAGATTCCAGTTTGTTTGTTTTGTTTGTTTCGCATAACCGGTAAACCGCCTTCAGGCGTAACACACCAGTTTTGTACATGTGCGCACATGTACAAGCTGCGTAAGACCGGACTGTAAGTTTTGAACCACTCACACCGGGAAGATCCCCTACTCTTTTCGATAAGTGCGGTGGGTTCTTTAACGTGCATGGGGTGTGGCTCTCCCAAACACGGGACCTCCATTTAACGTCCTATCCGAGGGACGTCCCTAACCGAAGCTAGGTACTCATTTTCACCTGAGTGAAGTGAGGAAAGTCGTGTAAAGTGCCTTTCCCAAGGGCACAAGATCGGTGACATGGGCAGGGTTCGAACCCACAACCTCTGGGGTGTGAGCCGAACGCGCTACCGACTGCGCCACACGACCCCACATTGGCCAGTTGGCCTCTGCAACGTCAATGTGTAAACAGTTATACATGTACTGAACTTTCTTTCGAAAAGTTTGTTTTCATCTTTAAAGGGAGCTTTGTTGTTACTCTATTACAGGAAAGAGCAAAAGAAAGAGAGGCGCAGCTGGATATGCTTCACAATGCCATGTATGGATAGGTGGATTTGCAATATACACAGTGCTGCTTCAACTGGACACTTTTCCTTCATAGGATGCTCAATTACATATGGCTTTATTTGACTCAGGAGGAGGGGGGGGGGTAGTCCTGGACAAAATTTAATCTTGAGTCTGTTTCACTTTTGATTTACCAATATTTGCCGGTTAGGCATGATATATATTTTTTTTTAAGATTGGGTACTAATATTTCTCAGTTTATTTTAACAATGTAATACATGTAAACATTGGCAATCTGCACATTTTTCAGTTTTATTCCATGTTTTGCACTTCTCCTGTAAAAGGAACAACAAATAGATCAGAAAAATGTATGTGGAAGCTTGGACAGGGGTCTGTCTAGTTGGCACCTGATGATGTCCTAAATAACAAGGTGGTTATGTCGCTTGTAAGAACACACCGTTGTAAACAACCAACAAATTTATTATATAAATACATATATGTATTGAAAAATATAACATTTGTGTAACAGGAACATGGTCAAGTAAATTACTTAGTCCTATAATAAGATCTTTTTCTTTATAGTACAACTTATCAAGTCACATGTAAAAAATCGTTGGCTGTTTTTTCAAACCAAGTGAATCTTGTCCACAGATTTCAGGTAAAAGAGCACAGTAAGTAATTATTCACAAAGTAAGGGCAAGTACTTCAGCTCACAGACTAATGTACTTTACTCAAGAAGACAACTATTCCCCTCCACTTATCTTTTTTTCTGCCGCCATATAAAGAACCGAAATAGTTGGATGATTCAAACATGAAATACACAATCTAATCTATGACAAACTCTACTTGTACATTTCCATAATGCTGCCTGTTACATGTTGTGGCATTTTTTTAACGATACTTAAGCCCATGTCTGGCTTCTGACGTTTTTCAGACCAAGTTATGATGTTGTAAACATTGTATCATTGATGAACTGTAACTACTGAGATACAATGTAAACTTTCAACTGTATTTCGCATGCATGTGACGATCCACTTCAATGCAACAAGAACCGAACAAAAGTTGTTCACAACACTAACTATGAAATACTTCTTCTCTTACCTGTCTTTCCAAATCACAGTGACCAGTCATACATGGCTTTGTGGCAAGTGTTAAGAAATAAGGACTTCTATTAAAGACCTGTTTCCTTTTTCAAACAACACTAGGCATTATGACTATGACAATAACACATAAACATAGTGTTTCTATCTACCAAACAACATTAATTTGTTTGCCACCTGTTTGGGAACATTGGTTGGTTAGGGAAAGGAAACATGGTGTGTGGTGCAATCATTGGTCTGTGAAGAACATTTGGGCCCGTACCCAGTAACGACCAGTTCCCTCGGTGCTGTAGGTGACTGGTGGGGTACTGGACCTGACGGGGTGGTGTTTTGTGTACAGGATAGGTGTAGGGAACTGCTGAATACATGTTATTAGGACACCGAGGTAAAAAGGACCGTTTGTCCAGTGTACGAGATGTACAGTGGACACCAGGGCCAGCCGCCTGCCTAGATGGACTGGGTACTGTTCTGTTTGTGAGGTACACGTGGGTCCGGATGTTCTTGGTGTCAGCAGTCTTCACTTTCCTACCACCTTCCGAGTCAAGAGGACACTTAGCTGAAAGAGTAAAATATGAATAATAATAATGATTTAAGTTTGAAAGCCTAACTTTGAATGATCATACATGTATCTCCTTTAACTTTTTAATCAATTTTCTGACTTTAACCAAGAATGTCAAAAATATTACCTGCAACTTGAAATAAGTTTCTTCAAGTATGTAAATTTTGAGTAGCTTAAAAGTATCATGCTCAAAAGTATCATGTTATTTTGTGCTTTACGACACACTATAACCAGAATCACAGACTGCCTTCAATTCATACAGGATTTAGAACTTGTACATGATCATTGAATGATCATATCTCTATGACTTCCTTTCTATCAATTTTTCTGACTTCTACCTATAATTTGTCAAAAATGTTACCCACAACTTGAAAGAAATAAGTTTCTTTAAGTGTGTAAATGTTATAATTTTGAGTAGCTCAAAAGTATCATGCTCAAAAGTATCATGTTATTTTGTGCTTTATGACACACTATAACCAGAATCACAGACTGGCTTCAGCTCATATAGGATTTAGTACATGTACACTACAGCTGCTACTACATTGTACTTACTCAAGTTACTGGTGACAGAGAATGTTCTCCTCTCCTGGAGACTGGAATCCCTGACAGTGCTGATGCTGTGTGAAACTGCAGTGGCCACAGATGCTGCCTCTGTCTTGGTGACAACTTGACAATGATTTGTGTATAAAGAATAACACATTAATCAACCTTCACTATAGGATTCAACAAAGGGGAGAAGTTAATCATATATATTAGATACAGTAAGCTAACACTGCATGGAGAAATTTATACACAAGGGTGTGATCAATGTGAGATCAAAAAACAATATCAGTAATACATATTTAAGACAAATACATCGTACAAAGTATTAATTTAAGCATCTAACCTTTTTTACAGTGCAGAATCTACCATACCTACTTCATGCACAACAGGCTAAGTCCATACTGTATCGTGTACAATATCATCAGTCTCAGTAAATCAAGGGAAGAAACTTACCAGATTGTATTGTTCCAGTAGATTCCCCAGGGATGTCCTGACTTGCCTTGGATGATTGGCCAACTGCTACTTTAGCTTGTCCTTTGGCATCTGGATTGATGATAGTAACTTGCAAGCTCTTAGAGCTTTTTGCAGTTACACTGGGTTGCTGTTGATGCAAATCACAAGGACTAGGCACTCTGGTAGCTGATGGTTTCTGTGTCTTTTCAGTTGATACGACTTCCGGTCTCTCTGGTCTGTCAGTGAAGCCCGAATGTCCTTTTTCTCCAGGCTTCTCTTGGAGGGATGTACTGGCCTCCACTGTAGTCTCATCAGCAGTGGGGTTGACGTGACTTTGTGATGTCACTTCATGATCCAGTCTTTTCTGGACAGTCTTTCTCTTTTTGCTTGACTGCTTCTCATGATGTTGCTTTCCACCTGCATCATGCTGTCTCTTCATGGTCTTTGCGGACAAAGAGTTCTGAGCTTCTGCAGTTGAGATCTCTCTGCTGTCTAGTTGCTTGGTCTTGTCATCTTCTGCAGGGGACTTTGACTTTGAGCGATTTCTGTTCTCCCACAGATAGCACTTGTCCCCTTCATACAGGAGAATCGTGTGGTATTTCCCACACTTCATCTTGCACCACTCTATCTTGGCATGATCTGGTGAGCTATCCTTGAGCAGTGTCTTCAGAAGGTCCTGACACTTGGCTTGCCTCTCCTGTACCTCAGAAATCTTGGCCTTGTCGGGGATGATCCTAACAGAAGGCTTTTCTTCCTTCAACACATCTTCCAACTGATGAATGTCCTCTCCATGGGCGTGAATTTGAGACCTAAGTAGCATCCTGACAAACTCAGTGTTGTTCCCATTGATCTGCTGATACGACCTCAGACTTTTGTGCAGGGCCTTCACTTGGCCTTTCTTCATGTCCAGTTGTCTCAGCAGTATGTTCCTGATTGTATCAGGTCTCCTCTCTTCTGGAGGAGCAAATTCCTCCTCAGGCACAAGGCTCACATCTCTGAGAGGGGTTTTCTGTTTTTCTCTCCTCTGTATGTTAGAAAGGTACGTCTTGGTCGCCTGTAGCATTTCGAGTTCTGTGCTGATTTCTGACAGGTGAATGGTGGCAGCTCTGAGTAGCAGCTTGTGTTGGTCCTTCTGCAGGTTGACTCCATCAAGGATGTTCTTATTCAACTCAAGATGCACGATTCCCTGTTGGAATTGTTCTATCTCTGCAGACACTTTCTTCATCCGGTCTGTAACACACTGGAACACCTGCTGTGCATGACCAGACCTGGCGCAAGAGAGCACCATGTCAAAATCAAACGGCTTAGAATCTTGCGACATCTTCACAGCATTATACAATGGTGTGCAGATTCTGTCTGGTGCAGGCTCCTCTGGATCGTGCAACATCGGTCCTTCAGCACCCTGGCCATTGTCTTGAGGACTTGTCACGCTGAATGTCTTACACAGTTCAGATTCACACAGATTTCCAGGGGACCCACTACTCTTGTTAGATGGTGTTGACCCTTCCTTTTCTCCATACAGAACAGAGTTTCCAGCTTCATGAGAGCTAGCTGCTGCTGTGGACTCTGAAGTGTTCTGTTCAGTCAGTTCAGTCTTTGCCTCAAGTCCACTGCCATGCACTGTTGCTGAGCCACTGTCAATATTTGGTGACTTTTGTTGCTCTTCTGCCTTCACTTCCCTGCCTGCTTTGTTTGTTACTTCCTGGTGAACAAGTGATTTGCATAATCTTGTCCATTGCTTCCTTGCTCTTACATAGGCTTCTTTCTCCGTCTGCCTATCACATTCTTTTGTAGTCGTCTCTTTCACAGGGGATGCTGTGCTATGCTCATTTATGAACATCTTTGGGCAGCTTAATTTTGTTGAGAGTACAGCTGCCATGGCTAGCTTGTTACCAAGAGTTGGGCTGACGTTGGCTGCAAGTTTTCCTGAAAAGGTACAGGTGCTTTCTACATCAGTGAGCTCTCCTTTTGACACGGAGGCAGCACACGAAAAGGGCCTGGAGGCACCCTTGGATGCTGTGTTTTTAGCCACAGTTTCCTTGTTGCAGAGAAAGCTGTCATGTGAAGATGAGGAGTGAAATGATTGCCCTCCCACAGATGAGCTCAAACTGGAGTCAAATTCATGATGATCTGTGAGTGTAGGCACATCATCTGCCAACTGCTCCATATTATCATCTGCAAGTTGACTGACAACAACCACCTGGAATGGATGAAGTGATGGATCATATGTTACATATGTGCTTCCATCATTGTCTTGTCCTCCGCCTTTCTGGCTTTTGTTAATCAAGCCTTTCCTTCGACTCATACGTTTCATTCTTCGACTTATCTTTGTAGGTAGTGTTTTTTGGGTCAGCTTTGCATTAGATTCTTCCATCCTCCTACTCATCTGTTCAGGCGATGAAGAATTTTTAGTACAGGGTTGTGTTTCTGCCTGGTTTCGTGACTCTTCATGATCACAAAGCATCCTGTGCTTGTCATCAGTTTCCTGGAATAGAGCAAATCCAGGCATTGCCCTGGTGTCTTCAGAAGGGAATGCTGCTTTCATTTTGAGAGAACTCTTCTCTTCTTCACCTTTTTGTTCACCTTCTTGTTCTGTCCTGGCCTTCTCCAATGGCATGGGCTCATCACACAGCATTGGAGTCAATTCCTCATTTCTGTCTCTTCTCTTTTCTTCGGCAGAATGCCACAAATAAGTCTTTCCAGTAAAAGATTCTAGATTAACTTCTACATGATTGTTCTCATTGTGGTCCACCGTCATGTTCTGTACGTTTATACTGAGGTTTGGTGTTACTCCTTTGTCATCACAGCTACCTTCTACTTTGGATGTGTTGTGCTTCCCTGTGTGAAGCATTTTTGTCTGCATACCGGTACTTGCGCTCATCTCTTTGGTTCCGATCACTGCACACTCTGGCTCTGAGTCTCCACACTTCCTTGACATTCCTATCAAGTTACTGCAGTGGTCTGCACCTAACTCTGCTGCTTCACCTGAGGGTAAGGAAGGTGAGCTTACAGGCCTTTCAGCAATGGTGAACAACTGCTGTGGTGGAAATGACATGAAGGTGGGAAGTGGTGGTGGTAGTGGTGGTGGGGTGATTGGCTTTGCTCTTCCTGTAACATCACTGGTGCCACCTGTTACCAGCTTCCTTTGGCTGCTTCCATGTCTCTCTTGCTTTTCCATGGGAAACACTGTGACCTGCTGTGCCCTTTCATTATTGGTGTGCCAATGTCTCCCTGACTCCTCCCACTGACTACTGAACACATTTGATTGACATTCCATGGGACGGTGTGCCTCACTAGCCATGCTTTCACCTTGTGATGGTGGGATATTATAAAGCTCAGGCTGCCCTCTGGGCTGGCTTCTTATCCATACAATGTCCAGTGCCAACTCCAACAATGTAAGGGCCGTCCTAAAGGATGACTGCAAAGAGCAACTGTCGTCCATGTTGTCTGACGTCATCTTTAGTGTGTTAATCGTTCCTGAGATGAGCGATTCCAACTTCCTACAATCCAATGTTGGTTCTTGAAGCATTCCTCCCAGCATCTGGTCAGGCTTCCTAGACATGTGGTCTCGGACCTCTTGCACTGCTAACTCCAGGAGGGTGGCGGAGGTTCTGGTGGCTATAGTTGCTGCCGTTCTCACTGCTATCACCAGCTGGGGGCAGTCACTCCTGGCCTGCAAGTTTTGGATGCCGAGTTCCAAGGTGTTGAGTGATCCCATCAACAATGACTCCAGCATGGCATCTTTTCTCAGCCACATACAACTCCGTGACTGATAGCTTGTCTGGCAACCTTGACCTCCTCTCACACCTGCAGTAGCATCTCTCCTTCCCAAGGTGGCACTTCCAGTATCCTGACTCGCACTTGGTCTACTGGACTGAGGCCTGGCCACTCCAACTGAAGTAGTTGTAACAAAAGGCCTGGTAGTATTTATTTCCAAATTTCCAGCTTTGCTGCCTAAATCCATGGCATCTGAAATTGGCAAACCATTTTGGTTGTGGCCTTGAGGCTCACCTATCTGACTAGCAGGCAGGACATTACTGGTAGCCTGTTCATAGGGAAGACATCTGACTGTGTCTTCAGGAATGATCTTTTCTTCTTGTTCCTGTGCCAATGTCTGACTGGTGCCATTTCCTGCCAAGGAGAATACTTGATCAATTACAAACATTGTGGAATTGTTACCACCAGTAGCTTCTTCATCACATGTCTGGGATTCCATCAAGCTTTCTTCAGTAAAGTCAGCTTTAACACACAGGTTTTGACATGAGGGGTCTGTTGTATCAGTAGCTTCTTGTTTGATGGTCCTCTTTGATGATGAATCCTCTGGGTGATTTTTACTTCCTGAAGCTTGCAAATGTGCTGTGCTCTCCTCCCCATTGTTTGTATCTGTCCCTTGCATCTCTTTCAAATCAACTTCCAACTTCACTGATCTTTCTTTTGGTGACATATTTCCTGCACTCACTTTGTTTCTCTCATAATCAATTTGAGCTGCCTGAAAAACATTCTGTTCCAGCATGTCCATGACTTCAAGGCACTTGCTCTCCTCTTCTTGAACAGATGCAGAAACATTTTCCTCTGTTTTGACAAACACTGTCTTGTTGACCTTGTGTGCTCTACACAACGTTTCTTCACTTGTAGAATCTGACATTTCTGATGATGATACGGCAACAGTTGATGGAGTGAGGTGATCCAGAGTCTGGTCTAGGGACTGTAGAGCACTCAACATTTCCGTGTGCTCAGAATCTGATGGGTCCAAACCACTGGCCTTTCCTGACAGCAGTTCTTTCACAGGTGTATCACTGCCTTTCTTCAATCCCTCTTCTGGTTGTTCAGCTGGATTGCTTTCAGTTGCATTTTGTTTGTCATCAGTGTGTCTGATGTTCTTTACCGGTACTTGTCTTTCAAAGGCACTTGACTTGCCATCTTGAAAGCCACTCTGTTGATTGCGTGTCTTGGTCTCTTTGACGTTTTCTCCTGGCTTCTTTTCCTTCTGAATGCCAGCTGACATCTGCCCTTTTCTAGGAGGTATTTTGATTTCATCTGCCAGGAGCACATCTGCCAGTTGCTTCTTCATCTTTTCTTTAAACCTTGTACTCAGCTTTCTTTTTGTAATGCCCCCTGTGTGTTTTGAAGCACTTCTGCCCACAGTCAGAGATTTGCTAGATATACTGCACTTTGTCGAAACTTGTTTGGAACTGTAACTCATTGGCATTGCTTCCTGTTTTCTAGCTCTTTCTCTTTTCAACACGTCTGAACTTGTCTTCTTCATTTCTTGCCATGTGCTGTGCTCTGCTTGTCTCATCTTTGGTTTTGACTTCAACCTACCTTCCTGGGCATTTTCTGGGATATCAGGTTTACGTTCTGGTTCCTTTCTTGTCCCCCCTTTCACACCAGAAGTGGCATATGACTTCTTGCTCTGTAGTGCCTGTTGTATCCTGGGATCTTTCAGCTTAGCAAAGAAACCGGCTGCCATATTCTTTAATCTTTGAGATGAGGTACCGCCACTATTGCTTTCTGATTGTACTGTACTTTGATCACTGGTCTTTGACTCCTTACTTCCATACTGGAAAGTTGCTGGCTGCAGGAGTGTGGTTCTTCTCGTTCCCTGGCTGGTGGTTGGATGTGTGCTGTGATTTGTTTTCTGCGATTTCTTGTTCCCACACGGGAGTGGCCTTGGCTTCACAAATACACCAGCATCAGACTGACTGCTTGGGCCAAGATTACAACCTTGGATATCTTCAACTGACAATATTTTTCTTCTTTCAGATGCTTGCTTTCCTCTTACAGCCTCAGTAGACACTGAGGTACTAGAAGACTCTGCCTTTTTGACCTCATCGTCTTTAGCATCATCACTGTCATCAACAATGTCCATGTCTGAGCATGACCCATCTGTGTCTGTAGTACTTACATCTGTTACAGAGATGACTGAAGTCACCGGTACTTTTGGTGGAGAAACCAGTGTACAGCTCAGGACTGCGTAGGGAAGAATCTGGCGGGGTGCTTTGCTTGGGTGGCAAGAATCATCATACTCGTACAGATAGATCTGAAATCATGAACAAATGCACATCATAAGAACAAGTCCTTTTTACAGCTGGTGGCCATCACCTACAAGAGCACTAATTATTGTAGTTCAAAAACAGCAAGTATTACACCATTGTACCACTCAACATACATTTTTCTGTGGGTACTATTTGAAATTATCTGCACAACAGTTTTCCATGCACTTATTATTTTCTTTCCCTTTTATTCTATCAAACAACATTATGAAAATATTTTTGGTATTATCTTGTAATCCCCAGTATAACATGTTGCTTTTGTTTAGAATTTAAAGCAATTTTCACTGCAACTGGCTACAAGTTACTACTACACAACTGTGGTTAGTTGATTTTAATATCAGTATAGGAAAGGTACAAATAGACAGTACCTGCACATTCCACTTCTACCTGCACTAACTAGTATATGCACTATATGCATTATGCACTATATGCAGTATTTGAAATGGATGCAATGTTGGACAATCCAAATGAGGACTTACACAGCTGTTTGCAAGTTGATGGGCTTCCTTCTGCCAAGCCGTGGGTTTCCTGTTAGACACGTGGCAGTCAAAGTTGGGTGTCGGTTCCATGGCTTCTTCAATCAGCTTGAAGCTCGTGGGAATGGACTTGATCCTTCCTGGAATGATCTGGGGACCAGAAGGAAAAAGGTCAAGAAATACTTTTCTATGTGAAGTCTGCAAATATTCAAGTCAAAGTACAATATTTTTCAAATACATGTATGAGTTTAATAACTAATTTAATAAATGCACATATCAACATGTGTAGAGAGTATGCCTACAAGCCAATATTCTTCTCCTCAATATTCAGTGGTCGAAATACTTTTTTTCAGTGCTCTGCAATATTGCAGAAGAGTCAAAATTTCGTCCTGCAATTTGGAAATACTTTCTGCAAATACACAAGCCCCCATATTACAACCTTCTGAAACCAATAATGCCTATTTTTACATCATATATATATAGCTTTGTAAATCTATAGCATAACTGAAATTCTTCAAAATATCATTCTTTTAAATATGTTCGGACCGTAAAAATTTTATCGGTCCGGTCCAAAATAACCGAAACGTCGATGGACCGGTTTTTTGGACCGGAACAAAAATCCATACTTGTTGTTACTGATGATCACTACATACAAGGAAGCCTGCCAGGAAGATGAAAATCCAGCCTTCAAATAAAAGAAGTTTACCTTAGTCTCCGTCTCTCTCATTTTGCAACAATATTTCCCGTATTTTCGGTACTGATAGTCATCTAGAAATCATAAAGGGCAAGTTTACGAGCCGTGTTTGGTTCGGATCGAGCCGAGAATCACTGATTTTTTTACACCACATGGTCACAATGTGACGCACGTAAATGTTTACTCGAAATGAGAAATTACCGCCCAACAAAACGGACCATTAGGTTCCCAGTGCTATATTTCTCTTTTGTTCATGTGATCAACTTGTTTTCCTTGTTTGAATCGTGCAAAATACCAAAGAAAAACATCGAAACTTCCGCAAATAATCGCCGAGGCGAGTGTACGTCTTCGGGGGAGCCATGTTTCCTTTGCCGCGTTGCCTGCTGGGAAATGCTCGGCGTAAACTGACGAAAACTGCCGAGGCAGTTGTCGGGTCCTCCCGGGTGACGTAATCTAACATCGGAAAATGGCGAGTGCCCATATTTGGTTATCGTCGCCTTTCGTCGCCTTGCCGGAATCGTTCAACTTTGACCCCAATTCCCTTATATGGGACCATTACAGTCTGCTGGAAAACGCCGGCAGGTTCGTGCGGCGCAGGTTTTCAATCTATTCACAGCCATTACTTTGCTAATTGAAAACTATTGAATCCGGAGCCCATTTTTTCCTCCTGCAAAATTGCAGATTGTAAGATTTTTTCTTCTGCAATCTTGAAAATCTATCTGCAAATTGCAGACTGCAGACGGGTATTTCGAACACTGATATTTAATGAAATAATTAATCCTGTCGTATAAGTATCAATATGCAAGAGCACAATATGCCACAATAAGGTCAAACAAGAAGGCCCCTAACTTGTTGACACTTACTGCAGAAGCAATTGAAACCATGAACCAAGGGCTCCCCCCATGCAATGAAGCAAAGGTGCTCCCCCTCTCCCCCAAATCCTAGCACCTCTGACCCAAACTGTTCTTAGTATTTTCATGAAAATTCACTGACTTTTCATCAACTTTCCATCAACCACTTCTGGGGAGACCCCAGTGTTATATTAAAGTCATAGTTACTAACCTTGAACACTACAAGGGCAGTCTGACTATAGCTGCATTTCTCTGCCAGCTTCAGTGTGATGTCAGCATTCCGCCTGAGATGCACGCCCATGTCTGACCTTCCAAGGATGTTGGCAAAAACTGATGGCCCCTGACAAACTTCCAAGCCACTCTGACACACCTGGAAAAAGAAAGTTTTCAATCTGCAAGTCAAGTTTGGAAAAGGGACTTGCAAGTTGCTGATTTCTTCACCTAAGTAATGATCACTATAAACTGCTTTCAGAAACAGCTTCCCACAATCTGTCCTCGGTTGTAATAGTTATACTAATGACTGAGTACAGAATACCCAATATTTACTTCTCTTTATGCTAAACCGTGTTTTAATGTTTTTTTTCTGTACAAAAAAACAAATACAGCCAACTGGAATGCATAATGACAGACATACACCATTTGGTAAGTCAATGATGGTATTGACAACAGATTAGGAACAATGCTGACGGATATAACTGGTAACATTACATATAGCTTTCATACTGAGTGAAAGTTAAACCATACCTAGTACAAATGTACACTGTAGTGTAATGTAACATCCGTGTCCATAATATCACCAGGGTCCATAATATCGCCACCTTGAGAAAAAGTGTGCTTCAAGATAACTGAAACATACCCTAGGTATGTACATTTGAGGTGTGCAGGAGTGCATACCAAAAGTATGTTGCAGTAAAAATATCTTATAGCACACTATTTCTCAAGGTGGCGATATTATAGACCCTGGTGATATTATGGACACGGATATTACCTATTCAAACCATACAACTGTTACTGAAACTTAGGTATAGGAATTAGCCCAATTACATGTTTGGCCTTTGCATGAGACACCACGTGGAAGGCATGTTGTTCCATCAGTTCCTTGTTACTTCGTCCATCCTCCTTCATTTTCTGTCTTTTCTTGATGAACTGCTCCTCCAGTGTTGTGTTGACACATAGTTGGATTTTGTCAATCTGCATCACAGGTTAATACAGTAGGAATATTTTGATAACAGCAAGCTACAGTATCAATATGAAATTCAACTTTTTGATTTAAAATTTAACTTTTTAAAATATATTTTTCTTGAATGAAAATTGAGCTAAACCTTTTCAACTAATTTTTTTTAGTAACTAACATTGGTAAGAAAGGGAAAGGATAGTTGACATCTTTTGACACCGATATCTTAAATCTCATGGCAAGACAGTTCTTGAGGAATGAAATTGAAATTAGTTTTCTAGAACTAGAAGTTTGTTAGTTGTATAAATGTAAATACAATGACCATTTCAAAACATTTAATAGATCCCTAGATATAATAAATTGCAATTTCTCCAGTCAGGCAGCACTACTCTTACCTGCCATCTTGCCATGGTGTTTTTGTCCACAACTGACTGTTGAACAATCTTGATGACCTCCCTCCACTCTCTGCCATCTTTCTTGACCTCCTCAAGGCAAGACCCTGTAACCAAGGAACGTTATATCAATTTTCAATAGCAGACAGTACAGCAAGTTTTCTACTCTCCAAGCAGAGGTTGGTGGGGCCTAGGGAACAAAAGTTGTGTTTCCTGTTTCAGTCCTGACAAAAATAGGGGCAGTAGATAGGGATGATCTTTTTTGTTTTGTTTTGTTTTTAGACTTTGACTCTCTAGTGATCCAACTCATATAATATAGTAATACAGTTTAACAAAGTAAAACTTGCATGAGGACACTTATACTTTCAAAAGCAATGTTGGAAAACTGATTGTACAACACTTCATCAATCTGGTGTCAGATGATGGAGCTAAAGAAAATGTGGTCGATTGGGTGGAAAATGTCCCTTGCAGTTGCAGGGGTCCACACAAAAAAGTCTAGGGTCAGCAGTTTTTTCTAGGGTAGGTCAGGAAACACAACATTTTTTTTCCTAGGCCTGGGGAAGATTGTGACCTTTCTAATTATTCTGTTTTTTTCTGTCACTATTAGTACCCCCCTCCCCAACCTCTGCCACTAGTACTAGTAGTAGCAGGCTCACAGGACGGGGAGGGGAAGGGAGTAGTCTCTACCACACTAACTACGCTGGCTATATATAGGAGAATAATTTTGCCGGGGGAGTTTAGCCTGACCTTGTAGGTTTGACCGGTCCGCGTAGTTAGAGAAACTAACTCCCTTGGCCAATTTTACTCTCTTTTTTGCTGAATTCTATGATCCTAAATGCCCTTATTCCCATAGAAAAGCCTGGTGGAGGCTAGGAAGGGAGAGTTTTCTCTGAGAAATGTGTCAAAGTCCCTCCCTGTGCCCCTAGGGAGCCAGCAGAAACTACCAGGAAGGCACCCAGGCTAGAAAATATTCGGGTGCACCCACAGAAAAATATTGGATGCACAGCTCCAATTCTGGCTGGACCAAGGTGCACATGCATCCAGTATTTTAAGCCCTCTAGTCTTAAATACAATTTGTACGAAATTGTAAATTTGGGACAGGAGAAAGACTAACCTTAGATTTTGCCAAATATACGCATCTAAATGAATCGAACAGCCAACACCCTTGTAAGTTGTATACTGGGATTTGTAAGAACTCACCAGCCCCAGTCTGCCTGCGAGGAATACTGTACACACTGGACAAGCTCCTGTTGGCATAGATCTGATTCAGGGTCTCCTGTGCTGTACTGGCAGACTTCATCTTTAGGAAGTCTGAAATTGAAAAGAAGAATTACAGACCATTCAACATAAATGTTGACACTACATAGTTATTAGTCTGCCAATAACACAATAAAGACACTTCTGACAGGAGTGGAGGAACAGAGCGGATACAGAGGGTTCACAAATGGATTCCACTTCCACTGAAGTTCCAGGCTAAACATTTGCACAGTATCCGTCATCATTTTAATGCAACAAAATGTAACCATTCTTTACCGGTATGCAGAGTCAAGGTAGCTGTCATCCTTGATGGGTATAAATCTGAGTCTCTAACCCAAATTACTAGCCAGAGTACAGTTCTACTAAACATGCATGCTACTTCAATCCATCATCTACCAGTATAATACCTGTGGGAAAAGAGTTGGGGTGAACACTACAGAGTACTACACACAAAAGGAGACTCCTTCACAATTTCTGAGAGTTCCAAGCCTTCCAACTTCCGTGAAGAAATTTCACATTTTGGCAATTAACTAACAATTGAGGGGATTGTATGATGCACTACATGTACATGTATTAAGTCAATCAACAATAATAAATGCAAGCTAAATTCGTAAGGCCAATGAGCTTACTTGTTTGTAAAAGCACTTGTTTGTGTAAGTTGGTGGAGACTTTCATAAACAATTCCTGGAGATAAATGTGATAGATAGTGAGAGAGATAAACATCAATGTTGCCAGTAGTGATGCATACCGGTTCACTGGACTTGGATCCGGACTTGTAAGAATGTTTAGGTTCAAGTCCAAAAAAACCTAAAAGTCAAGAACCGAGTCCGGACTTATTACGGTAATACCATAAAAGACCATTTCACATACCCATGTTCTTTCCAAACCACCTAAAACCTTCCGTAGATTGTAAAATCTTTGCTGCAAAACGAAGAAAACATTGCCATCAGGCATTGTCAAGTACCAGCCTCCATGTTATGTGGCCAAAGTTTCACCCAGACAACATTGCAAGGTTGCAAACATGCAATTTTGTATATGTCATGGGTTTAGGTCCGGACTTACATTACAAGTCCGAAACTGAACCTAAACCTCTGGACTTGAATCCGGACCTGAACCTAAAATTGGGTTTAGGTATGCATCACTAGTTGCCAGTGTTGGGGTCTTTGGACTGACCCTTTCTTGCGGTTTATCCCACATGAAGTCTGTAGGGAATGGCCTATGCCTGGGAACTATGCCCACCCACTCTTATCAAAACATAACCTTATCAACCTATAGCCACTTATCATTCCAATGTGACAGACTGTAACAATTGACCCTTTTACAAATAACCAACTAACATTTGATAGGTCTTGGTGTAAGAACAAAATAAAGAAAACTTTCCCTTCAAAACACTCATCTTCAAACTGCACGGACACTTCCCAAGAATGTTTACAAACATATCCAAAATCACCACACAATGATATGTATGTAACGATAAATGGTAACTGCCTATCAATTATGTATATAGCCAAATTTGATACTGTCTACTACTCTACTAAGCAGCCAACGAAAGATCTTCTTGTAGATTACAAGTGCTTTGGAATGCTGTAGTACTAGTAGCACTAGTTAATTGATAATTAGGTGGTCAGATAAACATAACAATACGATTACAACGATTTACCTTTTTGTTATGCTGGAATGTGTGCGTCACTGTGACAATTACCTGCTTTTCGCATTTAGTTGAGGTGTGAATCACTGGACAACACATTGTTATGAAAATTGGGGGGGGGGTATGGCCGTCCCTGTTGAGTGTGTTTTCAATGTTTTTCAGCCTTGGTGACATTTCATGAAATCGTCAAAACACCCGCATGGAACCACATAAAGTCACAGTTGGTTTTTGGTGAAACGACGTGAAGTCATGGAACAAAAGTCTCAACTTGTCTTCATATGGCGCGAGTCTTTTTCTTTAGTAGCTCGAGTGAGAAATTATGCGACAGTCTCGACTACGAAAGTCAATTATACTATTACTGTATAACGTGTTACAGTCGTTTTGATACGGACAAACAAATGCACAGCACACTAGTCAAGTAAACAGTTTTGTCGTCCAGAGTGGCCAACAACGAGTTTGCCTGTGTGGTGTGGAACATGCGACACGTGTGTGCTTCAAGCCGTGGTTCCGGTAAATTGAATGGAATGTCACACTCCCACCATTTTGCACGGATACAACAACAACATACTGTCAAATCCAGGAGTACTCAAATCAGCACCACATGCAGCGGAACTCAAAATATTTCACGCCAATTTATCTATCTGCGTATCTAAACAGAAAAACAGGAGGACTACAATGCGAATGTTGTTGTATAAAAGTGCTAATATGGCAAACAGAAGCAAGAAACATGAAGAAAATTCGAAAAGCAACTTCGACACTTCAAAATAATTTGTTTACAACTGACAGCAGATACTAGTCGCTGTGCGTATCAGTGCAGACGTAATTTCATCATTCAAGCTTAGAAGATGTATTTGCAAAGCCTTACCTACTTGCCGAAAGCAGGCAGACCTACTTGTCGTAAGAAAGACGTCTCCGTACACCCAACACGCCTCTTGTCATCTTCAGACCCAGCTGTCCTGATCACGACTCCTCGGCGCCTCTGCGTTCTTTTTAAATCAGCTGATTAAGAATTCATGACCATCTGGTAACTTTCCACCAATGATAGCGCAGTATTTGATCATGTGATAAAAAAAGGCGCCAAAGGCTAGATGGCGGTACTAGTAGCCTCGAAACCAGGCTTCATTAGGGTTAACAAGGTTAAGTTAAATACATTTAACCTCCTTGGTCTGTACTACCTTTATGTTACGTTCATATTCAGTGTGTAAACATTCTAAATCATCTCTTGGCATTGTCATATTACCATATGATATTATGAATGAGAACCAGACAGATGTTCCCTCCCATTCATAATGGAGGGAGCAGTATAACTTCAGTTTGATGCCATCGCAACAGTGTACTCAGCAATAAACTATCTGATATTTCAAGTATTTTACATAATTGTTTGACGGTCTCAAAAAAGACCCCCAGTGATGGATAGTAGTGTTGCAGCTATGAAACGTGTAATCAGGCGCTAGCTGCTTAACGATCTAGAAAAAGCGCCTTCCAGTAACAGTTATCGGTACTTCAGCCATGAAACTTGTAATCAGTTTCGTTGATAAGGGATGCTGAAGAGCTGTTTCCACAAATTCAGTACGTAAATATATTGTTGAAGAGATTCATCAGTCACGTATAGTACAAGTTCAGTAAGATAATTCTTTCAATCAGTGACTAATAAATCCTAAGGAAATTCGGGGGTATGTACCTTAGGATTTAATAGTCACTGATTGAAAGAATTATCTTACTGAACTTGTAAATATATTGTATTTTGACGGTCTCACAGCGTCATCTAGCCATATTAGTCAGAACTGCAACACGGACTTAGTGTACAAGGTAGAGGTGTATACTTGCAGCTTCTATGTGGCAGTTTTCTTCCCCAAATAAATGTCTTGTTACCGTCAAGACGCTCCCAGTAAGTATGTGGTTGATCTGCAGAAAGAAACTGTTGTCAAGAATCTTTTTTTATCAGAGTATTCCTCTAAAACAGCGACCTCTAGTGTATGGCTGTTACGTTTCGAATACTTGCAGAAAGTGCAGCCCATGTTTTTATGTGAAAAATCACGTGAGTAAAGAGTTAGTGTCGGGCCAGGTAGGAAATTGGGGCAGTCTTCATTGCAGACATTGTAGATTGTTTCTCTTCATCCAACTTAAATAACCTCTCGTGAGGACAGGAGTCAGTACGGTATCTTAATCGAATTGCATAGTCATCATAATTAATAGCCACAAGAGTTAAAGCGATCGCGATCTACAGTGTCTATGGTGGAAATTCTGATCAGTTCCAAAGTAACCACTATGATTTGCCAACGCCAAGACCTCTCCTGAATGTTTAACGAGGAAAATGAATATTATTGTGAAAGAGTATGTGCTAATATTACTAATTTGATGCGGATCTCTTTCTGGGAAACTGTATGAGAAAGCGACAGGGTAAGAAAGAAACTCTCCAGTGTGCCATGTATAGACAACTGAGCAATGTACAAATGTAGTCACCCACAAAAGCTAGTGGACGTTATCTGAAACGGAATTAACATCTGACTCTTTAGAGAATTCTGAGAGAAATCACGGTTGCTTGATTTATTCTGTGCCACGGGGATTTGCACAATGCAGTTGCGTGGCAGAAAGTAAAGTTTCCCCCCTTTGTGTTTGTATGGGCATGTTTGTTGTGTGTTTAATTAATGGGAAAGAGGAAGACATGTAGACAGGCTAGAAGTATAGTGTGGAGAGAATAGAAGGTACCAGCAACGTATCTCGACCTAACATTGCACACTATTATATAATAGTATAATGCAGTGGTTGCAATTCTTCAACAATGGAATCAATGGTTTAGTCTTGGGGTCACTGTGGTCCGCCCCATGAAGAACCCAAAGATATTTTCTGATATGATGTGTACAAAGGTCTAAGCCATAACTGTGCCAAAAATCAACTAATTCTATCTGCCTTTTAAGCGGCCATGGTTCGCTGAAAACGTCCAAAAAATTGCCTTTTTTTTTCAATTTTAAAATTTTACAAAAACAGGCAATCTTTAACCGTCTGCTACAGCTCACCGCAAAAACATTTGGAGCAAAACTTTATATCATTTTCTTTGTTAAAATATGGATAATAAAATATGTTAGAGACTTACAGACAACTGCTCTTAAGTCTGAGTCAACAGGTGGTTGTCAAGTCACTGTTATGTTGTCACTAGGGTTCCCCCGTACTTCGGAGTCAGCTGAAGCCTCCTCTCTCTCTAGTTCTCCCAATTTTCCTCTTTTTATTCCCTAAAACTTTGGCATCCTGCCATTCCCAAATTTGTTCATTCTTATTATAAATTCAGCAACGGATTGGCCCAAATACCTCAGTTTGGATACAAGCAATCAGGGCTTTAGCCAGCTCGAAATTTTTTACCGTCAACCCCAGGTCAACCCAATTCGCGAAAAAAAAAATACCGTCAACGCGAAAAAAATTCCGTCAATGATTACTTTTAAAGAATGTCTTTCACGATCCGGTGATCGACATCACGCCCTCCCGCACACTTAATGCATTCGGTGTTCTAAATACCCGTCAAGATTGCAGAATAAAAAAAAAACTACACAACCTGCAATTTTGCAGAATGAAAAAAAAACTACAGTTCTCACAAGGAGACAACGCGCAATGAACAATCCGCTATGCCCTTTGTTTTGATCCGCTCAAATCCCGCCGCGATTCAAGCCGCGGCCATGCAAATGAACCTACTCATGACGTCACAGCCTCCGATTTCCACCGAGCCGGGCCCGAGCGCTGACCGACAGCGGGCGATGTGGCTCAGATCTCCGACGATTTCCTTATTTAGAGCGTTCGGAAGACTTCGGGTAGCAAACAAAATGGCCGACATGTACATGATTTTACTCGTCAGCTTCGCTTCTCTACCGAAATGAGGAAGTTACAACTCCTTTGCGGACTTTAGCGGCCATGAAGTTGACTTGGGGAAGCGCTGAGACGTGATTTCGCTACGGCATAGAGGATTTTGCCGCGGAGGGAGTTACGTGGCCGGCAAAAACTCGCGTGTCAGCGATCCTCCAGAAATCTTTATGCTGCCGCTCAAGTCTTCGCGCGAAGGAGGTCTGACGAAGTTTTAGATTAAATAAGGCCACATTGTGTGGATCAATCTCCGTTTTCTTGCGATAGTATGATTATTCAAGTACAGTATATTATTCAAAAACGTTTGATATTTCTTTGTTCGTTGTCACATGTTTATTTATCGTATTGTCATGTACAGTTAGCAGCGTGTGTCTGAGTCGAGCCATTGTTTTATTTTATTCTTATGTGGCCGTTAGCACATGTTGTTTTAACAGACAGCAACATTGAACAATAGAGCCAAGTCAACAGACGTCGACACGGTCCTTGAAATCAGGTTTCCCGCCGCCGTGCGTTTGGAAAAGACGCCGCGCCGTGGCTCATTCAAATTCGCTAGATTTTTTCCATGTCTTTACCCACGATTTTTGACCGTCAATGTTGACGGTAAGGACTAAAATTTTTACCGTCAGACGGGACAAATTACCGTCAATTGACGGTAAAACGGGCGCTGGCTAAAGCCCTGCAAGCAATCATCATTGTGAAGACTTTCCGCTGGATTGCAGCGTGCCTATTTCGGGGAGAAAAGCACGTTCGAAAAATTCTTACCAATTAGCCCTTACTTCGGGGATCATTTGATAACCTTTCAGGTCGACGTCACCGAGCTCACTTCCTTTTGGTGAACTAGGTTCTGACGTTGTGGAACCCTCTTAATATACCGTTCCAATTCTCAATATCATTAAAGAATATAGTTTACCTATGGCAAGGGATCGACGTGTGGGCCAAACCATGCCCGGAATGGGGAGGTACACTTTCCCTTCTCGTGCCGCCTTCCAATCGTCTTCCAATCGTGTCACTGTTTGGTGTTCAGTTCAAAACTAATAACTACCGAGTCCTGGCTGAGTGATTACAGGTTACAATCTGTCTCATTCCGGTGTGAACGACTGGAATTACAGCATAACGGTAACACCCGGTTTCCATCAAGGCGAGCTACAGTGGTGGCAAGTTCAACTTCAAAGGAAACTGTGGCCTTGACGCGTAGGGATATATCCAACACAACTATGCGAAAACATTGCGGTCACAACATAGAGCTATCTTACAATCGGGGGCCATCCTTACATGGGGAAGGGAAACTCTGGAAAACTACAATTGAGAGCCTTGCAGTAATCAACAGCCTGGACAAAGCTTTCTCACTTTGAGTAACAACTTTATTGCTGTTTAACATTAATTTGATCATAGTTGTGTGCTATATAAGTGAATGCTGGATTGGCAAAAATGACAACTTTTCAAGAAATGCATACACAAGTTAGGGAGTCTTCACTGAAATGGTGCAACTTTTGACACAAACATTAGTTAAAAGATTAGTACAAAAAATATGAGCAATCATACTTTTACATATTGTTACCCGATAATAAACACAACAAGTACTACCGGTAGTATTTTGAGGTTCATCGATAACAAAGAATTAATGGTATGAACATTCATGGAGGAAGAAGTCTAATTTGTCTAAATGTAATTTTCACTCAATGTTACAAAAATTCAGAAATGTATGTACAAAATCTATGACAAAATGCTTCACATGGAGGTTTATTTAAAGAAATTGTTGAAGGAATGTCAAAGTTTAATTGGCAAAAGGCACGGACGGAAACAGATATGAAGGCACAAAAGCTAGACTTTTATAGTGCATTTTTTCACAGTATACCAGGATATCTCTTTTGACACATTTGTTTTAGTCATTTCTACTTTGTTTGTAGAAATATAAATAAAGCAGCACAATGTGCAAATCTCATATCTGCAATCCCAGAGAATCCATAGTACCGGACCGGCAGATAACACCTGAAGTTGAATGTGACACAATCATGTAACATATATCTGAGACTTACAGTGAGCTTCATTTTATACAACAGAAGTCTGCAAGGTGACACAAATCTTTTTTTTTTCTTTTTTGTTTTTCTTGAATAATTAGATACATAGAAATTCTCCTGACAACACTGTGTACAAAAAGTCTTTTACTACACACAAGAGATTTTAGGGTTTTCTCCACTCAAATCCAGCGATGGCGTAAACCATTTCACAGAACGCAATGTAGTTCACATCCTCCCTTCCTCCAACTCGGACCATGAACTTCTGGAACAGGGAGACATACTCGCGATGGTTGACCAGACTTCCCAGCTCCAGCTCCGTCAGGACTCTCTTGAACTGGGAGCGAGAAACGGTGCCGTTGTTGACGCGGTCGAAGTCTTCGAAAGGCGGGAAGAGCTGCATACGGTGTTTCTTGACCTGGAAGGTTGGGAAAGAATATTCATCATAAGGGGTGGGGCATTTATAATACACATGTAATATGTAGTTCATTGTTTAGTCCAGTTTGTCATTGTATTACAGTTTGTCCCTATTATAAGCTTTACATCTTGGAGAATAAGAAGGTTTGCTTGTGCATTCAAAAAGCTTTTCAGAAGAGTCATTTTGAGTTCAACTTCTACAAGCTCCAAGTATTAAAACTGTATTATCCTTCAGACATGTGTATTAAAAGTAAACACATGGATAAGAAACTGGCAACATTCTGACCTACTTGTAACGTTACACCACTTTTGTTATTGTTCGCACTTTGCAATATAGAAATTGGACTGTTATGAGGCAACACTGGTCTGACTGTGTGTGTGTGTGTAGGCCATCTTGTATTCTAGTTTGGTTCCATTACAATCTGCCCACTGTTCTAAATTTGGGTTTCCTAACTGCAATGGTGTCTTACCTTCTCTGCAATCCTTTCCATGGTGACCTTGACCATGGCCTCGTTCTCCTCAGACAGGACGTTGAGCTGCCACTCCACCGGCGGCTTGAACTGCTGCGGCGTCACCTCAGGCATCTTCTCCAGCTCCTTGATGGTGAAGATGGACTCCACCTCATCAGAGAACCTCAGGTACTCCACAAAGTCTGGGTCTACAGGGGACTGGAACCTACGGCACAAATGATATATTGGTTAAAGTTATCCAACTAGTATAAAAAGTAAGAAGATCCTGCAATTTTCCCAGCATGTGTTGTTGACAAAAAATGTGACATCCACATCCAAAACTTTTTCTGAAGTTCAGCAAACTACATGTACTAGTATTTCTTTATAGAAGTACAATATACTGGTATGTTGTATTGACAATTTTTACTTGCCAAAACCTAGAGGACTTACTCTCTTTCCAATATAGCAACTTCAGAGGGCTTCAGCTCGAACTTGCAGAGGTCCAAAGCACGTCTGAAGGAGTTCTTCTTCATGCGGCCCGTACGCAGTTTGTCGTAGTCTCGCATCCACTCCAACACACGAGTACGCTCCTTTGCCACCTTTCAAAAAGACACAAGGAGCATTGGAATCATGAGCTAATTCATTGTGGGCTGTTAGATCTGACATCAACTCTTACAATTTTGCTGGGTACCGAAAGACCGCCACATCAAAACAATGGTAAATTTGACCCTTGATATGCAGCTCAATTCAGTTATCCTGGTGTGCAAGATAGCTTGAGAGGGCCTTGATAACACCATTTTTAGATTTGGCAGTCTTAGGGTACATGGCATGAATAATGACACTCGCTGTTAACTGTAGAGAACTGTAGACCTGTCCAAAAGAGCTAAGTCTTCCTTCTTTACATCACTTAACACTTTAGTACATGGAACACATGGTCATCTTGCCTCTTACTCCTACTTATGTACAGGAGTTTAGCTACCTTGTCCTTGATCTTGAACATGACTCCTCCGAGGTCGGGGGCTGCGTTCATCTCTGGCAGCTGCTTCTGCTGGTTCACCAGGGTCAACTCCTGCAGTCGCTTCTCGTACATCTTCTCTTGGGCAGGGGTGGGCTGCAGCTCCGCAAGGAATCTGGGGAAATGGATATTTATAGTTTAGGGATAAGGGTTTGGACAATGTCATATTTCTTGATGTTTGTTCTGTATCGAATTCTTTGGTTTGACTAAAAATTTGTGCAGACTGTGGGTGAATTCTGCAGTAGATGATTGTCTACTTAATTCATCATACTCTTCTGTAACAGTGTGTTGGTTGTTAAAAAAGTTAGCGCCATGTAAATACATAGTTTAATTTTCAAAGAGTATTCCAGTCACGTACATGTACATGCCATCATTGAACTAACTGTGCTTCCTTGATCCTACTGAAAGTTTTATATTTCAATAATAAGGTCAAGAAATTTTCCAGATCACACATATATAGAACATTCATACCTTAGGTAGTTGAAGCCAGTTTTATCAGAAAACTTGGCCTCAATGGCGGCTGCCTCTTCCTCAGTGGCATCAAGACTCAGGTAAGTCAGACACTGGCGGAACTGGGAGAGAGTCACGTATCCGTAGTTGTGCCTGCAGGATTATTGACATTGGTTAGAAAATGTGTTGGAGATGTCAATGTTAGAAAACCAATTGTACAACGTTTTATTACTCAGGTGTCAGATAATGGAGCTAGAAAAGGTTGATCAGCTTGAAAAATTAAATTATTTACCTCCCTTGCAGGGTTCCACCCCCCCCAAAAAAGTCTAGGGTCGGTCGGGAAACCGAGAACATTTTTTTCCTAGGCCTAATAACAGCTATGTCCATGCTGCTTAATCATTTAACTGCTCACTTTGATTGTGACTAATATAGACTGATTTTGAATGGTAAACTAGCCAATTGAGGGAGGAAGGCTATCAGGTCATAGAGAAGAAACTTAAAACTACCTGTCAAAGTCTTGAAAGACAGGCTTGGAAAGCAGCCTCCTCTGTGCAGCCTTCTCCCTCATGCGATGCATGGCAGCATCCACGACGCTCTTCCAGTCATCCGGAGCCTGGGCCTCCCAGTGGAGGGTGCCAGGCTTAGACATCTGGAACACCTCTGTGGAAGGGACCGCGTGGGTCGGAGTCTTCTCTAAACCCTTCTGTGTGAAAGCTGCAGGAAAAGACAAAAATAAGTGTGAATTTGATGACTTGAACAGGATGTTTTTAGAACCCATTTCACTTCATTTTGGTAGTAAAAGTACCATTCTGTTGTTCATTAACTATGAAAGGATATACACACATACTTTGATTGTGAGCTACCTAGATACAACATATTTCCGAGTCTTTTGTTGTCATTATTCTATTAATCATAATTTTAGTCCATTTTGTATACAAATACACCTTTTAGGAATGGAAAAGAATTCAATGGACTCGACTTTTCAGGACACATTATAAGATATACAATACAGTAACCAAATCATAAAAACCCACCTGATTCGATCTCATCATGGAAGCGAGTCCACACGACCTTGTCAGGTTGTTTGGGGTCGATGTAATGCTCTGCCAACGCAGCAAACTGATCGGACGGCATGTCAGGGAACCCCATCAGACACAGGCCCCTCCGGAAGATGGGCTTGGTGATGGAACCGCTCCTCAGCGGGTCAAAGTCCTGGAAGAACTCCGCCACCCGGATACGGTTGATGACGGCGTGATGGCGGATCCGGGCGATGACCTCGCCGAGGTTGACGTGGCTGGTGTTGATGGGAAGGGTCGAGATGTCCAGCTCTGGGGTGACCATTGGTTTGGGCGACTCCTGGTCAACTGTGAAACCTGTGAATTCTGTCAAAGGAGAAAAATAGACCTTTAGACTGCTGATTACATCTGGTAGGATTAAAAAATAAGGATGTGGCAAAAAAAAGGAACTGTTTTCTTACCAGGAGGGCAAGAAAATGAGAAACATAGCCAACCCTCCATATGCTTCTATCCTTTAGATGGCATCTAATTTGTACCTTTATCCACGGCCTGTACAAAGGCAGGGTAGTTGACGTCCCCACTGATGGGTTCCTCAAACTTCCGACAGAGCAGTTTGAAGTCCGGAGGGTTGATGTTCAGGCTCAGGAAATGCAGGATGCGACCAAACTGGGACTTGGTGACATTACGTGTGTACGCAATGCCCTGTGTGTAGGAAGATCAGAGGTCAGGGCATGCACAATAGACAAGTTTTTATCTGAAACTTGTACGAAACTAAGAATCATGGTACATGTATTTCTATTCAAATAAGGAAAATTTGAATAAAGAAATTATCATCTTAAAATGGCCTGTTTACTGATCAAGCAAACAGAGAGAACATCAAGTTGATATCATTCAAAGAGATTACATTAAACTTCTTTCTAAAACCTGGCTGAGAGGCTTACCCGATCATAGTCCTTGAAGTAAGGGTACATCATGAGCCGTCTTTTGCGAGCTGTTTCTCTCATTTCCTCAAGAACCTCCTGTACCCTGTTCTCCTCCTCTTGAGTCAGTGGGTTCAAGGACTGTATAGTAAGAAAACAGAAAACAGTTAGGCAAAATCACAGCCCACTACAACCTATGGAACAAGGTGGCAGTTGAATGGACAGATCCCAGTTTTGCCTAACTGTACAGTCTACAATCGCACCCAGTAGTCCACAGTTAGGCTGTTTCTCATTTTAGTATCCTGATACAGAAACTGCTTATGACAACATTTTAGTGAAGAACAGGTGTGTATGAAAAATTTACGGTGTCACCATGCATGTCATTCAATTCTTAGTTTACCAATCTGTCAGTAGTAGTAAAGTAGTCAGTCAAGCCCTAAACATGCTGTATTACTAATATGTACTGGGACCTTTCATTTTCCCTAACTAAGTGAAATGAATGTTTGCAGTGCTTGAAAAAAACATTTCACATAGAGTTTGGAAGAGTTCACATTTAGCAGGAGAGTCATTCTTGAAAGAAAAAAATGCGAGTGCGAACGGTGCCAGTCGCTTGTTATGTCACCTTCACCTTCTACCTACTCCCACACAATTTGCGTCATTGATTTGATTCTTACAGCCATAGGGTCTAAATAAATCTTCTTGGAGGAACCATTAGTTTAATCCTCCCTAATCTTACATCCTCATCAAGAAACTAGCTGTAACAGGACAGAACCACTTAAACCAGGTCTCAGATAATTGTTGGGCTGAGAGGAGCAATTTAAAGTAATGTTTTAGCCTTTTATGGCTTAAATCTACATCTCGGGGGTATCTGATATTTTATGAAATGAGAAACTGATCAGATCAGAATGACCCCTGCAGAGGTCTTCAATCTTCCTTGAAAAGTTTTTAAAAGTCTTGAGACTTATTCCAAACATCTTCAGATTTTGAGTGTGAGATGTTGACTTTTAACAGATGTCTACCTGCACCTAAGGTGTACTGGGTTTATGTATACATGTACTAGGTGTATTTGATGTACATATATTGACTGTTACCATCTATGAAGAAAAAAAAATAATGGCAATGATTTCAGAACAGTTTTAGTATGATCCCTAATTCCTAAGTTCTAAGTGGTACAGATAAAATTTGTCTGGTGCAGGTAATTTTCAATGCTACCTGCACCAGTGCAGGTATGCAGAAAAAAGTATTTCGAGCCCCTGTTAAAGTTTTTTTGCCTTGAAGTCCCTTACCCGTGTCAGAGCCCCACGAGGTGGTCGGACTGGGTCCACAGTCGGCTTCTTCTCCAGGTCAGGCACGTTGTACGCTGTACAAGATGGAGAAAACACACATTTTATCAGTGTCCTAGAATAGTGAATAACAGCAAACACACAACAAACCACAGTGTTAGATGTGTATACAGGAATTTCAACTTATTTCTAGCCTGCACATTATTTTGTTCCTCACTACTCAAAATGAGCATCTTCTTTCTGTTGACGTCTACATGTGTTACGTCTTATTTGCAAGAGAACATCAATTTGCCTCAGGAGGTAAAGGTAATGGAGGAGTAGCACTACAACATCTGAAACAGGAACACCGTTAAGTTAGATAATGACACGGTTTCACATTTAGCAAGAACAAATTGCTCTCCTGGCACCACCAGGATTTTGTGATGTGGAGGATGTAATTGTAGGAACATCACCAGTGCCATTTAATGATGCATCAAAGTAATGATGACAAAGAGCACTACACCATGCTGCAAATGTGTCATAGATATCGCAGTGAATTTCAAAATTTCTAATTAAAATTGCCACCCTTGGTGTCTTAATTCCCCTGAAAGCAATTTACAGACTATGAGATCTTCCTTGCTGACAGGATGATGTATTTGATGATCCTTTACAACCTGCTACGAGCATCTTCACGTGGAGAAGTTATGTTTCGTAAGGCAAGAAAATATACAATTATTTCAAACAGAAGCTAGCCTGCAGCAGTCTTAACATATGTTTGAGTTTCATATCTTGCCTAACCGTTAATCATTTACCCTTGGAAGGCTGAAAACACATTTCATTGAATAAAGAGATGTAATCACATACATGTATTCAAATTAAGTTATGTGTAAATATTGACATATGAGTCATGCAGTTAATTGTATTTCTGACACGTTCATTTTCATCTGTGATAAACAACGGTGATAAAATTAGGTATATTAAAAGGTAAACATTTGATTCAAAATAAAATACATCATTTCCTGATTTTACGAGGAAGATATTGAAAGAGATATGCACATTTATTATTTATGTTTAGAATTGAGTGGAGTACGAAAATAGGTCTAAAGTGCCTTTCCCTAGGCTAAGTTACAACATTGGGTCATGCCAGCAAATTGAACTCGGAACCTTGAGACTTCAACAAGTCTAACCACAAGACCACATTGTCAGTTAAGAATAAACTACATGCAATAGATTCAAAGCTCACCATTTTCCATGATGTCGCAAAACTCCCTGTATCTGACCCTGCCGTCCTCCGTCTTGTAATAGTCTGCAAGTTTTTGGATCTCGGTGCGAGCCAGGTTTGCCTCCTTCCCGACCGCCAGGGCCAGGCCGCAAACAAACTGGTTCTCGGTGATGATCCCGCTCCGAAGCTTGTCGTGGTCGCGGAAGAACTCGATGGTACGAATGCCATTCTTGTACACAGCCTTGCGGATTTTCTCGAAGAGTTCGCGAATGACGGGATCTGCTGGTGCCTGAGGATTGAAACAAAAGGTCAGGTAACTAAATCTAACACCTGCAGTGTTAATATACGAATATAAAAAAAGGTCATCTGCTTTAAAGTCTTCTTCTTCTAGAACACAAAAATTAATACAGAACTTAAGGCTAACAGGAAAAAATTTTTCTGTCAGCTTCTTCCCATTTTCTCCTTTAAATTATGAAACTGTCCTTTGGGAAGCAGATATCAGAGAAACTACATCTACCTGCTGTGGTAGAAGGAACACCTATTCAGCAAGTTGAACCTTTGTAGTACCATGGAGGTTCAAAAGTTGAATCTCCTTGGTAGTACATGTACTATGTAAATATCCGTGACTCTACTTTTGAATACACAGGAGATACGCTCAATTTACTATCCATTAAAAACAGTACTGACATTCGAAATGTCTGTCAAAAGAATCAATGCTAGAGTGAAATGGCAGACAGAAAACAAAAGGAAAAGGAAGGTGTCAGCCCTACCTCTGCAGGCCACCATCCGTAGGTAGGGAGAGGATCGGAAGGTGGGCTGATGCCTGGGTCTCTCAGGTCCTCGGCTACCTGTTCCAAGTCATGGTGCAGGTTCAGGTAGTTACACAGGCCTGGTCTGTCAGGGTCGGCGTAACGACAGGCCAGAAGGTACTTCTCATCGTCCGTGATGTCGGGCGGTCCAGGGAAGCTACGGTAAAACTGCACAGAAAATTGCATGGAGTCAGATTCAAGTTTCACAGCTCTACATTTTCATCTTTTGACCCTTGCTGAATTTTTACTACATACTGTCAGAAACCAAGGATTGATAAATTGATGACGCCATATTATCATTTGAACATGATGATATGGCCTCACTCTAAGAACTATTCTCATATGAGTTCTATTTCAAGTATTAAGTAATACACTCATAAGTACTATTTCAATGGCTAAGTTACATTTTACGTTGTACTAAGATATGACTTCAACCTGCTGTATGTTATGTCCCGATAACATTTTAGCCCTTAGGCTGCCACCGTTGGGACACTGTCTTTTGACCAAATAAGCCAATCATATTTGAACATACCTGGCTCTCGGTAACCACCCCAATGTGGTGTCTGTCAAAGTCCTCATAGGAGGTTCTGAGGTTGATCCCGTGGTACTTGTAAAACGGCTGCATGCGTTCCAGAATATCCCTCACACGCTGCTGAGACCCCGGGCTCAGCGGCCGCAGGGAACGCTGAGTACCCAGGAACTCCACGGGAGTGACAGCCTGAGCCTCGGGAGTCGGAGTCATGTCATTTGGATTGAAGGCTGGAAAACACAAAACAAAACAGTCATGATGTAGCTAATAGGACTGATGATCAGACAAGGAGGAGGATTTGTTACTCTTTCTTAAAGCAATCATTTTCCTCCCATAACTCAATCATCATTCGCTTACTAAGATCAGACACCTTCTATAGGAACTCTTTTTTACAACACAGTTACGATTTACTATGCATCTAGGTTATATATGTATTATTTGTATGTCTTCAAAATTTTGTATCATTTATGTGTTGTATTTTATGGGTACTTTTTTTACCTGAAATAAAGAAGTAAGAGCAAGATATGTCAGGCACTGATATTAATGGTATTTCTGGTTATATGACTGACATTGCTTCCATTAACACATTCTATTTTGTTGACACCTCGTACTTCTAAGATCTTCTATAAATATCAGGTTCTTTCAATTCTACTTCAGGTTGTTTGAATCATACACTGAAAAATTGCAATAATGAATGCCAAATGGCTGCCATAAAATTTGTAATAGAAGTAATCCAGCCATGATAATTGATGAGTTGTATTATTTGCTGGAGGCCTCCTAAGTATTTATGACCGTGTATGATATATCCTACAATTACATTGAACTATAAATAACTCTTACTGCAACCTTCATCTGAAAAGTGCTTGTTATTTTTACACCACATCACTATCTGGGCAATAAACAGGTGATTTGAAATTAAGAAACAAATTAGTCTATTTATCCTTATTACATTCTAATTTCTGTACCTCAACATAAGCCTAATGAATCCCAATTAAGTCACTAATATTGCACCATAATTGGCAAGCAATTAGAATATAAATTACATGTCTTCCCAGCTGTAGTTAACAAGAAGAAGGATTCCCCTGGTGAAGACATGATATTGCAATGACATTCATATAACTCAGAAGGTGCGTCACTTCGATTTTCTGCCCAGGTACACTGCTGCAGAAACCTATTTAAAAGATTTCCACCACTATCATGCTATTAAAACCTGTTTGAAAAGTTTGAGCTTTCTGACTTCTCACCAGAAAATGCCTTGTGCAAGTCTAGAATCTTCCCAATCAGAAATGGTTCATATCTTCCCAATCTGCCATACCCACTGGTAGTGACTTTAAACGCTGCATATCATGACAAATACGGTGAAGTACCTTTAAGTTAGCAGTCAGTGCTCCAAATACATTTGCCCTATGGGAAAAGATGTTTGACTAGAAAATGTACAACTACAAAAGAGAAATCGTGGCAAAGCCAAAATGATGGCCTTCCAACCAATATTTGCAGTGTAGATAATACATGACGTATATATCATGTTCCAGTTGCAAGAAGTATTTTAACAATGCCCCAGAGATCAATTACATGATTCCTGTCCAGGAATCTCTGTATATGTGATTTACCATATTAATATACAAGGTCAGCGGTGGCATAACCGACACATTAAGTAAGGAAACATGAGCTTTGCTGGAGACATGTTGTCTGACTTTCCCACATTTGCGTGATAGCTCTGCTTCAAAAATGTGCTGCTCATGCATCCTCAGATCATAGTCTGGTTGTTGACATTCTTCCTGATCTAACTTGCAATTGGACGTTACATCAAATTCTGTTACATGTACTACTCTCTTCTATTCCAAAATACTAGTAAGAGAGATAGCATGACAACAGAAGTAATGATAGGGATCGCATTGAATGGTGCATTTTTCATCACAGAAAAAGGAAATGGTATCTTCAGGAGATTTATGACATTGAGAAATGATCTTGACAACCATCTTGAAAGTCACTCACTGGTACGATTTTGGTGGATGCAAATACTGCATGTAGGTTTGGAGATAAGGCAGTACAAAAAGTGCTAGGAAATATTACCCAGGAAATTTCTTAGTTTTTCTAAAGATGATTCCTGTTCTTACTATTTGATATACAAGGACTAGAGCTGTGTACCTAAACAAATTTTAGGTACAGGTACAGGTACAGGTACACAGGTTTAGGTACAGGTCCGGACCTGAACCTGTACCTGAACAATTCGACCAATTTATATGCTCTTCTGAACTCCTTCAATAACAAAAAAACATAAATAAACTTGATAGTTAAGGTTTATTCTTTGTTTATGGCGAATGCTCAGATGAAATATAGGCAAAACTAAGATGTTTTTGTTTTCATGAACACACTGTCCTTACACAGGCACCCATTGTTAACCAGCTATTTAAACATTTGAGGTCACAAATAGGCATAAAATTGGTGTGAAATTGTTTAGGTACAGTACCGGTACTGAGGGATTAGGTATTTTGGACCTGTACCTAATCAATTTTTCCGGTACAGTATCGGTACTGCGTACCGGTACACAGCTCTAACAAGGACAAAAGAAATTTACAGTAACTTTCCTTCTTACATTGTTCATTTGCCAGTTCTCAGGCTGGTAGCTGTTCTTAAGAGCAAAGATCCATAATTGTGACTCATTTTGAAGTTGGTATTTGTACAGAACGGATATGTTATGTTCAGTATAAAAAGATGCATACACAATTTAACAGGATACAATACCTCTATCAGATAATAAATGTATATCTTCCCTATCTATATCCAGAAGGATGTAGCAAAATGTTTCCCCAACTTGTGTGGTTATCAGTTAAATGGATATCTGTGATGTCCAAGTGCTCTCAAGGCATGTAGTATCAATCTTCTTTTGCCGGCGTTTCTATGCTAGCTTTATGTGCTCTTCCTGCTGTATTTAATGTCCAAAGCAAGGATTTACAGAATACAGATAGTCATGTGTAAGAAGCAGAGTGAATGATGTGGCGCCAGAGGAAATGCTTCAGTGTATAGAACTTTAAAGGCGGGCCCTTTGGCAGGGCTTTTAGCCGCATGAGCTATTGGGAACTTCTATCTATGGCAAAGCTGATAGGATTAAATCAGTGTACGAGGTATGACATCTCTCGTGGCTTGTTATTGCATCACCACGTGAGTACAATACTCGTGAATGTATGGGTACAATGTTGATAGATGGTTAGGAACAGTATAAAGAAAGTACATGATTGTACAGGATTTCCGTAAGCATTTGGACTCTCCATCTTGTGTACTTGGTTAATAGCCACACAGAGTAGATGACATCAATGCTATCTTTGGCCATCCTTTCCAAACATTATTTCGAACTTGAATACCACAGGTCTATTGTGGGTTTAGCAAAAGTTTTTTTTTTTAAGCTGGAAGATTAAGATCTACAGGTTCACACTTATGTTACATAATTTATGTAACGCAGTGCTACTGCTATAACTCTGCTTTGGTTGAAAACAAACATTAACGTTATCCGTTTTATCTGTTTCTGGCTTTTTTTTTCCATTTTCTTTAATTTTCACTACTTGTAAGTTGATTTACTGATTTAATTTTTAACACATAGCTAGCTTACCATGCACAATATTACCCCAATCTTGGTGATAACAGGTGGTAACTCTGTTCATTTTATCAGGAAGTCACAAAAGGTGTTTATATATTGTTCACTGATAGGATCTGTGTGGGAAGTCCACCCACAATGTTGCAGAATTTCTATAAAATTTCCAAAATTTTATAGAAACTCTGTAGTGTGATTTATTGACTTCCACTTCTTCGTTCCACAGACTGTAAAGCTAGACTCAGGTTTGTCATGTAAGGTGTACTTTGTGATCGGTGTACATATGAAATTACAAATGTATGTAATCTTGAATGTGTTATTCATACCCGTTGCATGTTTTCTTACTCTCCAAGCAGAGGTTTGGGTTGTGGCTTATTTTTGGCGTATTTCTAGGCTTTTTTATCAGGGTTTCTTTTTTGCACTGGAATTTTTTCCCCCAACCCAACAAAAATTCTAGTGCAAAAAAACTCCCATGCCAAAAATAGGCCAAAACCCAAACCTCTGCTTGGAGAGTAATGTTTTCTATGAAAATGTTTCAACAGAATTAGAGAGTCTGAAAAAATCTTCCTTTTGTACTGACCTTGGTCAATGACGTCTGTGAAGAGCCTGTAGTTGACCATGCCCTCCCTCTTCAGGTCATACTTGTCCAGCAGCATGACTTCATCCTGCGGGGTCAGCTGGATACCCAGGTTCTGGTCAAGACACCGCTTGAATTGGGAGGCTGTATCGTGTGAAAGGCAGACATTCAAATGTTAGCAATTCAGAAATTCAATTGACACTCAGTCATGGTACGTTACAAAGGTAAAGTCATCTTGAACCGAGGTGAAGCAGGGTGCCTTTTCATGTAACAAGTTGTTAGCTTTGCTGGAGTTTGCGGTCTTTTGAGTGGACTCCTATAAGCTTGTATGGGTTCCATTACATGTAGAGGTTTGATAGCTGAGGCTAATGCCTAAAGCTTAGTCTCCATACTTGGCGTTGTCGTGTGTGTCCAGGATGTAAGTAATGTTCAATGTTCACATTGCTACCGTACGGTAGTGTTAGCATCTGCAGTTCAGCAATGCAGTTACATACCTAGAATGGTACCGTACTTACTTCATAGCTGTACCAACCCTCTGTAAACATCAAAGAGTAATAAAAATTGAATTTCCTATCAAGTTCTTGCAGAGAAAAAATGTGAGTAATAAATCTTACTATTAGTATTTGTCACGAATGAATGAACTGCCCCAATAATCAATAGAGGTTTTGTTCATTCCAATGTTGCAGATAATTATATGATATATTGTTTTGATTAAACTTAATCCAGACAGGAAAAACAGGATTAAGCATGTTGCTTCCGGTTAACACTGATTGCATTTCGTCCATAACTGCAGCAGAATATCGTTTACAGCAATAAATCCCGCCCAGCCCCAGGCGAAATGAATTGTCTTCACGTGGCTGAGTTATCGGTAAGCCGTCAGGTAATTTCCAGTTTTTCTCCTCGATTCATTTCGTTGCAATACAGGGTCAAGGCTCATTTGGAGAAACCGACCAACGTAATTAGACATGATTAATTACACCAATCTCTGTCCCTGACAAAGTACAAGGCAAGCGTCCAGAAATTGACTTTGATTCCATTACGGTGTTCAGGAGGGGGAGACGGAATTCGGAAGTTTGTCTGATATTGTCCCTGACAGGACCTAAATTTACACGGGGAAAAGTATCGATCTCCGTCGACAAGTGGTGCGTAAGCGTCGCACGGAGCTATAAAAGAAACCGAAGATGATGGTCGCTCCGCCGGAACATTCCTGAACAGATGATCCACCCTCAATGGCGTTCACATCGGTTTAGGAAAACGGTTTTGAAAATGATTAATCATGATGTATGGAATGCGCCAGTGCTGTAGCCAAAATATTGATCATTATCGAGTTTTCTGCCCTGGGAAATTGCACACAAACTCTGACATATCATGAGGCAAGCAGATGGATTTGCATGTGGATTTTAGGGGCAGAGAAAGGACGGCTGCTGGCCATGACATTTAGTACTGGCCCCACAAATATTCACACACATGTAATGAATATCACACTACATCAGTTCAAAAGTGTATCTCTCTCCAAGATATCAAATTGTGCCTATGGGAGTAAAGCATGTCATCTCCCATATCTTATACAATTGCCCACTGTCAAATTAAGAATAAATTATAGGTTCTTTGCAGGACCTGTCAAGGAATGATGAATGGATTATATGCTTCATATCTAGCAGATTCAATTGATATCCTCTATAATATTGCATAAAACTTAAAAAGGCAGCGCTGGCAAATATAATTTGTTGCTTTATCATCTGAAATACTGGAACGACATATGCATCCAGCAAGCTAAGAAATATTTTCCTACTTTCCAGATCTAACCTTTAAAGGTAGTAAGTAAGTTATTAGTCTTCAAATATCAACAGATCATGTTGTTTGTCATTCCACACTTTTATTGATTCCAATAGCAAAACCAACATTGTATCTTGTAAATGTAATAATCTACCATCTTCTGTGTTAATAGTACAGCTCGTGCATAGAAAATAAAACATCAAAATAGCAGAGAATGGATAGCTTAGTCTCCACGCTTGCTGAAAAAAATAATAAAATTTACGAAAATATGAATGTAAGGAGTTTCAGCATAATATACCATGGGAGTTCTGCCACAATAGGTTTCCATTTGCCCCAGTCTGCATTTAAAGGGAAATGTTACTCTTATTGCTTAAGCTCACTCTTCTAACCGATTATTCATCCTATTTTTGCCAAATTCTACTGCCCTAGTAGAGGCTATGGGATAAGGCAAAAGTGGGATGTGAGGTTTAGGATACTCTGATTTCTTTCAGCTCAGGGTCTTTTAACTTTAAATCACTGTGAAACAAAACTCAGCAGATGATGGGGTCCAGTAGTTCTAATTCACCCGTAATGTTTACCTTAATGGTGTCACGAATAAAGGCAAAGGTGGGCCGACCCCACTGAAATATTTAAACACTACCTGACATTGTTTTCCATTCTATCAAGGACACACTGCCCTTGGGAACTCGAACAGATAACGTGAACTTTAGCTGTATGGATTAGGGACAAAGCGAGGGGTTTTATCAAGTTGCTAAGCAACATTTGCAGATAAAGGGAGGTAACAATCAAGGTGGTGGGATGGAATTGAACAAAGTATCTGGGAAAAATTACCAATGACGGCAAGACTTATCTAATATAGGTTATCCCTGAGTCAGTTTAAAGATTCAAGGGAGGCACAGTTAGGAATCTTTCGGAGAGTTGAGAAAGGGAAAAAAGATTACAATTTCAGAAAAAATACTAGAAAAAAAAGCATGATTTTTTTTCTCATTCCTTTGAGTTAAAAACTGAAATTGCCATACAGGTATTGCATGAATTTACTGTTGAGGAGGTGGGGGGATGCTATAATCCATAATTTGTTAAAATTTTTAAAATTAACAGTAGATAAATAACAAAAAAAGTAACTGTAACAGTTATTACATTGAAAAAAGTTCAAAGCAAAAGTCCATCCCAACTATTATAAATTTATATTATTTTAATAATATACAATAAATATAATGGCTGATGAATTCACGTTGGCAAAAGAATAAAATCTGTGTTTTTTCACCAGTTTATGCCTATCCCAATAAAGACATCACAGCTGTCATCATTTTTCCAAAAACGTCATCCTTTGCTTTCCAGAAAATTACATCTTTAGCACCTCTCCATCGCTGTTATGTTCTGCACCTCGTTGCCTGCCCTTTAGCTCAACACATTGTGGATGTTACAGCCAATACAGACATATTTACAAGAACAGTGACGCTCTGCTTTGCTCCAGGGCTACATCAATATTCACTGCGGTGCTCACATTTAGCACTGACAAGAAAGATGTGAATTTGGAGACATTTTCCGACATGAAAAGCAGTAGCTGTAAGCAGAGTGTCTGACCTTTGCTCCTTCCAAAGCATCATGGTGAAATTGCACATCAGACAATGTACGTATCGAGCTGACCAGCCGTCCCAAAGGCCCGCACAGATCCGTGCAACATTATGTCATACCTCCAGGATCATTTTGATATCAGACTTGTTGGAGCTACGCCAGGGTTGGCAATTTGTATTGTGCACCTGCTACAAGTATATACAAAAGCCCTCCGCCCCAACCAGCCATACAGTGCTGATGACAAACGATTATTGTTCTACGTTCTGGTGACTCAAGGATGGCCATAAAGCTCTCCTAATATCCAGAGCACCACATAATTACAACATCAATCCCTTCCTGCTGATACGACTAGTAGTAACTAGCGGGGAATTCACAGGGCTTCTCGTCATTAAAACAAATGAAATTTGACTGAATAATGACTGATCAGCCACTAACGAGCTTGTTGTAATCATCTGGGTTCACTACCAGTCGTTTGGTCTCCCATTGTAGGCAAGCAGAGCTCAGAACACAGGCACCGACCTGGTGATTCTGGACTAGGGTGTTGTTTGTAATGGACAATCAAGGCAACTGCAACTTGATAAATTGTGCCGCAGTGATGAGTTTTTAACTGGCAACACCAGTGGAAGTATGTATTCAACTGAATTTCAAGAACAAAAAAGTACTTCTAGCCTCTTTTTTGAAACTGTTGTTTTAGCAAACTTACAATTGTTATGTGGTCCATTTCATGGTGCAGTTCCCCAATGTGATATTTCCACAATAACAATTTTCCCAGGGGTAAAAGAGCTGCACAGCTTTGTGACAACATCTACAAGTACATGAAACATGTAATGTAATGGCCTGTGGGCAATACATGAAAGAGAGATTCTCTAACCCCTGTTGCAGACTTTGAGTCACTCCACAGAGCTTTTTCATCATCATCATCATCGGTCGACCATACTAGTACATTGGTCAGGGTTATACCGTCCCTTACAGGGTGATCTATCCTTTCATTAGCTTAAGACAAGACAGGATTTGCCGGGCCTCCTTCAGACCTTTTTGATAACACTCACAATGACAACTCGGCAAGAAATCAGAACCTGGAAGAAAAAAAGCAGCTTGATGGAGCCTCCAATGGAGGCCACTTTGACCCTGTCTCTGGGATCCCCCTGGGCCAACATGATTACAGATAACTAATACCATAACTAATTGGTGGCAGGTACCCCTCCCTCTGAGTGCCTGGAGGCTCACACCTATGTAATTGGCCACAGTCACCCTTTAGTAAAGAGCATCCTATAATGGTTTAGACCTCTACATATCTATATATTAGTTATAACACAATTTCAGTATTGTAAGATTGAATTTCATGTTTGTTGAACTAAAGTTGATGATCCATCATCATCCACAAGCCGAAAACCACATATGTCTTCAGTAATAGCAACTCTAAGCCTATTACAGTAACTATAAATTCATTTCAAGTTCACAGAGGGAGAGGTGTAACTTAAAACTTAAAGGTGTTTCAAGTGCACAGTGGCATTATTGCACAAATGTTTGTAGAGTAATGATTTTGTGGTGGAAAGATCACATCGAAAAGAAAACTACAATCATAAAACCGACATAAAACTGCCAAGACTTACAGTATTCCGTTCCACAGTATATTGTTATATTACTTCATTTACACCTAGATTGACTAAATGAGTTCTAAAAGGTGTTGATGCTCATTTTGGCAACGACATTGGTTCCACTATCATCTTGATAGAACACCTTGTGTGAGGAAGTCAAGTGGAAATGTCTTACCCATTTGGTGCCAATTTTGCAATGGAAAGGTTGCCAAATGGGTGGATAATACCCCAAATCCTAAGAGATTTGATAGTGTTTATGACATAGAAAATTAGGCCACAGTAAATGGTCCTTATGTTCTGTCCTGTTTGCAGGGTTGTGATTTCCTAAAGTAGAGGATGACATTAGATCGTAAATACTCATCAAGGGTCCTGACATCAGCAATTCTGGGAAAATTGAAAGCAATTAAATCAATAAGATAAAAAAAAGGAGGCTGGGCAATGTGACAGTCCTTTGCCAAATAATCACATAAGATGATTGGAATTTTATAGAAGGATTATCTTCAACCTACTTCTTAATCTTATGAAAATCCCGTCACTGAGGGATGATGAAAACCTACATGTCCAGGGATAGGAAATTGTGTATCCTTAAGACATGACCAAAGATGATCATCACTATGGCAACAAGCTCCTTACACTCATACATGAAAGATGTTGCTCAATATTTTACGCAGATTTTAATTGAATCTTAATACCCCCTCTTTACTCAACTCAACTCTGGATGAAAATTGCAAGCGAAATGTGTAAAGGTCATGACGTAATATGGTGTGGAATGCAACAAGAAAATCCTTTTAGTGTCTGTCACTTTGTCAGGTGATGGTATTGTTCTCAGCACAATAGGATGCCATTACGCAATGCGCTGTCCATCATGTGCTTTCATCACACTACTCACTCCTGCAGGCCGATACATATCCTGTGACACACCATTGATCTGCAGTTTTTTTCAGGGAGGAAAAAGCAGAGGTCAGGGATTCTGGTGGATGACCACACTTCCATCAGTGTCTCCTTCACGCCTGGAGAAGCTGGATGTAGATCGATCCAACAGCTTCCCGTAAAATATTCAAAACTTGCTGCAAGAGCAAGATCCTACTAATCAACGCAAGGCCGCACAAAAATATCTCACGCCAATTCCGCACCAGTCACTGCCCCTGACAAGGTGCATTTCTATCCTGTGGCCTGATCTGGTGATTTTTACCCAAGAGTAGCGCCAAAGAAGTTTGGAGTGGATCATGATTCATAGGAAATGTAATTTCATTTTTGCTCTCAGCAAAGCTATCACAGACACCATCAAAGGACCTGAAAACTTACAGAGGCAGAAACTTCATGACAGCATCAGTCACCAAAGGGCAGTTTTTACAGTTTCATAACTACACTTAAAAGGTACAAATGTATTGTACAGTGCTTGAGTTTACTGAGAAGACAGTGCTTGAACAGCTTTCACAGTGGTGGTTTGAAGATTGAAAGTTTGTGTCAATTACAAATGCTGAGAAATATGTTAGAGGTTTACCATGATGACAGAATTTTGACAAAAGTCCATACTCTGTAAATATCTGTAATTCCTTAATTAACGTCAACTTGTTGGTTCTTGATTTTTTGGGAAAAGAAACAAGAAGCCATAGGCGACAATTCTCCGTGAAGTTTTATATATTTCAACAAAATCACAAGCGTCAACGCCAGACCTACTGTGCAGACATTATAATTAGGCAACGGTTAATACAATGAGAGCGCGTCACAAGCATAAAACATACAAAGAGCTAAATCCATTACTGCTCCCAGGGCGTGTAAAGATACTGTGCTTCAAGTTCGAACTTCATTTTAATTACACACACACAATCATTGCATTCACATAAAGATCGGGCTATCATGGTCGTGTCTAGTAACAAAGACAGCCCCACCGTCTTACGGTGCCTGTACCTAATTAAGCGCGCCTGGAACAAGCCAAATTCCAGCAACAGTGGCGGTAAGCACCGCGAGTGTTACTACCGCCGGCCAGATAACCAGGATATCTGCTTACAGTACCTCTGCTACCAGACAACTGCCTAAACCTACGGTCTATTCCACAGGATTGTAAAAGTAGGGATGTTTCGAAAATAACCATTTACTCCAATATCAAAACAGCTACGGTAAAAATAAAAAGACGTGCATCATCCCGGACATAATGCAACACCACATGCGAAATTACACAGATATGCGACGTACGGCAGAATGCGTTTTGGCTGCGAACATCTTCCAAAAAACTTGGCATCTCTTAACCATGGGCAAAAACATCTGGAACCACTTATAAAAACCACCCCGTATCTGCATGAACTTTTACCTCCCCCCCCGCTATTCCAAACAACGCGTTTTTCTGGACCGTTCCAATTCGCCTCGTAATTGTAGGGGTGCGTCTGCGATATTACATTGACCGCGAAAGCAGCAACGGCAAAAATACACATTCGTGCATCAACACGGGCATGCCCGCAGACGGCGTATCAAATTGCGTGCCGATTACACGAAGAGAACCCAGTGTTTTGACTGCGAACATGAAAAATCAGCCGATTACAACACTCCGTCCGGAGGTCCTGACCTCCTTCACGGAGTAAAAAACGGTCTAGAGCACAAATGCACAGACTCATGCATTCATGCTCAACACAAGGACTGACCCTATCCCACAACAACTTGCTTTAACTGTAGGACTGTAGAAGTGGGCGATATCTTTATAAGGCTACACCAAATCAATTTCTTGATGTTGACTTTCTGCTATGGGAACGTTTGGGGCTATCACAGGATGCCTTGGCATGTTTTTTCCCCTTGAAAAACCAAGGACCAACAAGTCAATTTTGTGTGGCCTAAGGCAGGCAGAGGCCATATTTTTTGACAACATAGTTATACACTGGACACTTCGTCAATCATACCTCTCATTTTTTTATGACCTGGCCTCATGGGTCTTTCTTCATAAAGGCACATCATGCCATGCCATGATCATGCCTATAAAATCAATCAATGAAAAATGCATGGACTGATACAATAACAATGGACAATTGAAAGAGGCCATCTATTACAAGACGTAACAGGTTCCCTGGATTGAGTCAGTCCTTCAATAATGCAGCAAGTCATGACAGAGATGGACTGTAAACACGCACACCTGCGGCAGACAGGGGAATTATTCACCAGTCCCCTACCTCACCTCAGTAGGTGTGGGGTAAAAATACATCTTCTGTCTTCTCTCTTTCTCATCATACAAAAACCTACCTATCAGGCCATTTCAGTAATTTGTATCAAACGTTGAAAAGGTGTCACATATTCATGTGCAGACTTTATCACAACAACTTTTCCTCTGTTATTTTTGGCATGACTAAATCCCCAAGGACTTTATCAATTGATGATGCTGAAATTTTGAAATGCATCTACAGCAACAATGATCAATAAGCAGATATTTTCATGGTCAACATAGACTAAAATAGTTATAGTACAGCATTATGTAATACTGACGCATAATGATGATGATGATTATGTAATTTTTTTTTTATTCTGTACCATATTTTGTCATAGTATTCCTTTTAATATTCTTGGTTTCGCAAATGCATTACAGACCAGGTCATCTTAGGTCTCTGGCACACAACTGGGGTATATGTTATGGCATTGTAATGTCTACTAACATAATTCCACCAGGTCACATGTATGCGTCATAGTCTGAAAGAAAGCATCTAAAGAGATCTCCAATACAGCATCCCCCTGTCTAATGCACTGCATATCTAAACTGTGCATACGTGTACCTGGGGGTGCTATACTAGAGATCTCTCAAACAGTTATATTTCAAAGTGGCAGATATGTGTTTCCTGTCGTATAAATAATGATGGAGGTTACACAGGGAATACAGGCATTCTAATGATTCCTGAGTATTTCAATAAATCAGTAAAGTTACATCCACATTAAACTTTGAAATGACATAAAACATTTTTACATACTGCACATTTTACAGCTAGGTCTTGCAACATCTTTTTTCTTCATACTGTGTGCAGTTTTGCAGAAGGTCATACTGTATTGCTCTGTGATTTATTGGCTTGGAACATCACAGCAGATTCTTTCAGCCACTATACTGAACAACATAAGGTCATATGCAGGCTATGGAAGGATAGTAGAGAGCAGACTCTGGGTAATACATTGTATTTGGTATAATTTTCTCTGTCTTTTCACTCATTTTGTATGTCTTACAAGTGGAACATATAATCCTTTTTTTCACTTTTCATATGAATTCTGATTGCCAACTAATCCACTCGAAAGAAATCAAGCTGATGAGAAAGTGTATGCCAACAACCGTGAAGATTTGATAGCAGCTTCAGCATTGATAGCAAGGAATATGTAAGATTTTCATGTTATAGGACTAGATTGTTTCACAAAGATCAAAAAGGTGCAAAATAAACTTCCGGGCTAAAATTGCCTAATGGTAAGTAAGATATGTATCAGACATTTTGACTTGATACAAGGCTAGAAGAAGGCAGCAGATTGGTTGCCGAAACAAGTTGGCAGATAAGAAATCTGAGGTTCTAGAGGCAGAATTTCAATTCTAGAATGACCTCCCAACCTGTTGAAGATATTCAAGATTATATGTTTTTATATGATGTTTACCTGTGATGAAGCCAGATCTGAGCCTGTCAAAGTCTTTGAAGAACTCAGAGACTCGCACTCTCTTGGTCTGTGCCACTGTGCGGATCTCATCCTCAAGTCTGTTAGCACCCAGTGGGAAGTGGGAGACAGCGGCAGACATCTTTGTATGTGTCTAGGTCACTGATGAAAAGTAGTATGTTACGCCCTGCAGGATAAAAGAATAGGAAAGTTAGGCTGCCAGGTAACAGAAACAAAAAATGATGGGTTCTTTAGCTAAATGTTTTAGGTAACCTTTCGTCTACACTAGTACCTACCTTAGCACAACTTTTTTCTCACAAAGAAAAAATCTTTCGGCAATGAGACAGCAGTCGGCAATGGCAAGAATCAACAAAGGTTAAATGGTCCCATCCAACAATGGTGAAATACGTATTTCAGAATACAAACCTCTCTCATATCATACCTCTACCACCTGTTCCTTTGGCCATAACTCTTTCATGTATCAAGAAATCAGCAAACTTACCAACAAACAATAGATGTTGGTAAAATGTTAACCAATAATACGTAAGATTAAATGTAAAATGAAAAGATAAAATGGTTCTGTTCAAGATATAACATCTAAGGTAAGGTAAGGTACAATGTTTACATAAATATGGTACGTGTATGATGTTATATCTAAGGCAACAGAATGTCAAATTGCTGTTGTCTAAACAGAATCCAAAAAATCTCTACCGAAGTCTAAACAACAGGTGGGTCATCTAACCTAACGTACAAACATACAATTTAATTGTCCAGCAAAATTTCGATCATTACAAATTAGCATCTTCCATAGTACAAAATGTTTCTAAAGACTCAACAGTATGCTACATAATGTAACAGCATATTGTTGTTGTTGTTGTTGTATCTCAGATTCTCCCTACTGGCAATAAAGTTATGATCCTAAACACGTCAGCAAAGTTGCCAGAACATCATGGTAACGCCTTCTTGAACAAAACATCCGGTATTGACACGTTTAAACTTTTAATAAGAGTACAATACCAAGTAGAATGTTAAAAGAATACGGCACAGCAGTCATACAACATATGAATGTCTTTATACTTACCCTTTTCTTCCAAAATCTCGGTATGATGTGAAGTTGTGACAGGTTTCAATGGCGACTCCACCACATTTGTGTTTCAGTAACTAGGCAACGCCGGGTCAAGACCTCGACTGGACTTCCGATCGTAACGAAACTGCTCGGTGCTTCCGGGGCCCTGATCTCTTTTATATGTTTACATCATTACCAAAAAGTACACTATATATAAGTAGGTAAATTTCGCCATACGTTTCATTGAACAGAGTTCCATCATTTTTCATTTCTTGCGTTCAGATACATTTTAATCTTTATAGCGTTTGGATGTTGTCTAAATACATGCTTCCTAGCAACTGAGGTCGTTGACCCCGAAAGGTAGGGTCAATCCCCCATAATGCACAGCGTTTCCTGTTCTTGGGTCACGTTTCGAGAGTACTGAGCTGATTTTTCCCTGCAGCAATTTCAAGTTCAAGTTACCTCTGATCATCCCCTTGCCTCTTTAGAACGGATAGAGACCCAAGGGTAGATATGGCAGCAAGTGAGGAACCTGATGACCGGTAATGAAACAGTATTACTATCTTTCTTCATCCGAGAACCAACGTCTAAAAATCGACTTGTAAGTGGGAGGGCATAAGAAGATGGACGTAGAAAAAATACAGCCGGTTCCTCATTATGCGCTTTAGTAGAATTGGTTAAGTTGTTGTTGTTACTATATATGTATTTATGGCCGATCTTACCTTCCTCGTGATCGCATCTTTCTGGATGTATGAAGGAGGCCTATTTGTCATATTCCTCGCTATCTGTGACGTGAGCATTTTCACTGCGTCAGAGCCTTGGAAGACGAGTACGTGTGAAATTTTTGCAGGAATGGTTTTGCCGCCAACGGCACCGAGCGACTTTCCCGCCATGTGATAGGGATTGCCCAATGGGAACAGAGGTTTATGTTTGTCACCGAAAAACAATAGTGCTCCACCCAAAATGTCGGCTCTTTTTTCATGCTACGGGACCACAAAGACATTTTCTTTCACTTGCGACGCGAATATGGCGCTCGATTACGCAGCGAACGTCGTGCCGAAGCCAAATAACCGTCCATTCTGATCCGTGGGAAATGGTTTCAGACTCAGTAAATGGCAAATAAAAATTGCATAAATATGCCTGAAACCAAGTACGTAATGCAGAATCTGGCCAATCAGATCGCTTGTATTTGATTATATCATTTCATCCAGCCAATAGGAAGGCGTATGCAAATGAAGGTTAATCATATGTAGGCTGGTTGCGTGGCGTGTTCTTTTTTCGGCGGTAAATCGCACAAGATGGCGGAGCAAGTGAACGGCGAGCAAATTCAGCAGAATTTGGACGACATGAGCCAAGATCTTATGGCCACAACAACAGAGGCGGTTGCCATCGAGCAGCAAGAGACCGATATGACCAACTTGACGGGAGACGGTAGCGCGGCGCCGGTAGCCGGCGAAGATGTGCCTCCCGGAAGCAAAATCAACTCGACCAAAGATGATGACGACGACCGGTACGCGAAGTTTTTCTTTTCTGAAATTGTAGTCATGAAAATTTCACGACCTAATGTGATTTTTCTGGCGGTTTTGTTGGGGGTTTTCTGGTATTTAAGAACGTAGAGAAGCCAAGTGGTCGCAGGTTGTAGCGGCCAACACGAGTCGCCGTGTGGCCATGCCGTGGCCACGCCACGCTGCTCGACAAAGCCCGAAATTCTTCCCGTCGAAATGTATCCCATTGTCTCTATTGTCCCTATTAAAGTCCGGTTATGTGGGCACAGATATGTTTCTCCCGCAACCCATGGTCCAAGTCGGTAGTTTTACATGTATTTCTCCATGAAAATTGTGGTGTGAAGTTGACCAATCCTTGCGAAATCGTGCGTAGGTTTGTTCAAGGGATTTACACACCAGTGTGTTGGGAGGTTGTGCACACGAGGCCGCTTGCAATTTACAAACCATTATTAGGATGTGATCTGTGTATAATGTGCCCCGAGGAGAAACGAAATTCTAAAACTACATCGCTAGCCAGGTAGTCACCGTGTACGGACCTAGGGGAATCGTGACCATCAGCATTTCACGTTTTTATTGATGCGATACCCGGGCCCAAACTCAATCAGCACGCACTCGTCCGCACTCCATTCCAACTGCCGAACTTATTGCCTGACCCGCAATAACTGTACAGCATGACCATAAAACTGGCTCCCACTATTTCAGCGGCAACTTTTTACCAGCCATTTTCTCGGGAAAGCCACAAATAGGACACCGAAAATGTGGCATTTGAGAAGTCAGTTCTTCCAGGATATGTAATAGATATTGGGGCTGTATTAGCATGTGAAGGGTTTGAAGAGAGCCCATGTGCTTGTGCCAACTGCTGCTTTGTTTCCAGACAACCAGCATATGGAAATAGTATACCGGCATTAAATTCGTCTTGCATTTCATGACACAAAGATTTCGGGATCACTTTTTATCTTGAGAAATTGCCCAAACCATCCACACTGAAGACTTAAAACTCTGTTCATGAAAAATTTAGTGGGATCCCTTCCACAACCACACAGCTTGTAAAGCCCACAGCTTCACCGTTTTATCCATGTATTCATAGCAAAACAGACCTTGAGCTCTTCTCAATTTGCTGGAAAGATCCAACAATCAAGTGTGGAATTCCCCACTGAGGGGATTTTGGCTGTGACTGGTCCAAGTCCTGGGATGCCGGACCCATGTGGCCTTCATTTTGAATGCCATTAATCTCCTTGGGTCAGGCAAGTTCCAGGGAGGCAATCTAGGCTTAATGTTTCTTTTCCACATGACATTTCATGGCACTCCTCTTGGGGGTGACCATAATGGAGTCCCCGTTCACCCAGCCAAGATTTCCATTTTTTGCCCAGAGGAGGGGGATGGTAGGAATCACCAAGAAAGTGATTCCTACCCGCAGTATGGTGGGCAAGCCATATGGTAACTCCCACACGTACATAGTCACACACTTTCATGAGGGACTTGCGTGGATGTAAAAATGAACTGGAACCACTAAAATGTAAGAAGTAAAACACAAATTCGTGCAGATAAAAGTTATGACCACCTTGTGCAAGAGGACACCAATGTTTCGTGCGAGCCTGAAGCGATGAGAATCATGTGTCGGTATTATGTCCTCAAAATACAGCTACTTCAGACCTTGTAACCCCTGAAAAGGCTGAGAGAAACTGTACCCATGTGTAAAGATGTTTTTTTTACTGTATAACGACCACCTGATTGTAATTATTGCAAGGAGACACCAGTTACAATCAATAACATATACTGACAAGGCAGTGTATTTCCCAATACAGAATTCCTGTGCAAGAAGGTGTAATGTTACACATGTATGATAACTGTCCTGGAAATTTAAAGATATAGATTTTATCCAAGGCAATAAACTTGAGATGAACAAGTGCCATGAAGAGTTTGAACAGAAAGTTTTATTGCACCGTTGTCGTAAATGTGATGCGTAAAGATTGGGGCTGTAAATGTGATATGTGCAGATCCCCCTGCGTGTCGATGGTAGGTCATGTGCAGTTGCTGGTATTTTGGGCGGATTCATACTAGGATAATGTTCCAACCCATCCTGTGCAGTGCTCGTGTGGAATATTGACATTTACAGAGGATACGCTCCGCAGAGAAGCAATATTTAGGAGAAAAAAATGCCAAGTCCCACAGTAAGCTTACAAAGTTACATGACAAGTTGTGTGCTAATTAATGTTTCCCAGAAGTGTTGTAAAGCGTTGTCATCACTAGGTGGTAAAATCCCATTCCAGCACCAAGCACAGAGCACATGGCATATTCGTGTAGCACCCGGCTTACTTTAATATAATGTTCAGTTGTAGGAAGGCCTCTTGACGGCTCATCTTGCAGCGGTGACAAAGAAATTGATAGAAGCAATCCTTTCAGACTGGCCTACGGAGACATGTTGGCGTAGGGTCCCCATCATCACGTAATACAATTTTGAATGGGGGATGATTAATAATGGATTTTGGTTGAGGCAATGCTTTTAATTTTTAAGTCTAGTCCAATGGTCAACAAGATTCTAGAGCATAATTATCGTAGGAACATGAACATGGAAGGGTCACATAGTAAACAAGCTGGTTGTTCTTTGTCACAAACTGACAGACATTGTAAACTTGATACATGTCAGTCAGCACATGAAAGAGATCAGGATTTCAAAGTTGGCATCTGTTGAAAGAAGATCTATTGGGAGTGGTTAACTAAAAACAGAAAGGAATCATCAAGCTGTCACTTGGGGGTTTAATTCTTTCTACAGCAGTAAAAAGAGGTAACAGACAACTGTTGTATTGGTACCAGATACAAGACAATATTGCTTTTCAGACCAGCCAGCATGGGACGAAATCCAGACAGATGTCACATGCATGCGGTGTTCACCTCATGGGCCTGTGGTTTTGATTATTACACCTTGGCTCCCTGTGTTTATGAACTTGGGAATAAGGTTTGTACGTGGGGTACCTAGGCAGCCACATGGTTTAGACTGGACACTTCCCCCGTGGATCCTCTCCACTGTGTGGTGTTGTTGGAATGTGAAATTTTCCCACTATGCCGAGGCATGTGGAGGGGTCATGTTGGGCAGCCCCATCCATCGCTAACAACGCTATCAAAATATTGAAGAGAAGAACCACCACTAGGTCGGGAAGGATCCCTACTTATTCCTGGCTTCCGCGTACACGGATTCTGTAACAAGGTATTGAGAGGAGTAAAATGGTCCGCATTTTCTGGGATCATCATCGCAGGGAACACGGCTTTGTCATTGGGCAAGAGCCCGATGACGATAAATTTGATTAAAAGAGATTCGCGCTCAAAGAAAATTTACACAGGCCTGGATGCAGATGCTATTGTATGATTTGTAGACTTGGAAAGGTTGTACTCTGATTTGTATTGATTGTGTCTCTGCCTTGCCACATACCTTTCTTACAAGTCGAGAAATCTAATTAGGAGTGACTATTTTCAAATTAGCTCAGTGGGGTATGTGAGGCACACGTATGCCTATGATACTTGTCCAATTTTCACACTTTCATGTTTAAAACTGGGGCAAACTGTCATCCATGGTCAAGAAGGAATTCAGGCATGTTTGTTTTAAAATGTTTACATTTGCTTTAAAATTTTCACCGAGTTTTTATATGAAATCTGGGAGAAGCAACGCCGCTTATTCAAAACACATTTTTAAATGCGTACAAAGTTGATTATGATCACATGATGAAGACAGGCTAAAGTCCAAACAAGCGACATAAGTGGCTGTAGTGAAGTTATTGTACTGGTTGAGTCTGTTTAAAACCCACAGTCCATATTCTCCAGGATGTTTACACAAGACCACTGTTCCTTTGTTTGCACGACTTATTAGCTATTTCCTACCTTGGCACCTCATTACTTCCAATGGCCACAAACACTGGGGATTTTCTCTCCTTTGTGTGTAATAAATCTACCCATTTTGACTGTTGTCATGCCCACAGGTGTCTGATTGGGTGGGAGGAAAGACATTGTTTAGAGTGAACATTATTCATTCCCAGGCGGATTTTCAGGACTTACATATCGTCAAATGTACCCAAAGCCCACAAAGACTAAATCTTCTGCTTTATTTTCTCATTAGCATGCGACACACCATTTTTCAAGCCTGTGAAAATGGCCGTGTGAAGGGATATTATTTTGTACAGGGAAGATTCGAGACTGTCCCATACCCATAATGTCATGAGAGCACACAGGTTAAAGGTCTTGTAGTTAAGTATTTTTCCAACAGTCACAAGTCAAAAGCACAAAGGCCAGGCTGTTAAAGTGTTCATTCTCATAGTATGGATAAAACCTGAAACTGGAAGTATTCTTACCCATGTCTTACTTGTACTTGTACTTGTTGAGGTCTCCTCGAGTCAGTCGTTCGAGTGGCCTGCGCACAGAACTCGTCTCTTCCTCAACAGTCCTCTCCACTCCTTCCTATCTTTACCCATGTCAGGCCACCATATTTTCACCACTCCTTCCTATCTTTACCCATGTCAGGCCACCATATTTTCACCTAGAAGCCTAGAAATTACTAGAACTGTTCTAGTTAAAATGAGGTGTAGGTATGCATCTTGCAAAATGTTTCTAGGCGAAAGGATAGCACAATGTGAGTTATAACAAATTTTCATGGCTAGACTAGAGCCTCCAGGGTAGGGTGTAGGTGTTCTGGTAGAATCATCAGTCAACTTAAAAGTTGACATGTTGGAATGGATATGCTTGTGTTTGTTTGTATCTCCAAGTCAACATACTTTACTGCAGATGTACATCAATTAATTAGTGAAATGTGGGCGGCGGCAACCCTTTTGGTATTGACATTGTCGTGTGTTAACCTTTGTTTATGTCTGGTTACAGTCGTCCATTCTGTATCAGTGTGTGCTCTGTTGTGTATGAACCAGTTGGGTATGAAATTACAGTTGGGTGTGGTGAATGGAATTTGTTGATGGCCCCTAAACAATTTACCTTCCAGGCCCCTCCCATGTTGTTGTGAAGTTTT